ATGTTGTTAAAGGAAGATTACAGCTAATGCACTATAATTTACTAGTACTCTCTAGGGTTATGTAACAGCGATGACCTTAACGATACTACTATATTTCAGCGGTTAACATAGAATAGTTCAAACGCCTTTTGTAAGTTTAGGATTCTGGCTGCGGCTAGGCTTCGGTTGATTAAAGCTCGGGATAATGTTATTAGCACTTTCCTATAGACTACTAGGAAACACCGCCGTTAAAAAGATGAGGCTAAGCGACATAGCCTACTAATCCGGTGGATCGTAAAACAGATCCCACATATTTAGCGCGAAGCAAATCCACGTAGGAACTCTAGGACTGCTTTATCGGGCGAGGTCAGCCCAAATAAGCTAAAGTGCGTTCGAACTTCTAACTACGACGAAGGCCGAACTTCCACGCGGGATCCTTGTCCAGTTCCGCCTTCGCTGGGAAGCGAAAGTAACAAGCACAACAGACTTGACATGATGGGCAATAAGCGATCCGTTAAGCGAGTTAAGAGCTGTGATAAAGACGGTCTTTTTAAATTGTCGACTCCTAGCGCATCTGCTCCTATTATGTCAACGCTATTAACATACTTTTGGACGGCCTAGGAGCTTATTAGTAGCAGAATTCCTGCATCTGGGCCTTTGCGCCTTCGTCGTAGCGCCAGGATTACCGGAAATACGAATAGGTCTGCTACAACTATACAACCTAGGACAAGTTCTACAGCAAGTCGCCTAAAGAAAGCACGGAAAAAGAGGACTAAGGCTTGGCTATTAGCGAAACCACGAATAGTTAAGCACATCGGGTAGTCAAGCCTAGTCTATAGTCAACTCCGTTCCTATTACTGCTATAAATTTTGCCAAAAGCTGCTTTGTGGAAATCTATAGTTAGGCACCGAGTGAACTACATATTAATAGGAATTGCGCCCCCTTAGTAGTTAATACCACGCATTTTGTCAAAGTCCTCGCCTATCGATAAGTCCGCTCCGATCCAAACATCTACGTTACTTGCCCGTGCTGCCCAATCCTTAGCTCGCTCGTGTATGCGTGTTAGGGGTGCCGACGATAATCGATCGAATATCACTAGTTAGGTCTTTAAACATCTTCGCTAACACTGGCACACTACGGCAGAATTCCTAGGGGACGACATCTTTCTTATAATATCGGAGAAAGTAGCTGCGAAGAAAGTATACGGGGTGATTATCTTATTACTAGGTTGGGACTAACAAAAGTCCAGCACTACTATTGCGATCTGCTGGATGCAAAAACCCTATATTAGCTTGTACAGGTCGCCGAGTATTATGGCAAGTAGGAACTTTGTTAGGCTCGTAAGCAGCGTTATGCTGTGGCGTTATAAGCGGTGTGTAATATCTATAGGCAGCTAGAAAAACAAGGTCGAGTTCTCGATTAGGCAATCCGCGTACTACATAACAAGCTAATGCTTAAAGTTACTATCTTCTGCCTTCTAACAATTTAAACATCACGAAGGAGATATACACGGACTTTGTAATATTGTAGAGGCTACGGTTATAGGTTTTGCACTGTGTGGCGTAATTTAGAAAGATGTGGTGCTATAAGTAAGGAAGTACACAATTCTTAGATCGCTGTCTTTATACATAGTAAAGCCGTAAGAGAGGCCAACGCGTTAGTGAATTAGTCTCGAGGTACTATTTAATCTGCTTATCTAACAGGGTTTCTACACGGTAAGTCTAAAAATCCATGTCTAGTAGCTGGACATTATTATATAATAAGTCAGCACGATAATAAAGTGGTGGATGCCTAAAAAGAGCATAAATAGTACTCTACGAGCTCTTAAGAATCCTAAGAGAAAAATTAGTGTAGTTAATATCGTGGCCCTTAAACTATATTACCGATGCTTTAGAGACCTCGCTTTAGGTAGAAGGTCTTTAATAGCCCTTTTAAACAACTAGGAAACGTATATATTTACGCTAGTAGGATAGACGGTAGTCTTCTAACGACTGCTTCTATATCTATATCTTAGCGCTTCCTTCTACGATGCTCRTGTAAATAATGGTCGTCTATACTCTATCGTTGTTTCGATGCCAAGTCGAATAATTTCTCGTTAGATAGGCCCGGGAATACTATCTTGTGTTTAGAGCGTCGAGCGGTACTTACGCCCGAAGGACTTATCTGCTATAGCTCGAAGTTAGTATTATGTTTAGATCCTAGCTATAGCGTAAATCGTCCTTCTCTAATAACTCCTACCGCCGACGGAAGCGAACTAGATTCCCCTAGAGGAGTGGTTCTAGCGTACGCGACGTGCCAACCCTTAAAAACCGCCCCTGCTCTTTTATATTAACCCCTAGGAAATACTTTATAGTGTCTATTTTGTTTGGTACTAACGATGGTTCTTATTCGCCTTTATTTTCCCTAGTCTCGTAATTAGAGCTGCTTTCGGGGCTATCGTTATATACTTCCTCGACGACCTTAGTAGCACTAAGTATGTGCTCCTCGGTTTCCCGCATCTTACTCTTAAAATCATCTACTTGTCCTAACTAGTTATCCTAGCGATAAGCTCGTGCCTAAGTCTTTCTCTATCGCCGCTCTTTTATATAGGTTAATCCTCTTCTAATCCCGCGTACTCTCTTACGTCTTTTAGGAGCTTGTTCTCTTACTAAACTATGCTTATTAGCTAGATATGCTTTATTATCTAGATTTTCCGATATATAGCGTAGTTGTTCCCGCGGACTATTAACATATAGAGTTATAGCGGCGTCGTTATCGTAATTAAGAGGATTTACTACTATGTCCGCTTAGTAAGCTCCTTCGCATAGCTCTATACCTACCGAGCTTGCTTCGGAGATCCTTAAAGCTTGTCTACGAGTCTCGATTAAGGTATAGTCTAGCGGTGATACTGTTATAACGTCCTATTAGTAGGCACTAGCATACCTATATTAGTAGACTCTTACCTATCCGTCTGTAGTTTCGATAGTCCTAGTAATGTATTTGCTAGTAGGATATCTCTCGCATTATTGACTACCGTCGTAGGCGTTTTACACCGCCGCTATTTATGCTGCTAAGACGTCTCTAAAATCGGTGCTATTATAAACTACGCCTCGTTCTCCGCTAGTGTATATGTAGTTATAAGATTAACTTATATAAAAGCAAGCTCGGTACCGTCTATATTTAACGGCGTAGACTAGTTCTATAGTAGGCTCTAATCTCTAATTTGTACTTCTAAACGCTAGCTAGCGTTATTAACTTCGTAGAACGGGTAGTCGTACATATCTATAATGTTTGCTAGACTCTAAGCTTGCCTACCTCTAGACGCTAAGGGTAAAGCTTACGTATAGGCCGATAGACTATAAACCGAGGATAAAGCAAGGGCTAGACTTTCCGGACTTTTAAGGATTGCTTTTAAAGATATTATTATGTTTATAACCTAAGAGGAATGCGCCTCCTTGTCTGCTTATGCGATCCTAATAGGCTTCTCGAATAGATAGACTACCTAGAAGTAGAAAGCAACATCTCGTATTACCGTAAAGGGCGTAGCGTAAGTTTTTAGTAGCTCGTTTATAGGTTGGATCTAAATAATTTTCTCGAGAAACAAGCGATCGCGATACCGATAATACATTTCCTCGTATAGGCGATTTAACCGTGTACCTTTAGGTTGGTCTAGCTAGTTATCGCTATATACCGGAATCTCTAGCGACGTAGACTATAACAACTAGGTTTTATCGATCTTAGCTATTTGCTAGTCGATCTAGTTAGATTTAAAACCCATAAATATTGCTAAAGCCGCTAGTTGCCCTAGTTTAATGTCGCTAACCTCTTAGTGCTTCTTCTTTTACCGTCCTCGTTGCCTTAAATCGCTAAATTGCCTATCGGAAAGGTACAAAAAATTCCTTAGGGAGAACACGTAGAGGAGGATGTACCTTAATAGGAAGTCCTAATGTTAGTAGCTAATATAATTTTAGAACGTCTCCCGTAGGCTCTACTTAAATAGTTGGGCGGGAATTAAGGAGCGCAGGCCTTCGAAACATCTCCTTAGGTATTTCGTGTCTTCGAAGAACGACTACATCGTTAGGATTCTCCTACACTATAGTAGCCTCTTCTCTACTTTTTAACGAGCACCGCTATCGAGAAGTGCTAAGAACGACTTTTAATTACGCATCTGTGTGTGGATTACAGTTACATTATAGCGTGAGTACGCTAGCATTTTGAGCTCTAGAGATTCTATCGTTTAGACGTCTAGACATTCGGGAGCTATCTTAATTCCTAGAACGTCGGTCTACTATTAGAGCAATGTCTTAAAATAGCAGTGAATTTCCTGTAAAATCTGTTAGCCTAATATCTAGTCTATCGGGAAGTAAGGCACTATAGACTTCGTAGCAGTGTATGGAGAATGTTCGATCTAGTGCGCCGAAATCGAATGCTAACCAGAACACGGAGAATAGTAGCAGTCTCTCGAAGGCGTTAAAAAATCTGCCCCTATCGTACACTACTAGACGATTAAAGTTCTTCTTATTCCACTTGTCTAAGCGAGCAGACTACTTCTTCTTAGCGCATTCGTCGCTACTCCTTTCCGCATTAACTAGGTATCTAAAGATGTTACTATCGGAAAACTCGAGCGAGTTTACGTATTCTTCCTACATGCTTTTCCGATTATATAGAGGGAGGCCTAATAATAAGCTATTGCTCCTACAAAACTCGAATCTCGTTCTCGCTTACCTTCGTCGTAAATTCTAACATTCCACTACTAGTAGGGAGGCTTTAGAAATTTTATTGCCGCCTATACTCGATGTTTACCGTATAGGTAGGGGGGGGGGGGCATCGGAATCGATTGTTACCTTACCGTAGAGCGCTCTAGGTCAATTACTCTAGCTAGACCGCATGCCCTATGTAGGAGAGACATCGTATATAGGACATCTATAGATGTTAAACTATAGTAGGGTCGAATCGGCGAGTAGACTCGTAATGCTCGGTTTGGGCCTATAGACTATACCTATAGGGCGGATTATAAGTATTTATCTACGGACTAGTTTCAAATGGCGTACAGCATCTATAGATATACGTTAAGCTTATTAGTGCGTGGAGCACATGTCCTACGACGGCTATAGGCTAACGCTAGCGGATTCCTACTTGCCTAAATCTGCTATACCTACGGAGCTAGGACCGGATGCTAGTATAATAATCTATGCTAGTGCTAATAATTGTCTTGGCCTCTCGATATTAAAGCTTGGGGAGTATTGTAACAAAGGCTAGGCTGCTACGATACTTTCCCTATATACTTAAAAACTCCCGTCTATATTACACTTAAATACTCTGCCTTATCTACTATTATAGCGACAAATCTTTACTATTCTACTCACTTATAACGTATGTGACCAGCCCTTATTACTTGTTAATCATTAGCGTATCTAATAACATATCGTTAAATAGCACCGCCTAGACAGGCCTTAGCTTAGAGCGAGTCGAAAGCTAGATTATTCGAACGATTAGGCTTGGGTAAGCGAAATGCTTTCTACCGTAGAGTGTATTCGATAATAAAGGTAAGCATTAAACATCTCTTCTATTTAGTACTTATCCTAATAGTAAATAGGAAGAAGTAGTAGAAGGAGGGAGGCGAATAACGGAAAGCAAAGACGTTCTAGTACTAGTACTTCGAGGGAATATATCCGTCGGGCTACCTTTTAGTAATGCTTAGATTAGTAAGACGGCTACACATCGCGAAATTCTACGGATCTATCGGATGGCACGGCCGGAGACTAGAGTAGTATACGATCTTAGCCGTAATATCGACCGTGTCGAGGAAGAGAATTAGGTTATCCGGTAGATGCTCTAGTACGTCTTTTGCTATAGAGACAGTCGTAACAAAAATCGGAGAACAACCTCTCGGAGTCTAGAACGATTAAGGTGCTCGCAACCTATAAGCTTGGCGTCGATCGCTACTACTACGGCGTCTCGCTATAAGTACCTTGTTTTAATAATAAGCCTAGTCCTAGCGATACGGTGTAGCTAATAGTCCTTATAGGTGCAGTAAGTAGCTCTAATTCCTACCGGCAAAGCTACTATTAGGATCCTATCCGCGACATATAGTACAGCAGATAGTTTATCGCTTGGACATTAAGTCGGAGTGCTACTTACTACGGAATCTTAATTCGGCATACTATCCGTAGAAGGGTCTATGTCCTAGTAGAAGCCTAGAGTCGGTCGAAAATGCGCGATCCCCTACTACGATATTAGCGGCGGTAGAACAACTAGAATAATCGGCGGCTATAGTAGGACGGACGTCTTAGCTCGTATCGGCGAGCTATAATCACGAAACGAAAGGTTCGACGGCTAGTACTACGACTAGACCGATGCTGGCGATAACCCCGAATCGAGCGTTATGTCTACCGTCGACACTATCTATGTTCACCTAAATGTTAGTCCGAGGAGGCCRACGGAAAGCTTGCCTATAGGTCGACTTCGACCTCCGTGCGTCTTGTTTGTGCGTCTTGTTTAATTATCCTATTTGTAAGATGTTTCGTATGCTAGTCGATTAAGGACGCTAATTCGGGCGGCCATCTTAGCACTTAGTAGACCCGAGTACGACGGCATATTTGTTTAAGGGACGAAATAGTACATTGTAAACCAGTTAAGCGTAGAGACGGTCCTAAGGAGAGTACGGCGCACCTTTTCCACGTATAGCTTCCGCCTCATTGTTATAGTATAAAAAGATTCCCTAGGAACCTCCATCCTATAAAGAGCACGACTCGCGATTAGGTCGAGCAAGAAGTGGAAAAGGCGAGCCTCCGAAAACATTAAATGAGTCTATTATACAGCGTAACGGAGCTCCGTCCTGTGACCAAACTAGCTAGGAACACCTAGGGCGTTAAGTAATCTAAATGAACGTTTCCACATGCCCGGCGTGGTTAACACAATTCAGTATAACCACGGCCGGAGACAAAGTTAAAGTGTGACGGCAAGTCCAATTGCTCAGCTTACAGACCTTTTGGGTATAGCTGATTCGTGCGACGGGACGGATGGCAAAGTCGGAACGAAACGCTTATACTACGCATAGGAACCGTTTGGGCCCTAATCGACGTTAAGAGCATCWCGATCTAATAGGAGTTAGTTCCGTCGAGCGGCCCCATTTATATTCCCGTATTTTAAGTCTCTATTACGGAGACATTTCTAAGGAATATTATACATAAAATGCTTGGCCGCTTAACGGCTGGGTATGTAATGTAGCGACCCGCATTAGCACCGATTATGTAGTACCGAAGTAGCGCGAAAATGCCGACCTAAAGATGCTAGAAACTGCTACGTAACGCTACTTAGATTTTGCCCTCTAATCTTTTGTCTTAGCATCTTTCTATGCTTTATATATACTTTTCCTACTTCCGGAATCTGCTCGAATACGTTCTACTTTATTGTTAGTAAGACTCCTTTAGTGCTTTAGAAGGCCTTTAATTAGGTCCACGGCGAAAACAAATAAAGTCGTAGGTAAGCTTAATGTAACTTAGGATGTAAACAGAGGGGCTATCTGTAGCTACTATTCCGAATTTCGTAATTTCCTAGGTTAATCGATCGTTAGAATATTATGTAACCTCTTAGCACTCGATTTTCTACAGATTTAGCGATGTCTTAGGTGTGTACGGTTTTAAGGACCATATAATTACACTGCGACCAAAACATATACCGCATTATTAGGTCAAAGTTGTAATGCTGTGTATGAATTATTAGCTACGTGCCGTCGATAGCATAGTACCGGTCTACGGTTGTAATAAAAGGTAGGCCGAAGCGGGGGGTCCGTGTTCGATATTGTGCTATTCGTAAGAGTTTCCTTATCGGTGTTCTAGCCGGATTAGATTGTAACGGCGAGGTAGCCTAGGCCGGACATCTTTAGGGCTGGCTATAGTAAGGAAGTCTTAGAATCGAGTAGCAGGGGAAATTTCCGACTTAATAAAACTCGGGGAAGGACCAAACTTCGTATATATACTAGTCCGTCCGAGGGATTCTTGAATTTTCTGCTCCGTTACTATTTACAAATGTGTTAATTATAACGAGGTGAAGTTGTTACACCTGCGTTATAGGCGGAGATAGATTGTCTTACTAATTCCGTGCCGACGTTCGGAGGTGCTCTTTCGGGATCCGCTTCGGCATTAGGTAGCATTATGTTTACTAGGAAGTAAGGCATGTTAAACATCTACAGTTATAGCACACACATACTCTCTTACTCCCCCTCTCTTACTCCCTCTCTCTTACTCCCTCTCTGTCTCTTACTCCCTCTCTGTCTCTTACTCTCTATCTCTTACTCCCTCTCTAGCTCTTACTCTCTATCTCTTACTCCCTCTCTGTCCTCGACACTTCGTCTACCCGCTATACTATTAACGAAAAATCTCCGGCTTCCATTCTTAAGAGCAACTTAAGCTGCCGCCTTAACTTTAGTACTAGCGAGCGGGCCTTAGTATCCGCCTTCATTAATATCACGATCATGCCTTTAATTATCTACCGTAACGGTAACCTTCTATATAGCCTTATCCTAGTTCGGGATGGAAAAGCATTTGCAACTAAAGACTATGCTCCTATGTTCCGAAGAATCGGAACCTACGTCGTAATATAAGAGAGGCGGTACGACTAAGAGGATTTATACAAATGGGTAGTCGAGCGTCGTTTTACTCTAGAAAGAGTGTTCGTTATACGTTAGGATAGAGCATTCGGCACATAGTATGTCCTATAATTACGCGTTAGTAGTAACGATAACATCGTGCCCTAGATACTAAAACGAAGGTAAGCCCTACTAGTACGTAGCGGATTAGCGGGCCGGCGCGATTCTAGCTAACCTTAGATAAGGCGGAAGCGTAGACAGACGTATATATAGCAGAGCTGGCTAGTAGACCTATATAGTGCCGTACAACGGCTTCGCAAATGTCCTCTCCTCCTCCGGATAGCCGTATAGCTAAGGCTCGATTACGCCCTCGGAAGAACATTACGCCGATTTCTACGCTCACCTAGGACGAGGGGCCGGTACTAACTCTAGCTCTCGGTTTTACGAGTGAGCTAACTTAGGAAGTCGACCGAATCTTCGGGAGTGCCCGTAGGCATAGTAAGGTCTTCTATAAAGTTTAGTAGGAGCCTACCTAGGAGCCCGCGGAAAGCCTATAAGGCTCTACCGATGCTACCGTCGCGGAGTTCCGCTTAAACAAAAAGCGTCGAAGAGTATGTTAATCGAAGTCTAGATTTAAGCAGGGAACGAGAAGCTTTCGCATCTGTATATAATCTATTTTTAAAGACGCCATACGCCATCTATACAAAGTATCTTATTCTTAACTCGACCTTTTGTTCGCAAATCTTCCGCTAGCTTATTAGCAAGCTTAGGAGTAAGTAGGTGCACATGTAAGCTATAAAGCTGGGTTAAATTTGTAGTCCGCTGTTGTTTAGTAATTTGCTCTCCTATATTGTATATTACGCTGTTAACAAATACATCTATATAGCCCCTAGTATAGGTTCGTAGCTACTACGCTAGGCTAATAGAAGACCTAAGCGCGGAGTAGCTGCCTTTACAGGCTATTATAACCAAGCTCTATTTATATTCCCACTCGTATATAGTGCTTACGTACCGTCTATATATAACGCTGTTAATATATCTACATAGTATCTATAGCACGGTACGTAATTAATAACTACTTGTCTTAATAGTCGATAGCGACGCTGTGTTTACGAACCTCGGCCCGGAGCCACGTATAATCGATCGGCCTAAGGCACCCGCATTAGGTCTAAATGTCATCCTCCACATTTTTAACGACAGCTTATAGATGCTGTTAAATTCTGTGCCTAGAAAGCTAAGTGCTATAGCCTTGCAACCGGCCGCTTAGCGGCATCTCGCGTGCCTTATAAATAGAGCGGCACGTTATATACATTACTAATATACGGCAACCTTAATTTGCCGTAYAGGTTATACCGTGTCTAGTGTATACGTCGTAGCGATAGTAAAGGTAGCTAATAAAACGAGTAATTAATACTTCATATTAATAACACCCGTAGCACGCATCGCGAAATAGATGCGAGCTCGGCTAATCGCTACGAGATACGCCTCTCGCAGCTAGCAGAAGAGTGTTAAAAGAGTTATTAATGTGTTCTTGCCTCGTAGGTGCACGTATAAGTATAAGAGAGCATAGATCTAGGCACGTAATGCTTAAGATGTATAGATATGCCTAAGGGCGTGCCCTATGTTCGTTTACTATACTTAAAAAACTTCCCTACTATAATACCTGCCCCTTATATAGCTTAGTCTAAAGTAGCAGTCCCTCTTTTAAAGGGCGATACTTATACCGGAGCTAGTAAAGAGATGTAGGCTAATACTTTATCGAGCACAAGAATTGCATTCGAAAACATTCTAATCTCGGCGAAGACATTATAAGCCGATAGGGCAATCTAAAAGATTCTTAACAATATAGACAAGGTCCCCGTGCTTAAGTTAAGGATACAAAGCATTATCGAGCAAGACAGGCTCTATAAGATAGCTCGACTACAAGCTCTCGAAGACTATAATAACGACCGCGATAAGTGGATAGCAGAAAAGCAGACTTTTAAGGCTAGTTTTCAGTCCTTAACATAGGAGGTTAAAGGCAACTAAAAAAAATGCTAAGATCTATAAAGCGCCGAAAGACATTAGGTAGACTAGGTCAAAGCACTAGAGAATCTTACAAATCTATAAAAGGGAGACATATTATAATAATAGAAGAGCAATAAGGGTCTGATTAACGTAATTAGATCTAAAAAGGACAAGAACGACGCTCTTAAACATGCGCTCGACCAGGCCACGATTAAGATAGCGTAAGTCAGCGATAATAAAACACAACTATAAAAAGATTTAGCGGTAGCTAAAAAGCGAGCTAACTAGAATGCAAAACAATTACAAGCTGTAGTAGATATAACTGTTCCTTTAAAAGAGGATAAGCAAGTGTAAGTCGATCCTAAGCCTGCCTTACTCTAGTTACTAATAGTAGACAGTCTAGAGAAACTGGATTCCGTGTAGGTAAAAGCCGCCTCTTTAWTTTGTTCAACCTTTTTCTATAATACCGACTTAGCCGATTCTAAGGTAAGACCTAATAAGCTAGTCTCCTAGCTATAGGCTAACGGTTTTTCACAGACTACAAACTTTTGGATTTAATTAGCGTAGACTACAAGCGCCTAGAATAATTCGTTGCCTATGCCCTAGAGCAACACTAGTGCGGTAAAGCAGATACGGTACGTTATAATCCTAGCGCGTCTATCGCGTGCCTTCGTAGACCCTTTATTTCAGCCGACCTATCTTCTTCTAGAAGAAAGTAGGATTCGCGACTTGTTATTACGCTAAGCCTAGGACTATCCTATAAAGGAGTCTACTATACGAGCACTGTTATAGGCGATGCTACGGAAAGAATAGGAATCCGCGTCCTCTACTAGGATTATAAAGGCTTATAGTATCGTTATAGATATAGTAGATAGATTGTTGCCTAAGGACAAAGAAGCATAGTTTCGGGAACAAATAAAAGACCTTATAGAGGAAGCACGGGATATCTAGTAAGAAGTATGCCGCTTTACTAAAGCAATTAAACCACGATTTGACTTGTAAGACTATACCGACTAGCCGTAGAACAAGCTGCTATTTAAAGCGGCTCGACCGGTTATCGTTAATTAGGGACAGTATTCACGTACAGGTCCTAACTAAGCTATATTCGCTGTCTTCCCGCGTCTTTACGCGATTGCGGGAGATATTCGGAGCCCCGAGACCCCTAGGGTATTGTTTATATAGTCTTAAGCCTAAGTAGCAAGTAAGGAGATAGGAAAGTTGTATACAGGTTCTCGAGCGGGAAGAAGCAATTCCGTGCGAATGAGATCGAAATTCTAGAGAGCGTTAAACGGGAAGGCCATTAACTAGACCACACCTAAAGACTAACATCATTTTGTAGGGGCTGGGGAAAGCTAAGAGTATTTCTAGGAAGATCGAGTGTAGAGGAAAGCTAAGCGTAGGCTAGAGCTATGTAATAAGGCTACTATAATTGTTAGCGATCGTTTGCATGCGTTATAATCTGTATAACGCAAGCTCGCTATAGCTTGCGCCGGCGTAGAAAGTCAAAATAGAAGCTCTTACGGAAGAAGAAGTCGAAATTACCGCTAATAAACTCCTTAACACGCTAAAAATTAATCGTCTTGCGGTTGCCCTAGCGGATTCCTCCCTTAAGATCTTCGGACGTTTACTGTTAGTTAGACCGTCTCGTAAGGACTACTAGCTAAGTTACTACTATACGATAGAGGGGTTAAAGAGGCATAGTCTAGGCTCCTACGACGCTTAACGACCTAGAACTAGTCGAGCTAGATAGATGTAGTTATATACTATTCCTCTACCGCAACGGAGTATAGTAGTATGTATTATATGCGGCAGGATACGTTTTAGCTATACACACTCGACGAACTTAGTGCTCGCGTTCGATCCCTATCGTACTACTTTTGCTAACAACTTCTAAACCGTAACCGGTTTTAAATATAACCTGTTTATGTTCGGCTATAGTTCGCATATCCTATAAGAATGAGCGTATTATCCGACACCTTCCGAGCCCTAAAATTGTCGCCCTATATATAGCAAGTCTAGCTAGATTCTATACAACACAAGCGAACTATAGCGGGCAGCTAACGTCACGTTTTCGAACATATATGCGCTTCTGCCCCGCATTCCTCACCTGCCTTCTCTTCGCCCGGTATCGTAAGAAGGCGTATAACGAGTAACGTGTCTTACTACCCTTACTAGGACACATTGTCTAAAGTGCACCTTAGTTAAGTAACGAACGGTCGTGAACCTATAGTCTGGCAATCTACGATAGGAGATGGCCTTAGCAGAATCATTAGTTTAATTAGTTAAATGCATAGAACGCTAGTATTAATACCTGCCCTAGCTAGTTTCGTCGGTCCGCGGGGAAGTTAGAGGGCCCTACTACTAATATTAGTACTATAGCGCACTCTAGCATCCCTAAATCAAGTCTAATCTACTCCAATTTAGTCCTATATCGTTCCTACTATGTCGGTAAGTAGTCCGTGTAAAAGGTGTTGTTTTTAACTATTCTAACTACGCGTAGGAGCCTCGTAAGGCTAATAGCCGGTAGTTAGAGACCTACCTCTATAACTAGCTCCGAGTAGCTTTCGAAACTACTAACCGTAGTAACCGTACTATTAGACGTACGTACGGTATTGCCTATTATAAGACAGTTGGCCGTATAAGGCTTAGTTTCGAGTTGTTTAGATAGCCGTATCCTCTACCTAATATACGTAGAGGTAGGCTACCGCGCCTTATACGAGATAAAGAGTAGGGCTTCCTTCGGTATGTCTAGTCGTAGCCGGATGCCTACGCGGATAAGATAGCGTAGTAGATATTCGATAATACTAGCTACGTRTATAGCGACCGCGGCGTATACGCCTTACTATCGCGGTTATAATRGACTCGAAAGGTTRCTCGGCGGATTACTAGAGAGCGCGATAAGCRACTACGGTCGTATTAGCGCGCGAAGGCCATCGGATAGAAGCGTAATAACCTAGTATTTATCGACGAGTTAGCGTRTAATAAGCGGAATAGATATAGGTAGGTTRTTAGTGTCGCTATAAGGTTACGAGAGTTACGAAAGTTAGTGTTTTAGCTTAACTAACAACACACTTAGGAAGTACTCTTAGTTACTAATTAGCTATCTAGTAGACACTCGGTTACTAACTAAACGCTCTAAACGGTAGTTACTAGTTCTAGCATTTATAATGCGAGGTTACTTAGACGGTCTATTATTAAAGYAAGGAGCGATTACCGTAGAGGAYATACTAAACTAGCTAATCTAATAGGTCCTTCTACAACTAGCTACTAGCATAATTRTTATTATAGAYAATRCATTAATCTACCGCTCTAAAGCTRTCGAAYAGGCCGTTTAAGAGGCTAGCTATACACTCGAGATGCTACTACCTTACTCTCCGGACTTTAATCTAATAGAGYAGTTATTTAATGTCCTTAAGTTATAGATAAAGCGACACCGAAACGAAGTAGCGGCGTATACTAATTTCGAGGACTTCCTTATCTACGCTATATAGGAATAAGAGTTCGAAACAACAGCGTAGAAGCACTTCGAAAAGAGTAGTTATTACCTATAGCTTACTATTAGAGCTCGTCTCTATATGTACATTTATCGCAGTTAATATTAGCTAGTCGCATTATATATGCGTAGGAAGCTCCGTATCCTCTAGAGTATTAATCCTTTCCTTAAGTCCATCTAATCGTAGTAATATTAGTAATATTGCCCTTATTACCTGCTCTAGAGTCTCTTAAATTGTAGTAAGTTGTTTGTCCTTAAAGATAGTCGCGGGTTCCTTATATATTAGTAGTGTAGGGAACGGTAAGGACGTACTATTCGGTAGTAAGGACGGTAGAGCGCGTAGTAATAATATGTCGACCTGTGCATTTCGAATTATTCGTGTTTGTTAGAGGTTGGATTTAGAGGCTTATAATAGTCGAGATGTCGCTTTAGTTCGTGTCTAGTTTACTTATATGTATAGCTAAAAAGGGCCGTGCGCGACGCTCGGCGAAGTTTAGAAAGATTAGTAGAGTTAATGTAGTCGAGCGTGTGACGAAGTTAAAGCTAACTTAAGACGAACTCCCCGCGGAAATGCTAAGAATACCGTTTGGACCCTAAAATCCCGAGATCCACCTCGTACACGGTATAAATGCGTAACAACCGTACACTCTAAATTCACTAAATAAATACTTAAAATTCGAGCGCGTCGAGAGCTACAATTTAAGCTATCGTTAACCGAAAACGGCGTTATAGTTGCTACGTAATCTAACATAGACTATATACGGCCGTAGGTCGACTTTAGATAGACTTCCCTAAGCTTTAGTAGGGCTTAGCGAGGTTAACTATACTTAAAACTTTCCCTACCTCCTTATAACAACACCATTTTAGAGCATATAGTATATAACATAAAATGGATCCTATAATAACTCGATCCGGAGAAGAAGCTCGAAGAAAAATCGCAAGAAACGGACCGTTAGTTTAAAAGCTATTAGACCTCGAACATTACTACTATCGCCCTAACGCCCGCATCCTCCTTCGCATAGCCTTAAACTCTTCTACACACCGTTTAATGCGGAGTTTATAGCTAGGCATTAATCCCCTCGCTATCTACTGCTTCTTACTAACTTAAGTAATATTAATAACCGAATAATTATTATTAATTATTATCCTTTTAATAGAATAAAGGGCTTGCTGCCTTACCTTACTACTCCACTCTATCTTCGGCATACACTAATTAATAAACTCTTTAACTTCATCCTTAGGCTCTAGCTATAACGAGGGCAATTTATCTCGCTGCTATATAACAGGCGTAGGCGTTAGAGTAATAGTAGACGGTGTGTTATTATAGATATATACAACTTAATTACTACTACCGTTTAATTAACGATTGAGCTTCTATCGAATAGCTTATATACTGTCGCCCTAGCCGTACGTACTAGCGAGTTTAGCCTTAATTAATTAACGGCGTATCCGTTCCCCTAGCTTATCTATAGTAACCTCGCTATTACCTATTAACGACTACTACGCTATAAGAAYAGCACTATAGAYAGGGAAGTAATTCRTAGGCTTATTACGGCCGTCGATAAAGYAAACGTRATCTACGTTCTTATATCCTCCGTTTCGATAGGGCTAACGAAGTRTAATAGCCTCTAAGAAGTTACTACTAGCACGTAGGGCTRCTTAAGCTTCTAGYAATCGTCTAAGGTAGATTATAGTAGCCGTTCTTACTATTAGTRTAGGAGYAAYACTAGCGTCTAATTTAACTTCTACACCTATACGGAGGTCCTTYTTRTTCGCTATATAGAATAGGCTTAGTTCCCTTATAATATAATRCTAAYTACTAGTACCCTTCTACGTCTRTTTAGCCTAAGTATAGACTAGYAATRTATAGTAAGAAGCAGTTAACTTAGCGCTTACGAAYACACCTCTTATTATTCGAATAGCTRAGTTAATCTAGTCCGATATATTACTAGCGCTRTCCTCGTCGCTTCTAAGCCTCTAAGTTTTATCTTCTTACTTACGGCCCTTCTTATAATATAGGCTTACTCGATACTCGAACGGCTATAGCTCCGAGGGCGGCGACGAGTACTTAGAGCGTAATATCGAYACGGTRCGTCTACTTAGCGGTAGCTCCGCTAAAGGCTCTRCTTCTAACACTYRCTAGTTTAACGGACTAGCGAYAATAACCGGCTCYRCGATAATAATAGGCTCCTTRCCTTTACCCTTCTTCCGCTTCTTCGATAGAGCTACGGCGGCGTTAATAACCTTCGTAGCTTAATAYRCTACATTCGMGCGCTTAGCTAATATRCGCTACTRTTCCTTCTACTTATCCGCCTATAGTTTACGATGTCGCTATAGTTCTACTTCCTTACGCTCTCGTTTAATCCTAGCCTCTTCCTTATCCCTCTATTCTCGGTTACGCTCTCGAAACTCTACTAACTCCGCCTTAGTRTACTTATAATAGAAGGATTCTAGTTCYACCGTGCCTCCGCGCTTAATTAAGGGCACTAGAGTTACGAAYAATAACTRCTAAGAGCGCTTAGAGCCCTCCGTAATATTACTTAGCCTTACTATTRCCTCTATAGCTAAYACTCGAACGTCTAGTTCCTTATCTTTATCTTTATCTAGYACCGGCTCCGGCTCCTTCTTAAAATCTATTAACTTCTAACGTTTTAACCGTRGCTTTATCGCGTTAATTRTAGCCTACGCTTTAGGCCTACGCGATATAGAGCGCTATAACCTCCGTAACACCGGCTAAGTAGAAGGAGGGGGCATATAGCCTAGAGAGTCCGGCTAAGGCGTATCTAGTAGTAAAGATAGTCGCTAAGGGCCCTTATTACGCGGTAGTAAAGACAGTAGTAAAGAAGGGCAACGCGACGAGATATTAATAGCCTCTTAGCTCTCGTCTAGTAGCGTAGGTATAGCGAAGACATAAATAACACCTTTTAAGAAGCCTTAGCAACGACACGGTTTAGTATATTAGCCTAATCGAGACGGTTAGAGATGCTAGAGGGTAGTGTAGTACTAATGTTAGTAGTAGGGCCCTCTAGCTTCCCCGCGGAGGTTAACGAAACCGGCTGGGGCAGGTATTAATACTGGCGTTCTAACTGGGCCTAGCAGGACGGAGATCGGAGCCTTATGTCACCACTACACTAAATCACGCACTGACATATGTTCAGCATCCTACCGCATCGGAAGCTCGCCCCGCTCCTTGGCTGCAAGTGCGGACCGTTGCGCCGTCTCATACAAAAACAGTGTCCTCGACCAATTGCAAGATGATATTGAGCGGGAAGTTTGTGCGAGTCGTACAGCGCCGGCGACCTTCCCATGCAGCTCCATGCTGTAGCTAGGTCAGAGTCATTCCCAACTCCATGCCCATCAAGTTCTGTACGGCTACGCGGACAATAGCAAGCAAATTGGCCGTGACCGTGTGAGMTACCTTTCACGTACATGCGTCACCTCAATGCAATCGACGATGGATTGGCAACAAACCCAACTCAGACTCTGCATTTCCGCGGGAATTTGATCTGCGGTGAGTAAGAGGGCATTGATAGTGATACTGATGATCGCAGTACGCATGGCACACCAGGGTTGATTGAAAATCTGGAACGAATTTGCTCAAGTTTTCCTCAGTCTCCAATGGTCGGCGTTGGGTATGACGTGGAATTGGTCAAGGCAGCGCGGTTTGCAGGACCTGCCGTCGTGGTAGTTTCCGTTACGGAGAACATGCATGCGGTTCGAGGCTGTGAGTACTGGTCAGCTCATGCAAGTACGTACGAAGGAGTAGTTTGGATGTGTCAAAATGCTCATCGTCACCCGCGCGGCGAATGATCGGTGTCATTCAGTTGCCATCGATGGGAAAGTCAGTGAGCTGGGCACATGATCCTGCCATGCCGGAAAGTCTTACCTTTGATGTGAATCGCGGAGACGTCGCGCAGCTGCCATCGTCTACCATTCCTCGCAGCAGTGCCTGTGCCAATCAAGAGCTGCCGGAAGGGTGGAGTGTAACAAGTCAAGATCGGAGGGAGGCCGGACCGGCGAGCTATGGCTGGCCCCCTGCTGTAGGTAGTTTTGGTGGAGTACGTACGAGTCCGATTAACCCACGACTCGAAGGTTCCGTCGCCGTGGGCGGACGGGAGGCTGTTCGGAAGCGTAGAGCGCCTCGGTAGTGATACGTATATGTATATACCTATTCATGTCGTTTCTCCCAACCACTTGAACTCGCCAACAGAGTTTGTCTTTGTCTACATCTGCAAGATGACCAACACCGAAGCATTCGATCGCCACAATGAGCCCATCGCTATTATCGGAATGGGTATGTTGCAATCGAATAAAATCACTTTTGACAGACAGCTGCTGACCAGTAAGCCTGCAACCTGGCCGGCGGGATTGACTCTCCACGCAGGTTCTGGGATACATTGATTAATGGGGAGATCAAGCTCTCCGAGAAGATTCCCAAGTCCCGTTTCAATATTGACGCCTATTTCCGCGAGGACTCTTTTGGTAGAGCGGGAGCCATTGCCTCCAAGGGTGGTTTCTTCCTCGAGACTGAAACGAACGCCTTCGATGCTGAGTTCTTCGGGATTAGTGCTGATGAAGCCAGCCATATGGATCCCCAGCAATTCCGCATCCTCGAGAGTGTTTATGAATGTCTCGAATCTGCGGGCAAGACAATGCAGGATGTCAAAGGGACCAATACGGCCGTCTATCTAGGCAACTTCAGCCTGGACAAGGTCATTGCTTCAGCTCGCCACTCGTACGATGATCGCCATCTTCACGAGGTCGCCGGCGTCGACCCAGGCTTATTGAGCGCTCGCGTTTCATACTTCTACGATCTGAATGGTCCAGTCTACACTACAAACGCAGGTTGCACGAGCAGTCTCCTCGCTCTCCACACCGCTTCCATGGCTCTCCGCCAAGGAGAAGCGCCGGCCGCGATTGTTGGCGGTGTCAACCTCGTATTGGGACCTGAGGCCTATTCCAGCTATTCCAAGTTCAACATCATGTCGGAAGACTCTATGTGCCACCCATTCGATGCCCGTTGCAACGGTTACGCCCGTGCCGAAGGCGTGGGTGCGTTGTACGTCAAGCTACTGTCGGATGCAATCCGGGACAACGATCCCATTCGTGGTGTTGTCCGGTCGCTCGCCACTACGGCAAATGGTATGATTCCAGATACGCCTCTTTTCATCCCCAACGAGACCGGTATGGTGAAATGCCTGAATTTGGCATACTCCCAGTCAGGCTTGGATCCCGCCGAAACTGCATATGTGGAAACTCATGGTGTTGGAATGATTCCCGGAGAGATTGCTGAAGCGCACGCCATCGGCAAAGTCATGAATACGCCCAATCGACGGTCACGACCTCTTCCCATTGGCGCTCTGAAGACAAATTTTGGCCACCAAGAGGCCGCCAGCGGGATCTTCGTCCTTATGAAAGCAGCAATGATGACAGAGGCTGGCATCATCCCGGGTCATGTGAACTTCAAGTCAGCACACCCTGCCATCGATCTCGAGAAGCTCAACATCAAGCCTCAAGAGCAGACCGTCGATTGGCCAGCTGATTACCCTACCCGCCGTGTGGGAATATGTTCTTACGGATGGACAGGGACCAATGTACACAGCCTCATCGAAGCTGTGCAGACGCTGCATCCCAACTATCGTCTGGGACAGAGACGCAAAACGGCCGACTATGACCATTCTGTAGCACGCCCTTTACTGCTGACGTTCTCGGCCGCCAAGGAGTCCTCCCTACAAGCATACATTGCTGCGTTCTCGCAGGTTGCCGACGAATTCTACGCTGCCGACCTTGCATACACGCTGAACATGAAACGATCCAAGTTCGACAATCGAGCCGCCGCTGTGGTCGGGGTGTCTAGCTCAACGCAAAGCGATATCACGCAGTCTCTTAAGTCAGGCCCGGCCGCAACGGGAGATGCCACCAAGAGCATTGTGTTCTCCTTCACCGAATCATCTCGAGATCTCCTTCCACTGGCTCGTGAATTGCAGAAGCATTTCCCCATCTTTGCCCACTCAATGGACGCCCTCAACCTGCAACAGACACTCACGGACCCTGCTACCGCGGCCCATCCTTCGACAGTCATACAGATGGCACTTATTGACCTTCTCTATGACTGGAACATCCGCCCTTCGGTCTTGCTTGAATCAGATACCGCTGCTGCAAGAGCTGCCAGCTCCAAGTTGGAGAACGTGCCTTTCGCCTCCAAGGATGCACCAGAAGTTAAAGGTGCAGCGGTGACCGTAGATCTCAGCCAATTCCAGGACCTGGCTGGTCTGATGTCGCTCGCTGGAGAGGCATATATTGCGGGCGTGCCTCTCGACCTGGAGAAAGTCAATGCCAGCAKCTCCGTCACCTGGAAGCCTTTGGTTGCGGTCGATTTGCCCCATTACATTTGGGACCATTCAAAGACCTATTCGAGCGAGAGTCATGCCAATATCGAGTTCAATCAGAATAGTCATCCTTACCATGAGTTGCTTGGTCGCAGAGTCTGCGGCCTTCCGCCAGCGACCAAGATCTGGAGAAACAAGCTTTCCTTCCAAGATCTCCCGGACTGCCTTCCCCCTCAATCAAAGGCGAAGCCTGTCACAACTCTAGGAACAGCAGCGCTTGTATCGATTGTCGCCGAAGCCTTGCATCAAGGCTTTGAAAACGCCCCTCCCACCGGTTGGAACATTCGGGACTTCAAGGTTCTTCAACCTCTGACCTACGAGAACGATGTTAATTTGATCGAAATCCACACGTCGATTTGTGAGACATCAAGCGCTAGCTACCAGATCACGATCCAGTCAGTCAGAGAGGGAGTTTGGACCAAACATYGTGAGGCATTCATGTTGCAGACATGCGATAGAACAGATTCCCCTCTGGATGTTGTTGACGCTCCTACTTCTTCGGATATAACCCTTGAATCTGTCCCAGCAGGCGAGGCTTTTGATCTTGACTCCACACTGGCTGAAGCTGGTCAGAAGCAATTTGACCCTTACCGCGTCCACCCCCGACTCATCTCTGCCGCGCTGGACATTGCTGCGCAACATGACTCTGACTCTGGACTGTCCATCAACCTCAACGCCTTGAGCTTGGAAAGCTTGTCGATCTACAAATCTGAAGCTACGTTTGGAGGCAAATTTTCGATTACAGCAACCTCCCAAAATGCTGTGGAGGTTAGCTCTGGCAGCGGCAATGATGTAAAGCCGGTGGTGTCTGTCCGAAGCGTTCACATCTAGTAAGGCGAATGTTAATATTCGGTTCAGACGGGCTGCACAGGGGGCAGTTCGCGGAGGTTGGGCTTGTTTGTTACATAGCATTGATAAATCCTCCCTCCTGAACAGCACTACTATGAAAGACTCCCAGACTAAGACTCTGTTTGCGATCGTGTCAGAAGTGTCGATACTGCAAACATCACCAGAGGATAGAAGCAGAAGTAACACGTCAATTTGCGTCACCCAGCGTTACACCACCATTCCACTACTCATCGGATGTAGAGATTACGCGAATCGATCCTCGCCACATTGCATCACGGCGAAGATCCTTTCTCCACATCCGCGTCAGTGTGAACGATCTAGGAGTAACGTGTGTTGTCCATAGATTCTAGACCGAGATTGATTAGCGCCTGGCACCACCTTCGAACCTGAGTCTCACAAAAATTCATTGCATGGAATCAGGGATTTAAGTCTCATATTGTAAGAGAAATGACTTTCATAACCATTCATCTGATCAACTCAGCATCACTGACTCAGATGTGCCAACCACAGATCGTGCGGTGCACGTCGGATTCATCCAAACACACCATCATTACCCGGTACGAATGCGACGTGAGGTTGATGTTTGGCATATTCGGATACAAAACCCCGGACCGACTCATCAATCCCTTCAAGCATGGGAGCAGCCATACCAAGCTGCAAATGACATTAGTATAGGACTAATATTTAAGCATTGAATGTGCACAAGGAAGCTCACCGCAAAGTACCGCAATTTGACCGCGTGGAACATGGTAGCACCCGTGACTGTGACTTTCCAGCGGATGGCCAGCCACCCGAGCGGTGGCAGGTCATGCACAACAGCCAAAGACGGAGTCTCAATGTTGACGTTGGCATTATGCTCCAACGCTTCGTGGATGGACTCCCATTCGAACTTTTCAAAAGCCCGGGATCCCAAATGAAACGTTGGGTTTCCGTGTTTGTAGACTGGAATCGTCTCATTGAGTGTATTTTGAACAATCAAGTCCACGACGGTGCCAATCGGGAGACCGGCCTGAATCGGCTTGGTCGTATTTACCGCATTTTTTGTGAAATACACAGGCTCCATGGCCGCGCGAAAGAGTTGCCAAGGCTTTTCGTTCACAAAATACTCGGTGACATGTTGTTCGTACTTGGACGGCTGGCTCCCTGCTGTCCAGAGCAATGTCTTGTTGCTTTTCTTGGGTGGAGTCTCAGCTGGGAATTGACGGGCAGAGTACTCATCGAATAAGTCACAAGCTGAAGGGACTGACCCGTCTTGATTAAGACAGATCTTGGTGTTGTCACTTGTGGAAGGAAGTGCCATGGGCTCGCCGTAGATTGGGTATCGTTTGGCCTTAAGACTTCGACTTTAGCGATTGACAATAAGGAATGACAACGCAAGGTATAGGCAGTGATACATACCGGGTAACGCAGGAGAGCATAGCCTTCCAGATTCTGCAGCTTGCTAGCGGATGCAAGACGAATGGCGTAATCGTCCGGATTTTGGTCCAATTTGATTAACACAGTCACCCGGGCCCCATTGGTGATGTAAACAGTCTACGGTTTTGTCAGCAATATGTGAAATGAGTACGGGATAATGGCCTTACGTCGACCAGTTGTGGCTCTATGAAACCGGCGTCATTTGCGACGACCCAGAATCGATGGTTGTCAATACTCCACCTCATCGCATGTTCGAAGCTAACATTGATTATGTTGAGCATAATGTACTCCTTGCCATGTGTCTCAATAACCTACCAACATTACAAGTCAGTCAAATCTCGCTACACAGCCTGTTGGGCCTCTCAAACAAATGTCATACCGTAAAATCAGCCACAGATGGCTTACAGGCATCGGGTTCGATACCGGACGTCACGACGCATCCAGCATCGTCGAGTTCGGCTCCGTCGATGGTGCTGTAGCTGGGATTTTTACAGAATACGCGGCCCTTTCCTGAGGATTCATTCAGTAGAAACTCTCAAAGACGCAAAGCCAGATTTGACAAACCGTTCACCAGGATAGACTTGTAACAAGACAACCCTGTTCCTTTGGCCTTCATTTTCTGAATCTTCCAATCCACCGTGCGGAAATCAGAGGTCCATAGGGCTATATGTTGAATCTCATCTTCTGCTTCCTGGATCAAGTGCAGATCAACGGCAGAGTCCGTTATCCAAGAATACGGGCGCGGACGAGAGAGCGACGGGGCGGTCCAAATGGTGCCATAAACACCCTATACAATGTCAKGGGTGAGAATCTTAGCTATCACATGGAGAGAGGAGAGCACTTACATCGACAACTCCAGCGCCAGTGTGATCAGCATACCAATTCAAGCCCCAGTGTCCAGTTGTGTCGAAACGCGAAGTCCAGTTGCCGCGAGGGAGCGTTGCCCACTGGTTCAAGCCACCTGTGCCATCGTTCTCAAAGCTAAATCAGAAGCAGTCAGCCATGTGTTATGTGAATCCATGCGACGGCAGACCCGTACCCGAACTTCCGGTGGGTCATGCCAGACCTGATTATGATGTTAGTCGACATAAACACTCTGATATGGACGCCAAGGACTCAGACCAGTGGATTGATAACTGCGCGGCCAGATCATTGGTAGTATGGAGCTCAATCTGGTCGCCCTCTCTCGCGGTGAGAGTTGGACATGGAGATTCGCCATTGCACACAAACCCAGGACGCCAGCGGCCTCCATCTGCATTGGAGTTAGAAATTTGGTGGCCAGAGAACCGGACGCCGTCACTCACCAAGATTCTGCCATTTCGTTCCAACAGTTATGTTGTATCTTCGAACGATCTGCGCCACTGGAGCGATGGATGTTGCACTCCCAGCTTCATAGCAGTTTGCGATGTTGACGCCGTGCCATGGGACAAGTTCTCTAAACCACCAGAGCAGAAGTGTCGTAGCAGTAACAACGGAGACAAGCAATCCCCAAAGGGAGAAAGAGACACGCCTCCTGTGTTGCACGGGCGGGATGGCCATCGTGTCAACGATGCTTTCGTATTTGTGATCCATATTGCCAGGAAATGTTGCCGATTGTGCTACACAGACAGAGGTGTGCGATGCTGGAAGGAAAGCTGATGATAACGTCTGGTCAGTGTAGTCGCGGACAAAAGTCATCAGGATATCGAGGGCAGTTTTGCCCTCGAGTCATGTCCAAACGTCGACACGAAGGCGAAGAAAAACTTGCATCATCGGCGTCTCATGGAACATCATCTTCACGTTGCTTGCTGGCTGACTCGGGCTCATTTTTCCTGGTGCAGAATGAATGCATTGCGGTGATATCGGAGATGGGCGCACGGGGATTACGGCCCGCTAGTGCGCCTTGGAAGGATCCATACCTAAGGTATTGTTCGAATCGCGACGCTTCAAAGGTCAGAGTGATAAAGTGAAAGCATGTAAAACTAAAGTAGGCAGGCATTCAGGGTACAGGCGAGTCATACGCCGATCTCCGGACCCACCTCCACTAACCCACTCGGGATAGACTTCAATACCCGAAACGGAAGTCTCGTCTGCCTCGCGGCCAATTAAAAGTCGATTCAGCACAAAGGAGCCATACGAGTCAAAAGTCGACTGTCGATAGGAGTGAATTTGTTTAGGTGCAGCACCCCAAGTTCCTGTGTGATATGGTGCTAGGCTAGTTCCAATCTGCAAGTAGCATGAGCTGAAATCGCAGCGACTGAATCGTCCGCCCCACAGCAAAACTACCTTTTGCAGCTCATCCTTGTCTCAGCTGGACGCTGGACGTCACGGCTTRGCTTCAGCAAGCAGGGGCCAAAACGCAGTCGATTTCGAGTAATGCGAGTGAATTGAGTGGCGAGAGACGCTGACAAGTCGGCGATCCATGACAGCATTGCCCTTTCTGCTGGTGTGCCTCATTTTTCGTAAAGCATCTCAGCCGATCGCGCGGAAGACAATCTTGTGGATAAGACTCCGTAGCAGTCAGCCACGCACACTCTCGTCGACAAACCACCTCAAATCACCTCAGACTCAAGCTCTTGCAGATTTGCTCACGGCCATTCATTACACATCTGCTGCAACATGCAATCGATCAGAGTCTTGGTAGTCCTGCTTTGGGCTACCACCACCTACGCGAAACATGTCTGGCGATACAACATGACCATTACCTCCGCTTGGGGAGAGAAAGGCAAGCCTGCGGAAATTCACAATACTGTATCCATTTCTCCATTCTAATACCGCATCCCTTCTATGCAGATGGCCACGGACGTCCAAAGTACTACATGAACGGCCAAAGCCCAGGGCCGCTTTTAACGGTCCGCGAAGGTGACGAGATGGAAGTATTCGTCAGCAACCAGCTTGCCATTGAGACTACAATGCATTGGCACGGAGTCTATCAGGTGGACCATCCGTGGAACGATGGTGTCCCGGGGGTAACGCAAGTAAGTCATTGCTAATTCTCCTATTGGCCGACGCGATTGTCTACAAACACGTTTCTGATCGCCGTGGCAAAAGTTTTCGATCCAGCCGCGTGACAACTACACCTACCGCTGGACTGCCACGGGGCAGTATGGCTCATATTTCTACCACGGACACTTCGGTCCTGCATTCGCGGATGTAAGTACTTGGCGTCGCACTTTTTAACGAAACGCTGACCATCGTACGTTCCGCCAGGGCATGCGCGGCCCAATCTGGATCATTCCCGCGGAATCGCGCGAGCGACCATACAGACTCATATCGGACTCCAAGCCAGACCTCCTGGCCATGAAAAAAGCAGAAGAAAACCCTCACCATATCGTCACGAGTGATTGGAACGCGGAAGGGATGGACATACTCCTGATACAGTACCGCGACACTGGCTTTGCTCCCTGGTGCTCAAACTCCTTGACTTTGAACGACCGAGGTCGGACATACTGTCATTCTACCCGGGACATTAAGGACGCCATGGGACCAGATCGTAATTCGCTGGGTTGCATTTATCAAGTTCCTGGCTACGAGTTCACCAATCCACTCGAATGCGAGCCTACTCAAGCGCCGCTAGAAGTTGTGCAACAGCAGAAGGATGAAGATTGGGTTTGGATTAACTTCATCCACTCTGGTTCGTGCTTCCAAGGTCTGGGCCGAAGTTCAGCTGCTGACCATGACAAATAGGTGCTCATCACGAGTTATCTATCAGCATCGACGAGCACGACTTCTTTGTCATCGCCGCGGACGGCGAATTTGTTCATCCCCAAAAGGTTCATCAAATCAACGTCAACTTGGGCGAGCGAATCAGGTGAGAATGATCTGATATTTGCAAACGTTGTAACTAACCGTAAAACCAGCATCTTGGTCAAGATGGACAAGAAGGCAGGAGACTACGCCATTCGTCTACACTCGCTAAGTGTTCAACAAGGTATCGAGGGCATCGGCATCCTCCGATACCATCAGCACGTTGTAGGTCATTCTTGGGCTCCTTTCATTTTTGGGCAACGCTCACCTATTTCACAGGGTAGCGCAGACGCCACAAACACCACAGTTCCATCAACGAAGCCATGGGTCCATCTGAATGGCACTCTAATCTCGGGAAGCTCCAAGCGGATGGAGGAGATGGCCCTTGCCCCCTTCCCACTTCGTCCTCCACCAAATCACTCGGACACGACGCTGAAGTTCATAGTCAAGATGACCGGTCCCTCAACTTGGGTGCTTCACTCTTCACCTCACCAAGGTTTCCGACAGTCTCTGCCCCCGCTCCTTTGGGACTCTGACTCTCGTGGCGATACAACCTACGGCTCCCAGGGTACAATGCAGAACGGGTCTGTCGTAGACATAATCTTTGAGAACGACCAAGGAGTAACGGCGATGCACCCCTTTCACAAGCATAATATGAAGGCATTTATCATTGGTAAGTGGCATAGTGCTCTTGCGCTAAACGTACTCCGCTAACTCGGTCAAGGAATGGGTCATGGCGGGTTCCCGTTCGAAACCGTGGAGGAAGCGATGAAGCACGAACATTATCGGAAAGACTTCAATCTGATCGATCCGCCATTACGCGATGGATGCCGCCTAAACGGGGGGCATGGGGCGTGGACGGTCATCCGCTACCAAATTACGTTTCCGGCAGCAAGTATGCTGCATTGTCATCGTATCCACCACTTTGGATCAGGCCAGCAGGTCATTCTCTTGGAGGGTGTTGAATCGATGGCGCCAGTACCAGAAGAAGTGAAGAACATGGTACATGCCGACTTTATCCCGCCTGTTAGATACGGACCTCTGGATTAAACGCTCCTCCCGTACTTGTGATCACCAAATTGGCCGCGCATAAGTTCTAGAACAGGCCTTGTTCGAGGGTAAAGGAGGGGAAAGGAGTGTTCTGAGAGCCATAGTAAAGACCCAATATGAAGCACATATTCGAAGATGATATCACACGTTCGGAGATGATAGCACACAGGATGATATCACATTCGAAGATGATGAAAATACATTTTTCCAACATGGCCAGGCCTGTCGAGTAACCCCCAGACTAGCAACGTTCCGTTTCCCATTAGTTTTCAGCTACGTCTCCCTGAATCGAAGGCCCCATCTAGTAGTGTATGTGTGTGGCATTGAAAGACCCTCCGTTCGGTCCTGGATGATGCGCACACCCCGCTCATTGATCGTCTTCGATTGCTACAACGTATCTCTTCGACCAATGGCACGAAAATACACTTTTCGGATCTCCTGGCGAGTCAGATCAGTGGAAAGACATTCCGGCATGGTCAGGTGCATTTGGTACCTGCGGAGTTATCGAAGCGCACAGCCATCCTGAAMATACATGGGCTAAGGATGCGTCGACTCACGCTCGCAGATCTGGATGGCGTGTCACGTTGATACACTTTGACTCGGCTTCGGCCACTTGTGCCGACGAAACATGACTAGGTCCGCGAATTGCTTCCTCGCCGTAAGCCCAAAACAGTGGGCTTTTGGTGTGAATCGTGATCCATGTTGCTGACTGGTACTGCGCAAGTCTTTGGGTTGCCGGAAGTTGTTCTCGAGCAACAGGCMCTTCAGATCCCTTTCGTTTTGAAGTTTCCAAACTCTTCGTGCAACATTCACACCAACCATGGCTGTACACGACCTATATGCCGAACACGGATTCAGCTTGAGCCCCGTCTTACTGGCGGCTCTATCGCTTTACGGAGGTGTCCTCCTGTATCGAGTGTACTTCAGCCCATTGTCCAAGTTCCCTGGTCCAACACTTGCTGCCGCTAGCAGTTGGTATGAGTTCTACTACGAGTTCATTCACAAAGGTGGCTCTCAGTTTGCTTTCCACATCGATGAACTGCACAAACAATACGGTGTGATTGTATAGTCCCTATAAGATATCAGAAGGCAATGGCTAACGATGAATCTGCGAAGGCCCGTTCGTGCGCATCACTCCATGGGAGATACACGTGAATGATTTCCAGTATTACGACAAGATCTATTCCCATCAGATTCATCATGATAAGCCAGATCACTTGAAATGGCGTGCAGGCCAACCCAATTCCGCTTTCGCGACTCCAGACCATCATCTTCACCGTCGGCGAAGAGCTGCAATCAACCCGTACTTTACGAAATCGCGTGTCAGCGCGTTCGCTCCGTACATCCAGAAGCGTTTGGACAGCATGTGTCGTCGCCTGCAATCTGAATACGCTGGAAAGAATAAGGTGCTGAATGTGGGCGATATGTGGGGCTGGTAAGTGTGGACATGGAAAGGCCCGTTGTGCTGCGTAGCCGAACTAATGACTTCGTAGTCTCGTGGCCGACACGATATCACACTATGCTTTCCACAGAGAGTACAATTGGATCGATACGGCCATCGACTTCAAATGCCCACTTCTAGATCAGGTCGATGTTTTCGCAGATATAATGGACTGCGWCCCCCATTTCCCAGTGATCGGAATGGCCCTGTACTTCATACCAAATTGGCTGGTCAGGACATTGGTTCCAGGTAGCGCTGGCGCAATGGATTTTCTCAGCGTAAATTGGTCGCATTGTCTCCCCGGTGGTGACCGTAACTAATCTTGTTGTAGGAGATCGAGTCGAACGTCAACACCATTAAATCGGCTGATTTCAAGCCACTCGAGGACGCTCAGCACCGAAACATCATGTATGAGCTTATCCATTCAGATTTGCCAGATTCGGAGCGCCGGCAAAAGCGTTTGGTCAGTGAAGGTCTGAGCATCGTGTCTGCCGGGCTAGAGACGAGCAAGACGGCGCTCGAAAGAGCTACATTCCGGATCGTGAACGACCGAGCTATATACAAGAGGCTGAAGAATGAGATTACCGCAATATGGACCGATCCCAAGAGCTCGGCTCCAACACTCATGGAGTTGGAAAATTTACCATACCTATCGGCCTGTGTGGAAGAAGGTTTGTCATCTCAACGGTCTCCTGCAGCATACACTATTGACCCTTCTTCGTAGCATTTCGTTTATCTTATGGAACCCCGACTCGGCTGCCTCGTGTTCCTCGAGAGCCATTCCCGCTTGGCGACAAGGTCGTCCCCGCGGGATACGGGGTCGCCATCCAGGCATTGAGCGTCTTACACGATCCCGAAGTGTTCCCAAATCCATGGGAATACATACCCGAGCGTTGGATGGATCCTTCCACACGAAACGACCTGAAAAGACACTTGGTAACGTTTGGAAGGGGGACCCGCGTATGCGTTGGACAACAAATGGCATATACGATCATGACTTTGGGAATCGCGAATTTGGTAAAGCGTGTTGACTTGGCCTTTTTCGAGACTGACAGATCCGACATCGATCTAGTTCGGGCTAGCTTCAAGCCAAGGCCGAAGAAGGGAAGCCTAGGAATCCGTGCGAAGATTCAAGACGTTGAGATATGATGCCCCTTCTTGGAGAGAACCCGGCATCATTCAGTCTCCAAGTTGTCTATCCCAGTTTGCGGTCTGAAAATGAAACAACATCGATCAATCTCAAGTTCGTCCGCATCTCTGCTATTCTATATACACCCTGCATGTGTTGTAAAGTGGATCGATCCTGCAAGGGCTGCTTTGTACGCGGCCTTCTTCAGATCACCTTCCTTGTCAACTCATGTGTTTAGCAGTTTCATGTTGATACAGCAAACGAGCACTGGGGAAAAGAAGGTCAATCCAGTCGCTCTATTGTAACTACAGAAAATCTCTTCAGGCTGCTTCTTCTACCATTCCAAACCAGTGGTTTATTGGTTCCTGAGCAGCAAAGTTTCGAAGCTGTCCCATTTCTCGGCGTTGTCGTATCTAGGAAAAACAACAAATGCGTCAGCCTCTTGCTTTCCAGAGTGGACAATCTCGGTATGTCTGGGAGGCCAAGAAGCTAGAAGACTTACATGTATGTCAAGCTGCTTCGCATGGTAGGCTGCAGCAGCTGGGGGTGCCATGTGAACAGCCACATGATAGTAGCCCAACAAAAACTGGCAGTGACCGGCCAGCCCGCACGGCGAAGATGTCGCCGCCAGTCTTTATTCCCATATCCGCCAGTTCTAGTAGTAGTCTTCTCTTCCGGCATCTGCACAGTATACCTAGCCAGTCCCATTATAACTCGACCCATCGCGTACATTACCATTTGCTGCACCACGCTTGAAGAAGCTACTTTGTCGCGGCCGAAAACCCAGTATCCGCTGAGAAGACCTGCGATAAAGCTGTGTCTAGGCTCTTGCTTGCCGCGATTAATACGCTTTAGCAACATGCAGAGGAGCTTGTAGATAAAGGCGAAGTTTGCAAGACACTGGGCATGTTGCCTAGTCAACCGGGCAATCTTTCTTATTTTTTCACTCATAGTGCCAGAGCCGAAAAGGAAGACCAGCACGAGCGCATGTGGGAAGCGAATCCGGATTCCATAGACAACACCATTGCGTATGGCCTTGACGAGAGTGAGAGGCTCATGGTATTTGGGGTCGAGTATGATCTTATTGACGGAGTCCTAGGCTTGTGAGCAAGAAGCACGGCTGCATGTAGCATCTATGGCAACATATAGTCACATACCTGAAAAGACTTGGTTGTAGCCATGGCAGCTTCGTGTCCAGAGTTTTATAAGCGAAGAACAAGTGATTTCGCAAAATGGAAGCTTTCGGTATGTGAAGACGTGCCCTGTAGAAGGCGCCCTTTGATAATGAGACCGTTGCTTCGAATGACGGATGCGTGGCCGAAGTAGTCCCATCATCAAGCCTTCGGGACCACGTTCGCAACACTTCGTTTGCCCATTAGTCGTTGAATCCTCYGCGGTCACGCAGTAATGCTAGCTGAAAAGACGTTCTGCCTACCGCACTGCTTTACCTTCGAGCAGCGTCGGCGAAGACTCACTGCTCACTCAAACGTCCGTGATTAAGCCTCGAGAGTCATGGTTGAATCGGCAAGTGCCAACGGTCAGACAGGCACTTCTACACATGTCTGAAGATCTATCCATGAATCGTAACAGGGTTTCGTCTCCGGTATGGGCCGTCGTTGGCACAGTGTCGATGTAGCGACATGGTCGTGCAGCTTGCCTCGCTTGCGTAGACGTGACGGCAGAATTACCAACCTCGTGCCGCGGGCCATGTCGATCATCCCAGAAGGAGGTTCAGATCCGCTCCACCCCTTTTTCTTCGTTACGGAAGAGCAGCTTATCCTGCCCATGACTCTTCCTTGCATGTGCGAGGAGCTGATCCCGCCTACGGCTCTCCCCTGCATGTATGAGGAGCTTATCCCGACTACGGCTCTTCCTTGCATGTCAAGGGTCTGCAGCTTGAGCTGTGAATCTCATCATTGGATGCTGTGGATGGATCCGTGGGTGATTGACTCACTCGGCTCTGGCATCAATCGATTCGAATGGTCCATTGCAACATCAGCAGTCACCAAAACATGCCATTGGCCGCCGATCCAGTTGTAAATGACTGTATCTTTACGTGGAGATCAGTACATTTGACTAGCCTCGAATACCGTTTATTCTCATAGTTATCGATTGAAGCCTTTGATTTATTCTCATCCGATATGGGCCTGCAAACCCCAGACATGGCATTACCTGAACATCTGCACAGGGGCGATGTTCAAACCATCTGAGAAAACGGTTGACTAGATGGTATTGGGGGCTCCGTTGGGTGCTTTACTTGATCGCTGCTCTATCAGGGACGCAAGCTCGATGCATCCGCCGCAAGATGCTCTCGCAACATAGAAATGGCGTCTTTGATCAGATCGGGTCGCAAGCCGAACTCATGGTAATCTGCGGGACATGCTACATCGAATCAGGGGCCTGTTTCGAAAACGCAGGGAGCATATACCGACTTACTCGGGAGTTTTCCTCTGACATACTTTTCCGCCTCGCGCATGGAAATGCTATCCTGCTGCTGTCTCGAGAATATTTGCATCGCGCAAACCCGGTCTCTACGGAGTTCCTGAAAGAGCGCCAACCGCGACGGGATCTCTTTGGTGGATGCGAGCTGCGAGAACAGGACGMCGAGTGCAGCCGCATCTTCAATGGCCATACCGGCACCTTGACCCTGAACTGCAGACCGTTAATTACGACCTCGGATGCGAGACTTTGGGTCATTTTTGGTAGGTCCCGACGTACATGGTAGCAGCGGGTGCGCAGCGTCTCCTATCAGTACTGCACTGTCTTTGGTGAGATTCTCGATGAGTCTGTTGCGTTCGATCAACCTCCATTGTCTGGGCTGTGTAGCATGTTCGCATAGAGCCTCGAGGGCTGGATTGAGGCGCCCGCTGTGCTTTCGAACATCAAACATGGTAGCTTCGATGTCCCAAACTGCCATGGCGTATTAGCCATGCGTATACTAAGTGACTTGGAGATAATGTGATACACCTTCATCATTGAATGGTAAGTCATCATTGTGGAAGAACCCGAAGTTTTGAAGTGTACCCCTGAAGTCTCGTCGTTAGCATTGGTTATTGGATCCCTATCGATCTGGTGAGGCAGTACTTTCGACAAGGGTAACCGATCAATTTCAGCTCCTCATGGGCCGCTAGAAACATCTTGTTCTGAGGGTTGGCCTCGTACAAGGAACGTGTCCTGGGATCCGCAAGAATTTCGCTAGTGTCAGCCAAGAATCGAAAGATCAGTAGCCCGGCGGGCTTGTTGATAACCGGATGTCCTGCGACCAAATGTGCGAATTCAGACTAGGATCGTGTTAGGAAGAGGTGCGTCGACACTGCTATGATCTCACCTTGATTCCGTCTGCAATGACGATGAGATCTTTGTGTTCAGTCTGGCCGTTGTTCAAAACCRAATCTCCACAGGTGTCCACCTTCTCAACTTTGGCATCTAGATGAAGTTGCACATTTGGGTAGGATAGAGCTTGGGATCTCAGCTGGGCGTGGAAATCTGCTCGATGCAGTGCGTACCACTCTCCGTGATACTTTTCCGCCGTACGGTCACACGGGACCCGGTGATTCACAGCCAAGGTTGCTCCATCGATAAACTCCATCTACTCGCGGCTGTCAATAGAGAGAAAAATATACGTCTCTTCGCTTTCGACTGACCTCTGTCAGGACAGTAGCCCCTGCTCTTTCGAAATCGAACCCATAGTAGTCAAGAATCCTAGAGCAGTTTGGAGCTACAACGATTGCAGCGCCCACCTCGTTGGAAAACTTGGACCGCTCGAATATCTGGTTGATACGATGTCAGTCTGAGCTCAAATTCAAACATGGGTACCGGGCAGGGTTTACCGTGACGTTGTGTGAGCTTCTAGCCAATGCAATCGCAGCCGTCAGACCACCAATACCCGCTCCCACAACGCCTACGTCAATGGGACAGTGATCAGACTGCGACTGGGAGCGTTCTGACCCTATGATGAAGTCTTCAAGCGCTTCGAGAGGAGCCATATGATGCGCACTCGTCTCAGTGATTAAAGATCTGTGGTCTTGATAGATGGACAATAATGTAGCCAGATCGCGAACATAGGATTCATAAAAGATTAATAATACAGCGCAAAACGAGAACACGGGACAAGCCAAGTACGCAGTCATGTCCATTCCGTCATTGATGTGATAATCTTCATCCTTGAAGCGTCGATCTAGAAAAGCTTGTTACAGGAAGACTGTCTGTACAAAGTAGGGAAAACAATTGGTCGAACTGCAATCACAACAGGGCAAAAGTGCATCATGTCACTGCAATTACTCGATAGAGTCGACCCATAGACTCTCGAATTCGTGGTGTTCACGTGCGTGAAATATCCATCACTTGGTTTACACATTCTTGACCGACGTCTGGTTTTCTTATCTGGCGAGGCTCAAACCAATGTGGATTGATCTATGGAAGGCTTCCGAAAACTAAACAAAGATTTTGTCAAAATCGTATTCGTTCCAATAAACTATCGGCCGTATGCCAGCGATTCGCCAGCCTTGCGGAGTCTTCAGATATTTGTGTTGCATCAAGCCGTGACCATGCCCCTTGGCAGCAACTGCTTTCTTGTCCGACTGCGTGTAGCGTTGGTGGGCGGCGCGGATCTGATGCACACCAATGGCAGATGATTCCGTGAGCATTTCGTATTTGCTCGCTCCAATCAAATGATGTGTGCTGACGAGATCGTTCCCGAGAAGTGTCTTATCGCTCAACATAGCCACGAAGTCGTCTTTGGTCATAGTTTTGCACTTGGATCCTGTCACCTGACTGTAGTCGACGTCCAACTCATGGCTCAGGATCGAGGCTAATAAGCCCCAATCCTGTTCGTTGCTGATCAGAGAGGATTGGAACGGGTCGAGAGCGGGAAGTTTTACCTTGGTATCATAACTGTGTGCCCAGTCGAAGGCCAGAGCTTGCATCGCGAGCGTATCTGCCACGCATTAATCAACAAATGAGGCGCTACTCTACTATCTCGCGAAACATCTGGGTGCCAACTCACCTTCATGGTGTGGATGCATAGCGGGAACGTGATTGATATGTTTGTAATAGAATGGAAAGATGGTCGAAGCATGAACAAATTGTTAGATTCGAATGTGCCTTCGATACACAGACAAACACACTTGGTAGCCTGTTAGAACAACTCCAACGATCGCGATCTGTCTAGAAGTCTCGATTTTAGGTGTGCGGCTGGAAGAAATGTGCGTCGTCATCTCGGTGAGCTACTTTTGCAAATGCAACGTACTAGTGCTTGAGTATTGTGTACGAGACGTACGGGCATCTGAATCCTTGCGGAGATGTTGTTCTCGCTATGTTGAAATCGGAATATTTCAATGACTCGCAGACGGAGCATACAAATGACTCGCAACAAATCGGGACGATTCAGCACGCCGGAATGCTCTCCTTGAACTCAATTCGCACGGACCTCCCTCTGATCTACCTTGTCGCGGCTCGTTGACAGGCATCCTKCGTCCAGTGGGAACTCGGTCTCGTTCAGAGAAGCTCACGCGAGTCAAAGCCGACGAGCAGCATTCGGAAACCCACCAAGACCAAACGTCACTATGTTCACACTGCGCATGCATGTGGTAACGCGAAATGCAGCATCGACCGTAGCTCGCCGCATCCGTCGTTTCGCAGGGATTCGTTCAACAAGTTTGCCGACATCCTAGTATGATCCTACGATTCGTGCATTGGAAGCTTGCAGCAAAGCCAGGAAATCTCTGCTTGTGGATCAAGAGGGGTGTCAATATCGAAGTCGTCGGCCTGCCGAGTAATGCGCTGTATGCTTTCCGAAACGCGTCGACGGCATGCTCCCAGGCCTCCTCCACTCGGCTTAAAATCGTGAGCAGTCTTCTGACGACGTCGGATCATCTGGAAGTGGGCAATCGAGATTGATAGATCGGCTTTAGTGGCGACATGCTCTCTGTATTTCTTGGGCTCTAKCAAGCCACTTTGGTCTGACATCGTCTCGCCCTTTTCAATCTTCTGCTCCTTTGGCAACATCCGTGCCTCACCTTCGGTCTAGTGATGGTGATACACGCCATGCCGGACACTGCAGTCTTCCCCTCCCTCGTCGTCTTTGGACCATTAACGTTCCTTCCTTCTACTGCTGATAGGCTCGACAATATAAGACAGAGGCTCAGAGAATGGCAACACTCAGGTCCCATAATCACGGCGCTACAAAACCTAGAGCGCACATGGTACCATCTTCAAGAATCAGCCTCAGACCCTTCCATTGTGGATTCCAGAGGCCTTGTCGCCAGCAAGCTCCTCTCGTCGAGCTTGACTGATCCAGAGTTTGCGAGTGAACTTTCCACAGAGCAACAAGCATGGAATGCAGTAATTGTCCCGTTGGGAGTGCTCACACATGTGCTGCATTATCTCGGTCACTTGATACAAAAGGAATTCAACCATGAAGACCTGGCGGAAGCGGTACGAGAAACAGGCGGATTTCAGGGTTGCTGCGGCGGACTGCTCTCCGCGCTCGCCATAGCCGCTGCCAAAGACGAGGAAGATATCGCTCGCACAGCTGCGTGGGCCGTCCAGCTTGCATTCGCCGTTGGCTGTTGGATTGATGCAGACTACGCTGAACAAAAGCGAAAGCATTCCGACACCGCAACCCTGGTGATCAGATGGAATACGGCGCAGGTTAATGCGGATGCGGTCAAAGAGCAGGTCGAAAAGTACGATGGGGCGTATGTTGCMATTGTGCTCGATCAAAACACAGTCACGGTCATTGTCCCAAACCGCAGTCGAGACGAACTCACCGCAGCCTTATCTTCGCTCGGTGTAGCTGTTAAGCAGTGTGGGATAGATGGTCGCTATCACACCCAGGATCATGCTCACGTCATCCAGGCCATTCGCAAGGCACTACCTGCCAGCATCGAGGCACCTCACGCAAGCTTGCCGCGCTCAAACGCAACTGGGTTGTTCATCGACGACGCAGACCTGTCACGCGCGGTGCTCCGGTGCATCATAGCGCAAAAGGTTGAATGGTACTCGACCATTACTGCCGCAGCCTCATCGCTCAGTTCAGACAAGTGCGAATGGATCTTGATGATCGGTCATAATGCGATCCCCCCTGAAATGAACAAGAGGCACAAGGTAGTGAGCCAGGATGTCAGGCAGGCGATACCTGGGCTCGGAACACGTCACCCTAGAAATCACCACTACCCAGATCACTCCGTGGCGGTAGTTGGTATGGCATGCAGACTTCCCGGGGCAAACTCGCCCGAGGAGCTCTGGGAGCTATTGGTCGGAAGGGAGTCCATGCTACGCCCGATGCCAGAAGATCGTTTCGACCCAAACGATGAACATCCACGTGCCCCTGACGGCATGAAGTTTTGGGGCAATTTTCTCGATGATATCAAGGGATTCGACCATAGATTCTTCAACAAGAAGCCCCGTGAAGCCGTTTCGATGGATCCACAGCAACGAATACTGTTGGAAGTGGCATACGAAGCACTTCAATCTGCCGCCTACTTCTCCGCTCTTCCTTTTGATCGTCGTGAGCGGTCAATAGGCTGCTACATTGGCGCATGCTCCACCGACTACGATGCCAACATCGCTTCGCATCCCCCGACTGCGTATTCCACCACTGGTGTTATTCGTGCCTTTTTGAGCGGTAAGATTTCGCATCATTTCGGATTCTCAGGGCCAGCCATCACGCTCGACACGGCCTGTTCATCGTCGGCCGTGGCCATACACGCGGCATGCCAAGCCCTCCAGACCCGTGACATCTCGGCAGCGCTCGCTGGGGGTGCAACGATCAATGCGATCCCTTACCACTACGAGAACCTGGCTGCTGCACAATTTTTGTCGCCCACGGGAGCGACTAAATCCTTTGATGTTGCCGGCGACGGCTACTGTCGAGGGGAGGGTGTCGGTTTGGTCGTGCTCAAGCGATTGGACGATGCCGTTCGAGACGGCGACCACATCCATGGCGTCATTGTCGGGTCTGCCATCAACCAGGGCAACAATTGTGTTCCGATCACCGTTCCTCACTCTGGCTCGCAGGCCCAGCTATACACATCCGCTTTGAACAAGTCGGCGCTGGAGGCCAAGGCATTGACCTTTGTGGAGGCGCACGGTACCGGCACGCCCGTGGTGAGTTTTGTGCGAGTATCGACGATATAATGACTTGCACTGACCATTCATCTAGGGAGATCCCGTCGAGCTGGAGGGCATCCGAGAGGTGTTTGGGGGCCATGACCGTGCCGCACCGCTCTATGTTGGCAGCGTCAAAGGGAACATTGGTCATCTTGAGGGGGCTTCAGGAGTGGCCGGGCTCATCAAAGCCCTACTGCAAATGCGGAATCGTGCTGTTCCGCCCCAGGCATCCTTCAAGACCCTCAACACCCGGGTCCCCGCCCTGGAGCCCGACCGCATGTGCATCCCCGTTAAAACCGTGGCACTYGGCGAAGGGCCAATCACCGCCTGCGTCAACAATTATGGTGCAGCCGGGAGCAATGCGGCTTTGATGTTGGCCGAAGGGCCAGCAGCACAACCGCAACAAGACCGCTGCGCTCTGCCGACGTCCTTTCCCATTCACCTCACCGCCGCCAGTCCCGAGAGTCTGAGGCGGTACGGCTCGCGGTTTCTTGCCTGGCTCAAGGGCAATACGAATGTGGACTCGAGAGTGGCAGACGTGGCGCTCAGTCTCGCGCGGCACACCGACCACAGCCTGCCCTACTCCCTGGACCTGACCGTGTCGGACATGTCGGATCTGGTCCGACAATTCTCCGACACCAAGACCATGGCGGCGTCCATCACCAAGCGACGGGATGCCCCACCGCTGGTGCTCTGCTTCGGTGGGCAGACCAGCGACCGCGTAGGGCTGGATCGCAGCCTTGGAGAGATGCCCGGCCCCTTCCGCTCCCATCTCGACCGCTGCGACGCCATTCTTCGCGCCCAGGGTCACCCCAGTATCTATCCGGCCATCTTCCAGGACGCGCCCATTGCCGACGTCGTCGTCCTCCACGCCGCCTTGTTCGCCGTGCAATATGCGTCGGCGATGAGTTGGCTGGCATCCGGTCTCCACGTCGATGCCGTCATTGGACACAGCTTCGGCCAGCTCACGGCGTGGGTCGTGTGCGGGTCGTTGCAGGTGGAGGAGGGACTCCGACTGGTCGCTGGCCGCGCCGCACTGCTCCAGAGCCACTGGGGTCCCGAGCGAGGGTTCATGATGGCCATTGACGCTTCCGAGGCTCGTGTACGCGAACTTTTCGACGATGAGAATGAGGCTTGCTGGGAGATTGCTTGCTACAACGGCCCCTCGTCGCAGGTGGTTGTGTGCGATGGCGCATCAGCAGCGCGACTCCAACAACGCCTGGAGGCGGCGTCGACGTCCTGGAAGAACCTCCGTGTGCCGTACGGCTTTCACTCCCGCTTCACCGACCCTTTGCTGGATGCGTTGTACGAACTGGCGGCGTCGCTGTCCTGGCAATCGCCCACGCTCGCCCTGGAAATGTGCACGGCTGACGACGAGGTTGAAGATGTTGAAAAGGCGCCCACCCCGGCGGATATCGTTCGCCACACGCGCGGGCCGGTCCACTTTGCCGCCGCCGCCAATCGGCTTCGCGGGAGACTAGGCGAGTGCACGTGGTTAGAGGCCGGATCGGGCTCCGGCATCATCTCGATGCTCCGTCGTTCCGCCGCGGGATCGGACGACGAATCATCATCTTCGTCCTCCTTCCTCTCCCAGCAGCTTATACGCGATGCCACCAAGGCTGTGGCGAGCACGACGTCTGCGCTGTGGTCGCGAGGATATGCGGTGAATTGCTGGTTCTACCATGCCTCGACGCATGCCCACCACAGCATACTCCACGTGCCCACGTATTCGTGGGATCACTCTCCTCACTGGCTGAAGCTCTCGAAACCGGGGCCCCAGCAGGCAGCAACGCCCATCCATGACAGGCCGGAGAAGCAACTCCTGACGCCCCTCTCCACCTCGGGCCATAACGGGGTGCATTGCTTCGCCGTGTCGATGGACAGCGACGAGTACGCAGCGTTGACCCAGGGTTTCGACTTCCAATCGCCTCTGCCAGCGCCCGCGACCATTTCTCTCGAAATTCTTGYCGCTGCTCTGACGAAGCTGGAGGTCAATGTTACGGACGCATCACCGGAATGTGTGGCAATCAATGCACCGCCCATCGACTGGTTGGCCTGCCAGGACTTGCTCCTCTCTCTCGAACCCGTGCCCGGTGGCTGGGGATTTACCTTTGCCTCCTCTGGCGAGTCTGATCGGGGTACATATGCACATGGTGTAGTCAAAACATGCCCCGTGAACAGCACCGTCCATGCAGATTTGGCGCGCTACCAACGCCTGGTCCCCGTCACCATTGCCGACGACGTTGCTAGCAATTGCAAGAGCGATCGACTGCAGGGTCGCATTCTTTACAGTCTCTTTTCGAAAATCGGCGTCTACCCAAGCCAGTGCCAGCTGGTTCAAAGCGTGACGGTGCTGGGAAACACGGTGGTGGGAGAGTGTTCGGCCCCTACAGTTCCGGCATTTCGTCCGATGCAACGCATTGAATGCTTCCTCCAAATCCCTGCCATCCACGCCAACTGCCTCCAGCACGACATCGAACAATCTACTCGATATCGTCTGGCCAGCATCGAGAGCATGAAATGGGGCCGGGTCCATGACTGGACCGTGGACAGCTCCCGCGGATGGAAGGTGGTCTGTTCCCTTACAACGTCCCATGCAACACTCAGCTATGACTGTTTTGTCTATGATCTTGCTACTGGACACCTGCACGTCTTTATCCTCGGCGCCCAGTTCCACCGCCAAGACGTAGCCGGCTCGGCGCCTCAACGTCTACAAGCACTCGATGTCGTCGAACAGACTCCGTCTGCTACAAGGCCCCCACCACAAGACACACCCCAGAAGACTACAAACGCCGACACAAGCCCTCCATCAGAGGACAAAGCGACATCAGCGGAAGCATGCCGCGTGGGCAGGAAGCAGAGCATCTACCATGACTTGTGTGGGCTTCTCGAACAGCTCGCTGACGTACCGAGGGAAGACATAGGGTGGGATGCGACATTTGACGATCTTGGCGTCGACTCGCTGTTAATGATGGAAGCCATTCGGGACGTGGGTCTCATGTTCCACATCGACCTTCCCACCTGCGATCTCGAACATTTGACCGACACGAAATCAATGGTTGATTATCTCGCAGGCCGTGGATGTGCCGGCAGCACCTATACAGAACCCACTGGAGATGATGCCAAGAATTGGGAAGTTGGCGCTGATTCTTCGTCGGAGACAACCACCGCAGTGACGAGCGATGACGGGTCTGATCTGGTCGACTCTGTATCGGCTTCAACATCTACTGGCATCAGTGACGACGAACAACACTATGTCGAGAAGCCATACAAGATGATGGGAGCAGCACAGATCTTTGAAAGTGTCCGCGGAGAGGTGCAGAGCTACATCGAGGATGCGGGTTTCGCTGATTTTTGGAGGCGAGTGTATCCAACGCAACGAAGGCTCGTCTTAGCCTATACCGCAGAGTGCTTCCAAGCACTTGGATGTGATCTCAAAAATCTTTCTCTAGGTAGCCCGGTTCCCGCTTTGGCTGTGCCACAGAAATACTCGAGACTTCTTGACCGGTTATACGACATCCTCGCCGATGGAGGAATTGTTCGGCCCGGTTCAGCAGGAAGCAACCGAAAGGAGTACATCAGGACGTCGAAGCGTCTAGACGGCACTGATTCTCGCGCCCTCTACTTCCAAATGTTGCAAGCCTTTCCTGAACACGCAGACGAAACCGAATTGCTCCACGTCACCGGATGTTGCCTCGCTGATTGCATCACCGAAAGAGTAGATGCACTGACACTGTTGTTTGGAAAACAGGCCCATCGTGACTTGTTGGCCAAGAACTACGATAGGTCGCCCATGGCTCAAGCTACGACGAGCCTGCTAGCAGAGTTCTTGCGCCGTACCTTGCAGCCTTTTCAGTCCGATAACGCACCCACGCGCAAGGCTCAGATCCTCGAAATCGGCGCGGGCACAGGAGGTACGGCGCGATATGTAGTGGACTTCTTGACGAAGAACAACATTGAGTTCGATTACACGTTTACCGACATTTCTCCCGCTCTGGTCTCGCAGGCCAAGAAGAAGTTCAAACAATACTCCAACATGCACTTCGGGACATGGGACTGTAACGAGGGACCTCCTTCGGAGTATCGCTCGAGGTTTGATGTAGTGATTTCTACAAACTGCATCCATGCAACGAGAGATGCGCAACAAACGTCGGGAAACATTCTTCCAACACTCACGGAGAACGGTGTCTTTTGCCTTGTGGAATTCACTTGCTCGATGTATTGGTTCGATCTAGTGTATGGATTGCTCGACGGCTGGTGGGTGTTCGACGATGGAAGAAAACATGCCATGGCCGATGAGACCTTCTGGTCTCGTGCGCTGCAAGATGCCGGCTTCAAGCATGTTTCGTGGACAGACGGTAACTCGGCAGAGGCTCGAACGATGCGACTGATCATTGCCACAAAAGAGAATTACGTCAGCTCTTCAGTACCAGCTCGTCCAGTAGCCGAAAAGCGTGCGGGCATCATGATGCAGCAGACACAGTGGCTCCGACGCGCGGGTGTGGATCTCTACGCAGACATCTACCTTCCCAAAGCGCCAGACCTACGCGAAGTGAAGAGACCTATCGCGTTGTTGTTCCATGGCGGTGGGCACTTGCTGTTTGGTCGAAAGGATATTCCTATGAAGCATGTCCGCGAGCTCCTAAAACGAGGTTACCTGCCCATTAGTGTGGACTATCGACTTTGTCCCGAGGTTGGGCTTTACGAAGGGCCATATATGGACTGCTGTGCGGCATTGCGATGGGCTCGTGAAGAACTTGCTCACATCCACTTAGCCGAATCCGTCACGCCGGACGCAAGCAAGATCATTGCAATTGGCTGGTCTAGCGGAGGTCAGTTGGCTATGAGTCTGGGTTTTACCGGCCCACAACAAGGGATCAAGCCACCAGAAGCTGTATTCGCATTGTATTCTCCAACCGATCTTGAGCACGAGCGTAAGTACATTCTTTGATCTGTGCAGACTGGAATAGTGCACTGACTACGTGTGTGTAGACTGGGACGCCCCTTGCTGTCCAGAGGCCGCCGAAGAAGATCCACAGGAAGTCGACGATGTATTAAGTGGTGTACACGATTACCACATAACCGAGTACACTCCAACAAACATCCGAAAAACTCCATCGCTTTCTTTGACACTAGCGGATCCCCGCGCCCGGATCGTGCTGCACTTGAATTGGAAAGCACAGTCTTTACGGACCCTCCTTCGCGGGCTTCCTAGTAAAACTCAGCTCGCACACAGCGATGACATGCACCTCTCAGATCACGATCACTGGAAATACATGCCCGCACTAAGTGCTTCTGAAGTGCGCGAAGTGAGTCCCCTAGCGMACGTGCGCGACAATTCGTACAAGATTCCGACGTTCATGGTCCATGGAACCCGTGACGATTGGATTCCCACATCCATGAGTGTTGGCACTAGAGACGAGTTGAAGAAGCGTAATGTTCCGGTGGAGTTGGTTATTGCGGAGCAATGTGGACATGCATTTGATCTGTTTCCTGAGGAGGATCCGTTGGGTGTTGGGTGGCGGGCCATAGAAAAGGGCTATGACTGGATTGGAGAAATTTTGTCGGGACTTGAGACTAGCTGAAGCAAATAGCTAAACCCTGGGTCCTCCGGCGTTGAAATTGACTTCTTCTTTTGCGAGATGTAGTGAAGCTCGGAGTGTGCTCGGGGGTGGGTATGGTTTCTGAAGAGTGGCCTACTGCCTACCTTGATGAAATGCAATGGTATCTTTATGATGAACACGGTGTTACTGCATCTGTACCAACTATCCATGGAGCTATATACAAGGCCGGCTGGTCACGTAAAGCAGCAAAGAAGCGGCTCCGTGAACAGAACGCCTCGTGAAGAAGAATTTAGCGCGGCTGAATTGATGGATGATTGATGAGAAGGAGTGCAGTGATGGTCTGGAGGGGATMAAGGGATATGCACCGTTGGAGCTATCTAACCACCACAACGGCGTCGATGAAGTATTGGGATACTCATGAATGAATGCTACCGACAGATCATTCTCTCCGAACATGTTTAATTCCACAACCTCTTTCGATCAAATCTGCTTGTCCCTGGTCCACTTTTATGCAGGTTGTCCTTCCGGAAATCTCGGCCGACAAGATCATGTTCATTCCAAGTCGCGAATTCAGTTCAGTGGTCGAGATGATCGCAATTGCCATGGCCTTGCAACGCCACAGGGCTATTCCTCCTTACCATCCACCATCGAGCGATGAGACATGGCCACAACACAGAGAGCAGTAAAGCGAACATTTCCGATGACAATAGCTCGCCAAAAGCACAACCCAGGGCCGGCCGTACGTACAGTACCCAAGGTATTCCATCGCCGTAAAATCAAGATCCCTGCAAGTACCGCTCTAGACATGGGATTTTCGCACCGTCGTGTGCTTTCTTTACAATAGTGCTCGTCGGAACAACTTTGTATTGGTCAGAGAGCACTTAGCAGTACGCTTCCACCTCGCACCGCTGCTCGAGAATCCGTACAAACCTCTAAGCCTGGGATGGAGGATGCTTTGTGAAGTTCGCTTACTTTCTGAAGATCTAGAGCATCGTTGGCGGTACCTTGTCTCCCTGGTCTTAGCCCTAACGATCGAATACGAGGCGATCGAAGTGCGAGAAGCCCAGGACCTCGGACGTATTTCGTTTCGATCCTGGTTGCCCTCCCTCGAGGCTACTAGATATTTTGAAGATTCGTAGCGAGGTCCTCGAACGACGTACTAGGGGCCAGGGCACTCTCCGTATGTACTTCCTTGTGAACCGGCAAGCACTGACAGCCAACTAGATGATCTTTTCGGTAAGCGAGGCAAACTCCACGACAGTGCCAAGTGATGGTTTTGTTTCGAGCACCGGTATCACGCCAGCTGGGGTGGTAGACATGATGATTGTGCCAGACTCAAGCGAGATTAATTGTCAGAATGCCGATACGTAAAGCCTTCTTCAAGCCCTGTTGCCAGAAAGCATAGGAGATGAAGATCCCTTTGCAAACTCAGTGGTTACAGTAGCGCTGTAACGGTGTGTGATATAGCCCTTACTAGCGTATAATAAACACGCGCTTGACAGGGCATTTATCGTCCGTGCAAACCCCCTGTTAGTTAGGTAATTAGCGTAAAGCCCATCAAATTCGAACCTTACTACCCTAGCTAACAACCTCTACGTACGTACTCGGCTATGCTTACGCTCCTTAAGCTCCTTTATACGCTTCTAAAGAAGCTTTAATAACTCTACTAACTTACTTACTTTACGCTATGACGCTATTACCGCCTCTAAGGTAGATACTAGCTCTAATTACGACTCCGGAGGTTTAGACTCCGTAGCCTACCGCTCTAATTTATTTATCCTTTAATTTAACTACGTTAATATAGTAGTATAGTTACGAGCTATCTCCTTTAGCTTAAAAAGAGGAATAAACTTTAGTATAGGGCTTAGCTCTATATAATAGCTAGAAAGGGCTTATAATAGAATAAAGTTACGGGCTATATAATACCTATCGTAATAAATAGAGTAACGTAATACGGCTAACGCCGGTATAGCGTAGGCTTAGCGTATACGTATTAACTACGCGTAGCGTAGGATTAAACTATAAGAATTAGTCTTATCTCTAACCGGGGGTTAGCGGGTATTCGATATATTACTATATCTTTTATAGCCCTTATACTCTATCCGTAGTATTAGTAGTAATAGTAACCGTTCCTTTTTAATATAGGGAGATAAGAACGGTAAGAGGGCTTAACTGTCCTTAATTACTAGCTAATTACTTACTTTATTAGTAGTTCGTATATTAAGAGGATTAAACTATACTAACCTTACGCTTTTTACTATCCTAAGGAGTCTCTATTCCCTTTACTTTAACGGTAAGTTTAATAGCTAACTACCTTAAGAATAGGTAAGGTTTAAAACCTCTTTAAAACTATTTAATACCGGTATTAATAAGCGCTAGCTTTACTACTAATTACGTCCCCTATTATATAAAGGCTAATCGCTAGTTTATATAGTTTATTAACTAGCGGCTACCTCGTACCGGACCTCGGATTACCGTTTAAACCYTTAAAGGGATAGCGCGTATCCCTCGAGTAGCTAGTCTTATCTTATAAAACTAAGAAGCCTAATATACGTACGATTTACGACTTATAGAAACATTAGCTATACGGTTAGTAGCGCCCTACGATCGAGAACTTTCGTAAATATAATAGAGTCTTAAATCTAGTAGTCTATCTAAATAGCTACGTTCTAAGGTATAACATCTAGATCTAAAGCCTTCTATATAAAAGGTATGCCTTAAGAGAGTCCGTTAAGTCTAARCGCTCTCTTATTAACTACCTTACTCCGCGCTAATATATCCGATATAAATACTTTATTTACCTCTCGGATCTTAGAGGAATTACTCCTCTCTAATAACTCCTCGCTATTAAACATATATACTAAAGTACGATTAGTATAGGCGAGTTTAGGTCGAGGAAACTTAGCGTTAAAGTTAATAGTAGCGATAGCTTAATAAACATTTAGAAGCTAAGGGGCTATATCTACTACCCCCTTTATCTCGGGAATAGGTTAATAGAGTACGATTAGGTATAAAGGTAGAATACCTAATCCTATAAGGAGTTAGTAGAGGTTAACCGAGTAGTAGGCGATAGAAATAGTCTATCTAATAAAAGAAAGCTATAAGATCCGTAAGGTCTAAGACTAAGTAAAGCTTAGGTAGGAAGTCGATTACTTATACCGCTATAGCTTCGGTTATCTATACTTATAGTTCGGGGTTATTAGCTATAACGGCTAGAGTTAGAGTCGAAGACGATAGGGGTAGGGGTCCCCTAAAGGGGAATATATATAGTTAAGGCTCGCTAAGTAGCGACGGCTTAGCGTACGTATATAGCCGGCGTAATATAGGCTTAGCGATATATAAGAATTAGTTTTTCGATCTAAACCGGAGGTTTAGGGAGTTCTATATATTACTATATCTTTATACCCTTATAATTCTAATTCTTCTACCTAATCGAGGGTAGTAATCTATAGAACCCTAAGCGATATTACCTTAACGAGCCGTAGCCGCTACGCTAGCGTAGCCCCCTCTCGCCGACTAGGAAGGCGAACCTTAGGAGGGCGACTCGATTACTAAAGAGTAAGGTAGCGCCGAGGTACTAAATAAGTAGCTATCTATCGAGGATCGGTAAGAGATAGTAGCGGAAGCGATCTAGCGCCTCGAAGGCGAGAAGTACGCGCTATAGGAGGAAGAGGTAATACGGAAACTTTAGATAGAAGTATAGCGTATAAAGTAAGCGCGAGACCGGCTCGACGTAGCCGCTACGCCTTCGCTAGTTTAGGGTAGGCTAGTAGAGTTCGATACTATCTCGCGGCTTAGATCTTAGCTAGACGATACGACTAGCGTAAGTAGCGTAAGCGTAGCGTACGCGTCGCGAGGGAGTAGACCGAAGATAAAGGACCCGAAGCCGTTCCTCGGAGACACGATTAAGGAGTCTCGCGAGTTCCTTCGCGCCCTAAAGATCATCTTTACTAACTCGAGCCCTAACTATAGCGACGATAGGGTAAAGGTCCTATACGGCGTAATATAGCTAGGCGGCGACGTAGCGGAGGCGTAGTATAATCGGTACGACATCGAAGAACTACCGCGAGGGTATACTTAGGCGGACTTTAAAGACTTCGTACGTAACGCCGTCGGCGATCTAGCGAACCGCTAGCTTAGCGTTACTTTAGAGTATAAGAGGATAAGATAGGGGGACTATTAGATAGTAAAGAGCTTCGCGCTCGAACTAGACGTCCTCGAGAGCTAGCTCGATTATATAGAAGCGTAGTTAGTACGCTAGTTCCTCGTAAAGCTAAAGCCGTCGCTACGTATAGACATCGTTAAGAACTATAAGATACTACCGTATAAGGGAGTAGTAGATAGGGATAGATAGTATACCGAGTACTAGGTTTACGATTATTAATATTACTTAATTAAGAGTAGGGTATCCTTAAGGATCCCTTTTATTTATCTAATTCTAGGCGGAGTTAGGGTTAATTCGGGGCTATATAGGTTCGGTAACCGAACGGCTACGTAGGCTTAGTAGAGCCCTTAGCGTCGGCCCTAAATTAGGCCCGATTTTGCTCTATTCCTAATAAAATCTATTACGTTTTAAAGATAATATAGAATAAACTTAGCCGTAAGATACGAGCCGTATCCGTCGAGAATAAGAAGCCGGCGTCTACCGTCCTCTCGCCTTATTTCCGGGTCGAATAAAGACAAAAGCTACTCGTACGTATACGAATCGCTAGTCTACCCGCTATTACTCGTACTAAAACGCTAATTCGGCGGTATAGAAGGCGATATCTACCCGGTATTTATATATTTTGCCTTTAAGATTAAGAGCGGCGGTAAGGCTATACTAGAGGCTCCGATATACTCTATAACCGTAATCTACTCTTACCGCCTAGGTATCCGTTTCTAGCTCGTCTTCTCTTTTATATTAATAAGAACTCTTATAGTCTAACTTACTCCTATAGCGAAACTAGACTCGTCGACGTTATAAACGTCCTTAGAGAGGTAGTTATTCTCGGTAAAAAGTATAGAGAGCGCGTTAAGATAGGCCGCTACTATTATATATTACGTCCCTTAAAACCGGCTCGCCTCTAGCTATCTAGACTAAGCTCCTCTTATCTTAGGATATCCTTATCGTAGCCTATCTATCTACTAATTACTAGGTAGGCGCGGTAGAGGTAGCGGGATTAAAAGTAGGAGTTAGGAGGCGTAGATTTTAAACGCGAGTTCTTAGGTAAGTAAAGGCGAAATAGGATAACCTTACTTAGATAAACGCGAGATATAGCGTATAAGAGTCTTCTCTTTAGCGGTAGAAAGGTATTGTTCGTATTCGTAGCTTATAGATCGAGATACTATACCGGCGAGGCGGGAATCTAGCGTAGACCTTAGGATATTAAACGCGGTTATATACTTCTAGATAGAAGTATATCCGCCTTTTCGAAACATAGATATTACGGCTAATATATCCTCGTTAGAATATATAGCTATATATAATAAATAAGTAAAGGTATTATATAGGAAGAAGAGAAAGGCGCGAAAGAAACGTAAAAGGGTAGCTAGCTTTAGGGTCTAGCTTACTTCTCTATTAACTACGTTACTTTTAATAATATTAGTAGATAGTAATTAACTAAGAGCTTTCCTTATAATCTATAGTTAAAAGCTATAGTAGATTATATCTCTAGATACGTCGGTAGAGAGATATACTATACGGCTTATTCTCTTAGAAGTAAAGACGACTTACTAGACTATAAAAGCGGGGATATAAAGTAGACGATAGTAACCGCGATTAGATATATTATTAGTACTAATAGTAGGGCGCTACTACTCCTAATTAATCGGTAGCGCTAATCTATTAGAGAATATAAAATACGTTTCCGACTTCTAGATAGTATTACGCGTACTCTAGAAATAGATATAATGCCTCTAAATTTAGTATATAGTAGCTAAAGTAGGCGTTTAATCCTTAATTCCGGTAAATAGCTAGTCCTAAGACCTAGACTCTAATCTATAACGGCTTTACTATATATAAGACGCTCGAGATATTAATATATTACTTTATAAATAGTATCGTACTATACTATCTACCCTCTCGTAACCCTATAAGCTCTAGCCCTATAAAGTTAGAGTCTTTATATCCTTAAGACTATCTACTATAAATAGGGTAAACGTTTAAATTAAGAATACGTAGTATTACGGGCGTTATCTAGTAATATCTAAACTAGAGCGCCTCGCGTATATCTAAGTACGCTACGGCGTAGCTACTAGTACGTAGACTAATTACGTAGCTAAAGCTTCGTATTAGGAATAGAGTAAAATTAGGCCTAATTTAGGGCCGACGCTAAGGGCTCTACTAAGCCTACGTAGCCGTTCGGTTACCGAACCTATATAGCCCCGAATTAACCCTAACTCCGCCTAGAATTAGATAAATAAAAGGGATCCTTAAGGATACCCTACTCTTAATTAAGTAATATTAATAATCGTAAACCTACTACTCGGTATACTATCTATCCCTATCTACTACTCCCTTATAGATTTAGTCGTTTTACCGCCGTATTCTTCGTATATACTATAGCCTCTCGACGTAGGGATCTTTAGCCCTCTAAAAGCCCGGCTTAGCGAAGAAACCGACTAAGTCTCCCGCCTTAATCCTAGATAAATACCTAAGATAGAGTAGATTTAGGCCTATATTAAAGTACGGGAGTAGGCCTTTATATCTCGGAATTTCCTCTCGAGCTTTCGGGTAACTAGTCTTTTACCGTTTAGTCTAATTACTATCCTTTCTACTCTCGAGATACCTAAGACTCCGGCTACTCCTTAAGGCTCTAGGTAATATTCTATAGTAAGTACTTCTCTTTTAGATAACTCGCTATTAGTAAGCTCTCCTCTAGACGGTACTAAGTTATAATAAGTAAACGTAGCTTTAAATAATACCTTGAAAAAAGGCGGAGTTCTCGATTTACCGATAAAGCGGTATATCTCTCGGCTAGCGTCCTCTTACGAAAAGACATATACCGAGAACACTCTTCTCCGTAAAGAGAATACTAAATAATAGGCTCTTTTATAATACCGGAAGGAACGTAAAACTAGAAAGCGGGTTGCTATAAAAGGCCGCTTTGTCTTTAATACGTCCGAAATCCTCAACGTTGTCTAAAAAGCCGAAGCAGAAAGCTCGAAGAAAAAGACTCGTAAACGGCGTCGTACTCCATCCCCGGTTATACAATTCGAGGAGGACGAAGGAGAAGATATTCTAGAGGATTCTAGCGATTCAGATTTGAGTTGTATTGTTGTAGCGCAGCGTAAATAGTGTTTCAAGTGATTTGCCAAGAAAAAAGTGGCCAGCTTCGGAGTCTGGCCAGCTTCCCATCAACTACGTTACCGGTAAACTGCGGAGCAAAACATGCGCCCTAGCCTTCCCTAGGAACGAGTGCATTCGCATGGACAAACTCTACTGGTAACGGTACTAGCACTCTAGCCCGAGAATTTGTCGTCAGATACGCTATAGGGGAGTAAGATGTTCTACGGGACGAAAGTTCTCACACTGTACATCGAGGACTCGAGTGGGCAACTCAGAWCTCGTATCACAAACATTCTGTCCACACACAGAATCACGCCACCGATTATCACGCTCACACAGCGTGAAAAACTGAGCTGGTTTCCACGCCAAACTCTGCTACGGTAGCTTCGTGTTATACTAATACAAAAGATTATCGTGCCGGCCATCAACAAGGCCGCTCCATTATAGGACATTCAAATCGTGCGGGCGATGTTTCACATCACAGGATTGACGCAAGGTTATAGCCTAGAAGCACTAGGCAGAGATTCTCGTCAAGGCTCAGTCTGGATTACTAGCGGCTTCGGCAGCGTCCAGAGGGTAGGCGGACTGGAGCTCACGTTCTTTCTTTGGATCTTGGCGCCAAGACATAAGCGAACTGTCTTGGTGCTACAGAGTCGACATCCTGTCTAATCTGTTTGCTCAGAATCGGGGCTCACGCGAGAAATGTACGCTGGTTGAGCCTTGACTCGGTTACAGCATAGGCCGTTCCGGAAGGTAGCAATAACTAGCATTAACGTTTGTTCTAACTACCCCTATCACACTCGCAAACAACCAGTTTTGGAAAAATCTTGAGTCAAGGCATCAGACGAGAGTAGTTATAGATGTAAGGTCAACGCCTAGGGACAGCTCGGACGAACAGAAGATCTGTGCATAGGTAGAAAGAACAGCATAATATTAGACAACATAACACACCATTCGTAATCAATGAAGGTACATTGATGCAAGTTCTACATACACCCCCTTGAGAGGTTCGCACATTGAGCCTACAACTCTCTGGAACAGGCGCTACGGGCTGCGCAAGAAGAGAGGCCGAGCGAGCACTCTGATCGGCCCACCATGTCGAATCGCGTCCATGTCTTGCTTGTTCAAAAACCTCTCCGTGGCAAAGCTCCAGTACAGGTTGGCTTTCACAACATCTTTAACTGCGGTGCTGTATGACTTCGCGGCCGCCCCAAGCGGCGATTCCTCATTGGGCAGTTGTGTAAGAGCATCGAGCAAGCAAAGCACGGAATGCTCTGTATCAGATGCGACACGGTCAATAGCACTTTGCGCTGCCAGACCATGTCGACGTAAAGCTGCYATCACGTTGTGCGTCACGCCTTCAGACTCCTCTTTCTGGTATGACAATATGTCGTTGTGCAGAAGGATCACATCTACGGCTGCCTTAGTCAGCGCCTGTATGGTAGGAAGCTTGAACAACTGTTGCGGAAGTTCGAGCGCATGGCCGTATTCTACCAAGGCAAAAAGTGCCTTGACACAAATCGATTTCCTCCTGGAGCAGAACACCTCGCTCTGTGTAGGAACGGTGCCATTGCCCACCATTCGAACCTGTGCCAGGACTCCACAAGAATAGTCCTCCATTGCGTGTTGATACCGATTTTGCACACCACCGAGATGAGATCGTGCTATGCGCTGCCAGATTCCGGCGTGAAACTCCAATAACGGGAGACTGGGTTTTTCGACGTGATCTTCGCCGAAAGATGCTCGTAGACCATCAAGCATCGTTCGAGCCCGCTCGTAATCCGTCTTTAAATCGCCGTCATCGAATAGATCGTCGAATGGAAAGATCCAGTTTCCCCAGTCGCAGATTGTCCGGAAACGATCTTTCGAGGCTTCAGGGGCCATAATTGCCGCGAAAAATGCGAAGTTACATTTTCTGATAGCGTTCGCAGTATTTGATCCGAGCTGGCAGCCACTTTGTTCGCTTAGCACTCCACTACACAATCTCCTACGCCGGTATTACCTGATAGCAGCTTGCTCAGACTGTTCGCGGACTTCGTTGTAGTGCTTGTTGAACGGTGGTTCATCCTGTAGGAATGAGGTGAAGAGGTTTGGCATTTGCACAAGAACTTGGGCCATAGCAAGAGTTCAAGAAGAGGTGGCAGTCTCTGGGAGGAGGCCTCATTTAAGTGTCGGATACCCAAAGCTCGTAGTTCTAGTCATGTCAAAGATGTCGCACAATCGAGTCAAGATTCACAAAGTAACATTCAAAGCGTCCTGCAATCTTGGTACGCCTTCGCAGAATTACATGTGCTCCGCCTAACTAATTTAGAACTAGTGTAAGCTGCGAGAAGCACATTGCCACTCCGGATATATACCAGCACTCTCTACTGCTCCAAAAGGCAATTCTGTTAAACTAGCCCCAGTTGAAACGTTGGTGGCAATAGTAACAGCTGTCGAAAGAAGGACGGGATCGAGTCGCTACTGGCGTCATCTGTGCGTACCATTCGCTCGACTTCATCCGGACCAACACTCTCCAGATATCGTGACCCCGAGGTTGCCGACAGTACTGACTTGGAAGCTTTCTGTCATGGATACGCATGGAACTTATTTCTATAAATGCTGCATTCTTTCCTTTCTGCGCTTTATTTTCCGCTATGGACCGTACGATCGAGAGTAGGTCGGCGAGAGAAGATGAATGGAAAAATCAAGTGTTAGTAGAACCCTACTTCTATCGAGGAGTGCTTATCTTAGAGAATATTACAGGACATGTGGACATTGCACTAGAAGCCCTGGTACCTAGAGATTAAGATCTACTTTATAACCACGTGGAAAGGATAGTTGTTCGTATCTTGTGCTACCCTAAGTTGACCCAAGGCCCTGTGTTTATGTGTGTCTATGTGTCTATGCGCAATTGGGGCGCTATCTAATCCGCGAAGAGCTCGAGACTTGATGCGTGCCACAATCTCTAGCTGCAAAGCCATTTGACGCGATGAACAAGGTTGATTGTCTCCATCTGGTAGTAATCAGCCATGCAGCTGCTGTAGGAATCAGCATAATCACCATTTACATCAGATTATCAAGTCGATATCTCTCTGCGTGACCCTACCGAACTCCTTGCATCGGTGTTAAACAATGTCTACCTTTCTCACTTGAACCGCTCTAATTAACATCATGCTGCCTTGTTTCTATATTTCTCCGTATCATATATTCTACTTAAAGGCTATGCTATAGTAATATTCAATGCTGCTCCTATCTATAGGCTGCGACGACCACTAAGCCCTAGCACAGCAGCTGTGCAGAAACTGATGAAGACGACAATCAGAGCTGTCTCGATAACATAGAAACCTTGTTGGAGCTCGTTGTTTCGCTGCTGCTGCACGCCCGAGACATGCTTGAGTCTATGACTCTGTAATTGCCATTTGCTGCTACCAACGCTCTTCGCAAGAATGGTTCTAGACTTCTGGTAATCGTTAGCATCGCCGTCTGACGACTGCTCGAATACTGACCTCGATTACAACTGCATCTAGCTTTGGATTCGTCTGCTGTAGGGCCGCAACAGCCCTCAGCATCCACACCAAGCCCTTGAAGGCTGCATACGAGAGCAAGGTCCCGCCTCCGAGTCCGAGTCCATCACACAGCTTTTGAGGGTTCAGGACCGTGAAGCCGGTTTAAACAAAGCCGCCTGAGAGGCGAACTCCGTCCAAATTCGTCAATGTTGTGACAAAGGACCGGGCAATGGTCCTAGATGCCTTGCTCGGTGCCTTTGATTGGATGGACTGAGAGAGCATGGTCTTTCTCGCCTCGTGTGCCGTCAGGAAGTGTTCCACGGGAAGCCCAAGTATAGTGCCCAGGTATCTCCACAACGCCACATAATCTTCGGCGTCGGTCTGATTGACGTGCAGCCCAAGCCTTGGTAGCTGGATCCAAAGAGGATTACAACAGAAGGAGGTCAAGGTGAGGATTGAGTCGTAAGTGTTGACCGGGACCCCCGTACTTTGCAACATTGAAGTATCCGGGTCGGCTCTCGGCAATCTGCATGATGCGTTTGCGAACACTTGCATGCAGAAGTCGAATGCGCACTCTTGAGGTATGACCCTTGCCGTCTGGTTGAATCGCCGCTATACAGCTTGTTACCTCGATCAGCCATTGAAAAGTCCTTCGAGCCCTTTGGAGAAGAATGCGAGTCGTCAAACCTCCAGTCCTTATAAGTACTTCAGCGGGCCCAAATGCTACCGCACTCTCCCCATTGAATCCTTGAAACGCAAATCCCAGGACGTTGGCGGCAGCGAAACGATAGAACACACGCTGACCACGTTCCAATTGCTCCCGGTCTACCCCATACTGGTTTTGCCCTAACTTCCTTCCAGAATTGTTGGAGAACAGGATCGTGGTCGTGATGAACTTCCAAGATATCGTAAAGATCGGGCTTTTCGACGCAACGGTCTGCCCATTCCGCTTGCTGGAGCTCAAGAAGTCGATCGAGAGCAGCAGATAGTGAGAGGAAAAGATTAGTACTCGTAAGGCTATTAATCGACGATACTACTAATAGTTAGTAATAATTTATATCCGAATTAGAGTAGAACTTACTAGCTAAGGGTAAGAGAGAAGAATATCCGGTAAAACGAGTATTTAAAGATAAAGGTTATTAATTAGATAAGAATAAATAAGGGTAGCGAGTTTAAGTTTTATTCGCGTATATAGAGGCTATAGTAAAGGTTTACCTTATATAGCCGCTACGCTATAAGTTATAAGTAAAATATAAGTTATAAAGGGTCGATTTAGGCCTATAATAGCCTTATGCGTACGCGTTTATATATAATTACTTAATTAAGTATCTAATTACTACCGAGTTAAATAATAGTACTAAGAATAGGCTATTCTAAGAAGGGGGATAATATTAGGAAAGCTATACTACTAGTTTATAGACTTATAGGCTTAGTTACGACGCTAAGCTTATATAGGCCTAAATTAGGCTAGAAGGCCCTTATATAGAGCCCTACCTTAAGAGCCCTCCGCTCTCTAAGTAATATTAACTTTATAAACTTACTATATCTAAGCCTATCTATAACTCTCTTATAATATTTCTATTACTATATCCTTACGTAAGTAGCCTATAAGTATAGCCTACGAGTATAGTTCTTATATACTACTACTCGATTAAAGTATATTAGTCGTATAGTTCGCCTTACTATAAATCGCCTATACCTATACTTATATAATTCTTTTTAATACGCTTACTCGTACTTACGCTTAAGAGGAGGAGAGTAATATTATAGAATAGCCCGCCTCTATACTTCTTTATACGGCTATTCTATATAGGGTTACTTTATAATACTAAGTTAGTATAACTTATACTTAGTTATCTTACTTCTTAAGACTTCTTACCTCCTTAGTTTAAGTACTTATTTTAATTCTAACTACTTACGAACGTCTCTTTAGTCGCCTATATTATAGAATATATAAAAAGGCTATAAGCGCTATAGGCGTTTAAACGGAGTTTTAGCTATCTTAGCTACTATAATCGGCTAAAACTCCGCGGAAACGTCTATAGCGCCTATAGCCCTAGATTTAGTTTCTAAAATTCCTAACCTATAGTAGAGAATATTTATATATTACTAGATAAAAATCATCTCGCTCTATTATTTATCTCGTTTTAAATTGTTATCTCTCTCGCGTCGATTTACTTAGCCTCTCGCGTCGATTTACTTAGCCTCTCGCGTCGACTTCTAGTTCTAGCTCTCTCTTTTTCGTTAATTATTTCTCCCGTTTTATTTTTTTATCTTTCTCGCATCGATTTACTTGGCCTCTCGCGCCGAAGCCACTTTACTACAAATGCGGTCTCTTAAGGATATCGTGTAATGTTTCGCGGTTCAGTCCTCGGGAACCGGCGCAAATTTCGACATTTTCCTCAACTTCAACCCATACTTCATGAAGATGAGAGGAACGGGCAATGCAAGACAGGACAGCCCTCCGAGAAGACTACAACCAGGACCCACTCCGATGGCAGTGAACATCGGGCCCGCAGCAAGAGGCAATGTACATCCGAGAACCGAACGAAGAACCGTGCTAACCGACATCGCACTCGCTGTATCTAGAGTCACCGTGTCAGAAGCAAGAGAGTCGTGCCTTGATCATGATACGTACAGGGTCCATATGTGTCGGCAAGGAAATTGAGGCATTGCTGAAAGACGACATTGAAGCCGGCACCAAGAAATCCTGTCAACCAAATGAGTGAAAGACTTCGACACATGAGAGACAGTGTACTCGCCAGCTGCAATGGTGGGCAGAATCCAGTGATACTGCGGGCCAGAGGTCCAGCCGAAGAAGAGCATGCCCGTCGAGAAAAGCACGCCTCCAAGCAGCATCGGAGGAAGTCGGGCTTCGGGTACCGGTCGCCCTTTGTTATTACTCACAGCCTTTGCGTATGGGCCTTGGTTGGCTAGATTGATGACAAGCGCAAAGAAGATACCGATGAGCATCCCTATAAATGGGAGGGTCGATACGATGATTGAATATCCGCGTATGTCGTGGAACACGACAACAAACGACTGAACCAGGAAGAAGAGCAAGCCAAAGACATACGAGGCATAGACTGAGATACAGGCCACCATCGGTTCCGTGAAAAGCATGCTGTGGAGAATGAGTGATTAGCTTGGCCGATCCCTGCGCCGACACGACAGCTTTGTGATGCGTGAGAAGAACATACCGTCCCGGTCGCCCGATGTATTTCGTCACCACATTGCTCAACTTGATCTTCTCTTGCTCCTGCGGATGCCAATGTCTGCTGTCACCAGTCACCTTCCGCAGCCGACGAGCTTCACGTCTGAGGAGCACTGGGTGATATGTCTCGGGGAGGCAAAGCTGGGAGACTCCAATCAGGAAGAGAGTCATGATAGCATGCATATACGCCGTCCCTACAGTTGTCAGCCTGCATTCTCCGGCTTCGATCCGAGCATCGTACATCTCCATCCCATCTTGGAATTTGCCGCAATAGAAGCGCCCACGAGCGGAGCAAGACAAGGTCCGCCAACAATGCATATTGACATCAATGCCATCGGGATGCCCCTCTTCCTTGCGCTGTAGAAGTCTCCGATGGCAGCTGCAGTATTGCTTATCGATGCAGAGGCGAAAACGCCGGCCAGGAACCTTGTCGCGAAAACCGCCGCAGCAGTCGTGCTCGTGGCCGTCCCGATCTCGAACATTGCGGCAACGAACATGGCGGGAATGATTGAGAGTTTGCGGCCATGGACTTCCGCCAGCGGAGCCCAGAGCATGGACCCAAATGCGAAGCCAAGGACGTACAGCGAGACGGCCAGCACGGCGGTATCCCGTGGCAGATGCAGGTAGACGGCAATCTGGCCCTGAGCGGGTGACATGATCGAGGCGCCAAATGAGCCAACAAATGACAGCATTGCCAATTGAAAGGCCAGCCAAGCTCTGTACAAGCTGGACCAATTCATTGGGTTCCGAGGATCATTCTCGGTCCATGCTACCTTGAAGGCATCTCTGTCGTCAAGCACCTCGTCGCTGGGGAGCTCCTTGCTGGAACAATGCTTGCTGTGGTGGTCGCTGCTTGCACGCTCTCCATTGGATCCTTCGGAAGCAGGAAGACTTGCCTCGACGTCTTCGGCTGCCATGGTCGAATGCCGAAACGCAAATTGGATAATTCGGAAAAGGGTACTGCAGAGAAGGAAAAACAGGGAACCTACCTATCTCTCGGTTCTTCGAGCTGCAAATCCGGAAGCGATGTCGTCGAGAGATTTCCATGAGCCAAACGAAGCCGAAGTGCAGCCTCTTCCGGTCACTACGCGTCAATACCGAACTGCGGTWTGTGCGCGCGGATTATCTCGCCGAACGATTGGCGCAGCCGTGAGCGATCCAACAGCGTCGGCCATCAAGCAGATGGGAACACTTGCTCTCCCCATGAGCGATATCAAGTCTTCACGGCTGGCCACTTGCGACCAATGCCTCGTTCATGGCGCAACAGATGTAAGCCTTCGTCGTCCATCATCTTGTGTCTCTGACGTCCGCACCGCGAGGTCTTCATGCGCMTTGAGAGCTGTTCACATTCGCAGCTAGATCGCAGACACCCGAGGCTTCATCCTTGTCCGAGATATTACGCACCTCTTCCAGACAGGTATGAGGACACGCCTCGGTCGGCGACGCCAACAGGCGGATATGGCGTTGGTGATAGCACAGATCAGGCGGTAAGAATCGTCTCGTTTGTGAAGGCGGGAGATGATTGAATCATAGGACACACAGCAAGTAACCCTAGCAAGACATTACGCCTGATTGTTTCCACGTCGCGTGATGAAGAGCAAGGTTGAAGGATCCATGTTCGTGTTCCGCGTGGCACTCCGAGTCCGACATTTGACTTTGCTGAGGCGGTACGAGCTTTTACGAGATGATTCGGCGTGGAGCTGGTATGGGATTTTCCGGCCCAGCGTCCATCCATCTGCAACGACATCAAGACGACATTCCATTCCGTAGCAAGCCAGCCTCACTGGAGGCAATGAAAGTGCAGGTCACTGTTGCGGAGATCCGAAGCAAGGCGACCGGAATAGGCGGTCTGCAGTTGCCCGCTCCCGTACATCACTGATATTCGACATCCGTCAAACGCACCTCATCGCTCGTACAATCGAAGCCGACAGCGTTTCCGCCTCGCTTTAAGCGGATCCACGGTAAGTGCAATGGGACCTGATCACTCGCAAGGAATCGCAGGCGTTTCGCCGAGCAAAGCAATCCATCACAATGGCAGCTGGGAAACCTTGGGAGGGAGGGATTCCTGCCTTGAAAGATTTATCAACATCCACAGTGGGCGTCATGCAAACGATTTGTTCATGAGTCGGCGGCTCCACTCGAGCGATGCGATGCACGTCGTACCTTCGATCTTCTTTCGTTGTGAATCTTCACGCAACCCAAGTCTCCTCTCTCGCAGGCAATGTATCCTGCCCACGTTGAAGTGTTCCAGCGCTATCAGACATTCAAGCTTGGTTCTTCGTCTCCCATTCAATGTCATGCTCTACACACTCGAATCACCTTCAAGGGTTATACGGTCATCCTGCACATATCAAGTCACGGCACCGATTGACAGCTTGTAGCAGGAATGATTCACACCAGCTTGACGGAGTATTTGCTGCACGCCTGATGGCTCGTCTTCGAGGTTCCCACTCTGACTCTAGTGCTTGATTTCTACATGCTCTGCCTTCGCTACACTCTCTCCGAGCATACCCTCCGCCTTGGCTTGAGCGGCAACAATTGTTTCATCTGCGGGGGCGTCGATATGAGCGGTGAACTCCTCGGTCGGATTTACCAAGAAGAATGTCACTGTCGAGTCACATCAGTAGGGGTCTCGAATTATCTCCCTTCCGATGAGATGACTTACTTATCGTGGAAACTGCGCAGAAGCACGCGGCAGAGACCCACACCCATCTGAAACTAATGGCAAACGATTCCAAAATTGCATGCCCGGCAGCGCCGGCGATCTCAGGGGTCACACCTGGAACGGCGAAAATGGCCTCGGAATTCCTGGATTGCAGAGCGCCGATCAGACCTCCGAGTGAGGTTGGAGGAAGTCCTAGAGGAAGAACGGCGGCTGCGACTCGCTTCGGTAGTTCTGTCGATATGCTGCTGGTGAAGATAGCGCTATTGATGGCGAGGCCAACCGTGGCACCCATTGACCTTGCGGACACCACGAGTGCCGACGTCTCCGCGATTAATTCAAGCGGCGTGCTCAGCTGAGCGATGACCATGGCTGTGGGGAGAATGAAACCAATGCCCGCTCCGAGGACCACGGCGAGGATCCAATATGCCGCGTCGGGTGTCTGAGTTCGTGATACAGCCGCCATGCATACCATGAACACTGTCATGCCCGTCATACCCAGACAGGCAACGCTCTTCACCGATTTGGTCCGGACCGAATACCATCCTCCGAACATTGAAAATATCACGGCAGCGAGAAACATGACTCCGTAATGGAGCCCTGCGATCAGGAGGTCGAAGCTCAATAGCATGCCAACCTGATAGGCGAAGTATTGATTTGCAGCAAAGAACGATACACCTTCCGCAAAGACAACAGCCAAGACGAATGGGAAGTTCCTCCCCATTCTGAACAGGCCGTGATGGAGGAGGCCTTTGTCGGTGAATCGCCATTCGTATATGCCAAATGCAATCAAGCATGCAATTCCGGTGACGAAAGGGCCTAGTATATGGGCGTCTGACCATTGGTAGGGGTTTCTGGACCAGCCAAGGGCGAGTGAAAAGAGGACCAAGCCAGGCGTCAGAAGCGAGGATCCTATCCAGTCAATTGATTGAATCTTCTCTCTTGTGCTCATCGCCTTCTCCAATTCCCGACGGGGTGGATTGTAGCCCAGTGACACGCCCGCTACAGCCAGAGAGAAGAGGCCAACGAGAACATACATGTATATTCTGTAGTTTTCCAGCTGGTCGTATCGGAGCAGAGCACCGCCCATGCAAATACCAATGAACGCGGCCAAACCGGAAGTGGCATGAAGAGTAGCTTGAGCGAGAGGTCTTTGAGCCCTCGGAAGGACCTCGGATACGACAGCGTGTAGCAGAGGCTGGCTGCTCGTGGCCACACCGATGAGGCAGAATCCTGCAATGACTGTGTCGAGCGACTGAGCTCTTGAGGCGACCACAGAGCCGACGACGCCGCTCAGTAAGACAGTGACCAGGGGCCATTTGCGTCCCCACAGGTCTGCAATCTGGCTGATCGGTGGGCCGAATGCTGATGTAAGGATGTTCAAGGAGACCGCGAGCCAGACCGTATTCTGTGAGTCCGCGAAGAGTGTTCCGAGCGGTGTTGCGAGGAAGCCAGATGCCACCACCGCCGTGAGATTCGCGACGTACGCAAAGTTGACTGCCTATCGGGACACGTCAAATGAAATCTTGTCCAGCGGTGGACGCTCGCACTTACGCCAACCAGAATCCAAGTCTTCGCACTCACGCGGATCAGATCTGGTCCTTTACCTTCAAAAGACATAATGCTGTTCAAGAAGTTTACAACCAACCAACAAGATGGAGAGGTGACGCCCGAAAGACGATAGATTGGGTTACCAATGTTGAGCTACTGGCAGATATCTCGCAAGCACACCTTTCCATCCACAAGAGCCGGTATGCATTACCCCAGCTTTATACCCCGTAGAGAAGGTCTTGGAACACATCCACATCCGACGATATGCAGAACATAAAGCTATGGCTTTTGTTCCCCGGACTCTCAAGCGAGGCATAACTGGCCCTCGATACTCTTGCCCCACACCGTTGCTGGTGTGCCAAGTAGAGTGCAATGTTCTCCCATAACGCCCACCGGAACACCCCCACATGGATCACGGATCGTCAAAAAGACCAACTGAGCGACGATCAAACTAGGTAGCGCACTTTGACAATCGTATTCTGGTTCTCGCATGTTGCAGACCGTCCCGTGCGATCGCTCTCTTCGACAAGCTTGAATTGACATTTATGAATTCAGGGCAATCAAATCTCTTTTTCGGCAAAATCTGTTCTCGCGCCCAGGTAGGTGGTCTTCTTCATTTGGAAAGATTATGTCGCTTGTTGTTTCCATAAATGCACTGCAATGAGTCGGTTGACCGGGGAGACAAGTGGAGCTGGGGACGAACGCATTGCTCGCGGCTCGCTTATCCACTCATCTCTCGCGACACCAATAGCGATTGCAAACCCTCGTACCCAGAGCCCCTGAGGGATGTCTCGCGAAACAACCGAGACGGCTCGTTCGGCACTGTGGGCTTAATCGTAACGACGCTGCCATCTCACCCAGCTCACATTTCACGATTGTCTATCCCATACGATTTACTCGAACAAGCCCTGATTGGGGACGCCAACCCCGAACAACCTGGTAATGAGTGCCTGAGCAGACCTGGACATGCTTGACATCCTCCCCGCCTGGAACCCTACCGGCGTTGGTTCGAAAGTCCTTTGCGGGATACGAACGTTTCCTTCAGCCTTGATATCGTTGAGGATAATCGCGGGTCTAAGATGATCACACGCTGTAGGGGCCGCATGCACGTCAAGAGATGGGTGTTGGTATGTCTCAACTAGCGACTCTTTTCTTTCTAGATATCAACGCGTAGGACATCATATGGACCAAGTCGGCAGTGTTGGAATGGCTAGCTCACAAATATATTCAGAAACGTTATCAATACTGGAGCAGAGTCCTAGACGAGACGTAATAAGGAGGTATGCTTATATAGAAGCGTTGCATGAGTCACAAAGACAGCTTGCCTAGAAACAAGTAGCACAGCCTCCTAATTTCTTGTACAGGATCGAATGCGAGACAGACCTGTATACCAAGCATCCCACAATTAACAATGGATCAATCGCATTTCCTACGACTTCCAGCAGAGATCAGAGAACTCATCTATGAATATTTATTGAATAGCAAGACAGAAATGTACCTACCCACCCCAAAGGATCCCATTAAGCGTAGGAATTGGCAAGAAAACTATCGAAGAGTCATTCCTCCAAGGCTCTCATCTACTGGTAGCAGGCAGCAGGCCGCTATCGATGATCTGGACTGGGAGACAAAGCGCGTTGAGCCCAATTTTATCTCGTTCACTTGCAGAGAAAAGCGTACGATTTTCCTGGGAGAAGATGGACATGCATTCAGCAATTCTCCGCTCGCATGTGTCAATCGTCAATTGAGAAGAGAAGTCACTGGATATCTTCACCTTTGTGCGGAGGAAGTCATTGCACAAGTCTTGAATTTCGACTTTGACAATATTATCCACTACCTGGCGAGTCTACCAGCTACACAACAAGCCGGGTTCGGAGTATCGCGCAGTGGCACGTACGAGAAGCTGCTCCGGATTGAGATATGTTGGCCTTATGACGAAACTTGCCGGGCCAATCTCGAAAGGTGGCTGAATTACCTGGGAGGATTTGTTGGAGCGGATGGAGAGCTTGCCGTTGTCTTGAAGATGAATTGGTCTAAGCTACAATTCCTTACGGGCAAGGCGGAATTGAAGCTACGGATGTCTGAGCTACAGCTCGCCCATGAAGGTCGGTCAAAAGGACCAGCCAAGTTGGAACTTTACCGGCTGATGTGTGCATTCCAATGTACCAAGGACCGGCTTTCGCTCTCCTAATCCAGCAGCGTATGATATAAGCTGGCGTGTAGTGGCAACGGTGTACCGTTCATGCTCTAGGCTATCAGAGTCTCGTTACCTAGCTGTTCTCCTTCCGGAAAAGGCCAGCGACGGTAAAAACGGTACGGGACTGTGTGTCATGATTCAGCTCTATATCATCTTCTGCTGCCTTTTTACATGCTCACGCATTTCAGTGCTGTGCTTTGGCAATGATTTTCATAGAAGGCTCTTGACTTTCAATTTTCAGCGAAGATCAGAGGTATCCTTCAGTCGGTAATGCTCCATGTATGAACAAGTAGTAGAGTTGATGCTGGCCGGACGACTGTAAAGGAGAGAGTCGACGACGTCGGTAAAAGAAGATCGCCGAGTGGTCTGTGCGMCTTCTCCCCATCTCATCTCATATTCGGTTGAGCAGCACTTAAAAGTATTTTGACATTGCTACCGCTTTGGAAGAAGAGCTTTATCAAGCAGCTGGACCTTTGGTGTCGCATCTGAGCACTACAGTCGCCGACGAGTGGACAGCCGAGTAATACGAACCACTGAAGCATTTGAACATCTCCGCGCTGTGCCGAAATGGTGTCTACCATGCCACTTTTACAATACTCATCTACTCCTCTGACCATGCATATTGAAAAGGCTCACCGGCATGACGAAGAGGTGTCGCGGCGAAAAGGTGCCAGTTGCTCCTAGTAGGGCCGGTCGAAATGTATGGGGATTTTACCAGAACAGAGTTTTGTAACGGACCCACATCGATTTCTGCACTCAACATCATCGCTTCTGGATGACATAACAGTATCGAGGACCAGGAGTGATGAGCATATCCCGTCAATCTGAAGAAGCTCCTTCAGCCTCAACATCTCGCCCATCAAATGGTAAGCAATTTCAATTCTGCTTCACCTCCCATCGAATGCGCCAAGAGCCGCCTTCAAGCCATTCGCGGTACTGCAGCGAAGCAAAAGGCTTGGAGAAGTCTCAACTTGAGAGACTCAATACTCTGGCTAGCTGAGAGCCGCGAGTCCAAGTCATAGTTTGGRCATTTCTTCGTATCGCAGAGCACTTCTGAACTGCGCTTGTTCTCATGACCAACACTCCCTGAAAACTTCGTAGTACACTCGCTGAGAACAATACAGACATTGCCACAGTCTCACTCAAACACGGCGAAGCTRAAGCTGAAGTATTCGGCGGCGAAGATGGTCTCAAGTTCCGGACCGTGGGTTGGCTGGCGGCAGCAGTGTTCATGATCAAGATGACATTCGCAACGGGGGTATTGTCAATCCCAGCAGCCCTGTATACGCTGGGCGCAGTTGCAGGCTCAATCTTCATCGTCTTCTGGGGTCTTCTTAACACATACATGGCCCACGTACAAGTATGTGTTCCTCCTTCCCTGGCCAGCGACAGGAGAGCTACTGACATCGTGCAGGGCCGGTTCAAAATCGCCCATCCATCAATCCACACCATATCGGACGCTACATATATCGCGACACTCAGTTTCGGAGGCTCGATTCGCATGGCAAACATTGTCAGAGAACTGACTGACACACTATACCTCATCACTTGGGCCCTCATCTCTGGAGTGTCCATGCTGGGACTCTCCGTCGCCCTGAATGCCGTTTCAAGCCACGCCACATGCAGTATTATCTTCGGCTTCGTGTCATTTTTCGTCGTCTCTTCCGTCGCCAGCATTCAAAGGATCCACAAACTCCGCTGGCTGACCTGGATCGGCTTCGGCTCCATCCTGATAGCCATTTTGATAGTCGTCATTGCAGTGACCATCCCAGTCCGGCCAGCAGCAGCTCCTCAAACTGGCAACTTTGACCTTGGATTTCTTGCCTTGCCTCCAAAAGAGACGACATTCGTAACGGCATGGACTGCTTCCCTGGCCATCTTCTCTTCATCAGCAAACACTTCCGGCTTCATCCCAGTGATATCAGAGATGAAACGACCACAAGACTTCTTCAAAAGCATGTACACCTGCATGGCATGGGTGACTAGCGCATATCTTTCCCTTGCTCTGACAGTGTATGCGTACTGCGGGAAGTGGGTGGCATCTCCTGCTCTTGGATCTGCGGGACCGACCATCAAGATCATCGCTTATGCGATTGCCATTCCGGGCATGATAGTTGGCGCCATGATTCTAGTTCATGTTGCTGCGAAGAGCCTATTCGTCAAGCTGTTGCGAGGAACGAGACATTTGTCCGAGAACACGAAGACGCACTGGGCGGTTTGGCTCTCGTGCACATACGGTGTTGGCCTCGTCGGCTGGATTCTTTCCGAGGCAGTACCGATATTCTCTTCGCTCGTCTCTCTAATCGGTGCCCTTGGCTTCGGACCGTTGGGGATCTGCTTGCCTGCTGTGTTGTGGTTCTCCCTAGAGCGAACGTCGACCATCGACATATCACCAATGAGCACGCTGAAAAGATGGACTGCTTGTATCTGTCACCTACTCATCTTCCTTCTGGGCTTGTTGGTCACCATTGGCGGCACCTACGCCAATGTGATCAGTATCAACGACCAATTCAAGGCCGGCAATGTCGGGAAATCATTCCAGTGTGCAGATAATAGCGGGACGATCGTCTCGAGCTAGCAGAGTTAAGACAGCTTCGAGGAAGAAACCCTTCATCTTCGGAACGACGTGCGGCTCTCAACTTGTATATGATGCCCCATCCGTCCTCCTTGTAGCCCTTGCGACACCATGGAATCGATCGCAAGTCTTCTCAGCTGCGCCACCTCACTGCACATTTGCAACACGCCACTGACTCAATCACCTATTCATCAGAATTCAATCCTCCTCTGCCCCGTCAAAATGTTTCCAGCAGCCTTCTGCACGTTCCCAAACCTCACCGCCCCACAACTCTCGCTCTCCAGATGATTGAAAAGCGGGGCCAGGGCCGCAAATTGCTTTCCGCACCCCAGGCCAAAGCAGCGGTAAAGTTTTTGCTTGTGGACAGGCGAGGCGAGGTGTTGGTTCAAACTAGCCAGAGCGGCAAAGTCGCGGTTGCAAAGATAGCACTCGTAGGCGTGGCCGTTCCAACTCGCAGCGGTTGCGGCATACTCGGCATTGGCGGCTCCGTCCCACTTCAAGAATTTGTTGGTGATAACGCCACAAGTATCGCGAGCGCTGACGGCTTTGTAGACGGACTCGCGGTTGAGGTTTGTAGCGCGAGGGCAGGAACCTGTTTCGATGTGGTTGGCTACGCCACTAGCTGCGGTGAAGCCCTTGATGTACGTCAGTGGTTTTCTTTCTGATTTGGAAATATGGAGGGTGTGGTCTTACTCTCTTGCAGAATGGGCACGCGATGCTGTTTTTGTAGTGCGCTGAGCCGTGGAGATGCTTTATTCCACTTTGGTCAAAAACTATCGAAGCGGAAGATGTTCCGACTTACCTGCTGTAGGTTGTTGTCGTTCTGGAAGCCACGCTGGCATGGCTGACACCAATGCGTCCTCCAGTGATCATTTCGATCCATGTGCTGACGAGCACCCTGATAGGTGGTGTATCYACAGTGATGATCAGTCTAAAGGTTGGTGAAAGAGCACCCGAGAGTGTATACGAACTTGATATTGCAAGCCTCGCATGCGTAAGGGAAGTGTGAGAGATGCGCGGCGCCACCCATGTGCTGATGGATGATGGTTAGCATAGCATATACAAGACGGCAAGGCCTTCGTTATCAGACCAACCATTTGCAAGTTGTTGTCATTCTGGAAGCCTCTCTCGCAGGTAGCACACCAGTGGATTCTCCAGTGATCGTGTTGGTCCATGTGATCGCGAGCCTGCCGTGGAGTGTGAAACTTCTCATTGCAGGCTTCGCACTCATGCTGTGGCGCATAATGGCTGTAATCATCAATGTGTTCGTCGAGGTCTTCTTCTTCCGAGAATTCATCCCCACAGACCTCACAGTCAAAAGTTGCCCAGTGATCGAGAGCGTTCATGTGCTGGGCACGAGCCTGGTCGGAGCCAAACCGGCGAGTGCAAGTCTCGCATTCATACATGGCAGTCGAGAAGTGATTGAGCGATGGGAAAAGGAATGRGGGGCGGAGAGGAAAGCGACGGGCGATCTTATGCTTGCAAAGCGACACACTGTTTTCTGAGCAAACGAGAATGCCCTGTGAACAGATCGTCCCACTCCCAAGAACCAACCTGTGCAGGAGCCCGCGATACAACCTATCACTTATGCAGACGCTTCCGGGGAGATGTTGCCAAACCTGCTTTGGGACGGAAAGCTGCCCGTTGTGGTTTCACTGGCGACTCATATGGCCACGTGAAGGTGGATGCTAATGGAAGAAGAAGGAGCGGAGAGGGAATAATGATGGAAGCTTCGGGGAAGCGAATCCATTCGGAACGTGCCGAAGCACAGACCCCCGGCTTTTTTGGCGGACCTCGCAGACGCAAGCGCATACCACAAAGCACCTCACTCAACGACCACACATCCATCCACCAAGCCCCTCCATACTCACCATGCCTCAAGCCCAGCCCGAGCTCAAAAAATACCTCGACAAGCGCGTCGAAGTGCAGCTCAACGGCTCGCGCAAAGTCATGGGAACTCTCCGCGGATACGATGTAAGAAGTGCCATCTTCCCTGCCAGATCATCTACTAATAACCAATCTAGGTCTTCCTCAACATWGTCCTCGACGAAGCAACGGAGAGCAAAGCCAATAACGAAAAGGTGCGCCTGGGAATGTGTGTGATCCGCGGCAATTCGGTCGTCATGATGGAGGCGCTGGATCGCATCAACGAGGATCGCCGGGGACCACCGCGGGATTGAGATTTGGAGGGAGAGAATTGAGGGAACTGGCGGACTGAGAAGGAAAGAAGGGGCGGCGCTGGCAAAAGCGAGGCGTTGGAGCAATAATGGCCATTATGCATGAGGGTTCAATGTTCACTGTGGGCGGGAAATGGACGGGGCGTTTGGAGGCGCAAGTGGGAGGACAGTCTTTCTATCTACCGCGGGGATAAGCGAATGATGGACGGGAAAGGAAGGAAGATTCAACGCGATTCTCGTCGACAGAATCAATCACTTGTCGCAAAGAACCGCCCCATACCACCGTCCACCACACCCGAGCCGGAATCGTAAGCCACGATGCGACACCTCCAGCTCCAAGATATACCTCAGCTCCAACCACTCATGCATCCCTCCATCTTCGCTTCTCCTACTCTTCTTCTCAAACAATTCCTTGGGAATGTCGGAGAGATGGCATTGCAGCACGCACTTGTTCTTCAAATCGCTCTCATCAGTCCCCTCGAGTAGAGTTTCCCTGATGTACCCATCTGATTCCGACGCATTCACACTCCAAGCCCGGAAAATCTCTATTTCGCTGTCGCCTCCCCCGTCGCTCGTCTGGTCAAACCAGAAGATGCGCTTCAAGGCCACTTCTCCCCGATGATGGCACATTTCCTTCGGCTCTGCGACTTGTCTACTTTTGTCGRTGTGGTAGGTACGACCTGCGACACAGTAGCGTTTGGGAAGCTCCGTCGACGTGGAAGGGGAGATTCGAGGAATTGGGCTTGCTGGTGATTTGGAGTGTGCCGCCTGCTGTGTTTCTTCATCCGAAGGTGTTGTTAAGGCATCTCGGATGGAAAGACCATGATACACTCCACCACGAGAGATGGCCGCATTCCTTCCAGGTCGAAGTTGTTAGTGACGATGCGCAGGTAGGTACAATCTACAGGATGGTCGGTACTCACGGCTCGGGAACCCTCACGACTGAAAGTCGGGGGTTCTTCAGTTGGAGTTGCTGGAGAAGATAATCACTGTTTCCGAATCCTCCCGTGAGTATTACAGTCTGCGAGTAAGTCGTTCGTCAATGCAAGAGACTGAGGTGCTTCGAAAAACGACTTACTTTGACTTTCCCTATCTCATTCCACATCCCATTGCCCTCACGCAGCTCTTGTAGCCTCGTGAACTTCATCGTCTCGAGCTGCTCCTTGACCAACTTATCAATCTCATCAACGACAGAGTCGAAGATTCCCTGCAAAGATTCGCTGAATAATTGCCATGCGCAGATTAGCCACGTCCTTGGCCAATATATTTGAATTTCGACTTACCGCGAGACAGAAAGACAGCTTCGCTCAAGTCCCTTGTCTAAATCGTCCTCCAACTTGGCCTGTGGAAAACAGACAAGAATCTCGTYGCCATCACCACCATGCATCAAGGGAAACTTGCTCTTGACTTGATCGTCGAACATCTTTATGACATGTGACAGAGCACCGGCTTCCAGGACCTTGAGCCAGTTCTGCTCCCCAACAGCATGCTCAATATGCTCATGGAACTTTCGGTTTAACATCAAAGATCCGAAATTTCCACCTTCATCAACTTCCGTCAGTGAAATGTTGCAAAAGCCAGCGCACTCGACAATGCATGCATACCTGTTGCTTTAACCAGCGCCTCCACCTCTGCTTCGATAACTCCACAGGTGACCAAATGCACCGTACCGCCACCAGCATCACAGATGATAAATGGGGCCTTGGCATCCCAGTCCTTTCGATCAAGCTCATTCATGGCTTGTATAGAAGCCGCTTCGGGCTCAGGGATCAACACCACAGGCGAGATGTCTGTATTAACGACCGCCTGCAAATCAAATCAGTAATCGAACAAACATGACAGACTTCCTCAACAATACACAAACCTTCAGAAACGACTTCTTGGCCTCTTTGGGCCAGCCACAAGGAACAGTCAGGATGAACTCCTTCTCCAACCCCTCCATGAACTCTTCCGGATACTCCGACGCAATACTCTTCAAGGCATGTTCAGAAACCGCTCTCAGGAAATCCGAGACAATGTCCACAGCCGGCTTCCCCAACTTAGCCCGTAGATCCCCACTATCCATATCCGAAGAATAAGTAGGCGGCTTCGAAGTCGGATCAAGAAGAGATTTCAAAGCCTCGATCCGTCCCTCGGTGTATCTATCGATTTCACACCCCCACTTCATCGATCCATCCTCCTCGTATTTTACCATCGACGGACATCCCTTGCTTGTCTCTTCTCCCATTGCACCAGGCCATTCCTCGATGGAGTGTATCACATGTTGCTGCTTCTTCACGTCGGCGAGGAGGAGGACGTAGGCGACTTTTGTAAACGTCGTTCCGAAGTCCTGCGAAATAACAAAATTTCAGTCCATTTCATTATGAATGATACAGGGAGGTTAGAGTGTGCTTACAATGCTAATAATGACACTAGGAGCTTCTTCTGCACTGTTTCCATTTCGCGCCATGTTGTTTACAAAGTTCTTGAACGAGCAAGAACAGTCCCCATGAGCGTTCAATTCAACCGATGGGGGGAGAAAACATCCCATTGTTCGACCTATCTTCCCGATCCGGCGTTTTTGGGGGGGATGTTTTCCCACAAAGCGCAGGTTTTGGTAGCCCCTGAAAGCTGTTACATTCCAAGGGTAAGCAGTCTTCGCCAAGATCGACAGTCCTTTTACCGCTGGGATGGGCAACTTCAATGTAAATGTTGATAGTTGTTAGACAGTAGAAATAGAGATGCCACAAATATGGAATGATTGAACGACATATCAGCACTTCTGTCGCTCAGATAACCATGTTTGTCCCACTGAGAGCACCGGAAAAACGGTTTCCGAGAGTGAAGCCTTCTCTATCGTGCATTGTAGAGATAACAATGTATCTATGGGACTACCTGTATTTTGTCTGTAATGTGGAAATCAAAGTATGTGTGATAGATAAAGGTAATGTTACAATTCCATCAAGCAATAACATATTCCTCCTCCTCCTCCTCCTCGAACTCCCCATCAGCCTCCCAATTCTTGGACCAATACTTGGAAGCATACACCTGCTTCCCAATCGACACGCTCAGATGCATCATTTCCTCCGACATGCCCAACGTCAGCGTATAATGCAACTCCCACCACCGCTTCACCCTTCCATCCTCCTCCGTCCGAGTCTTCTTCTCCACCAACTTCAACGGAAGCTCCTGACCAACCTTCCAATCCGGGTGTTCGGTGCTCGTAAGCGGTACATTCAACCAAGTCTCGTCTCTGGCATTCCTGGTAAGTTTGCCTTCCTCGCCTTCACCCTTGGTCACGTCGATTTCGATCACTACAGGTTCTTTGGATCTGGAAGGATCTTTCTTCCATGCGGCAAAGCACTCCAGTACGCTATCTTCGGCACCGCCATGCCCGTCGGCGATTTGCTTGAACCAGCGCAAGTGACGCCTGGCAAGTTTACCATAATGGTCGATGACTTCCCCTTCGAGGGTGTCCCGGGAGAGGAGAGCTACGCCGTAGATCTTGGGCAGGACGGTTCCTGCAGGGACTGGGGTCTGAGGTTTCTCCTCCTCGCTGGTGTCGTCGGTTTGAGCATCGGTGTGATGGTGCGAACTATCCTCGCAATGGATCATGCGATTCAAAGCTCGCTTGGTGGGGATCTTCATTGATACAGCCTGTGGTAAAACCATGATGACGAGCAGATGGATTGGCGACGGAAGGAAGGAAGATCTGTTGATGACGATCGAATCTTAAGAAGATGGCAGTTTGTGCTTTGTTTTGTACCAGTCTACATCCGGCGATTTTCTTCATAATGGACAGCATTAGAGAAAGTGGAAGTTTCGCCACCGACCGTGTATTCTGAACAAAGAATCCCATCTAGGAGCAAAGACATATCGACTGAGCAAGATCAACCGCATCTTCTCAAAGATGAACGATCAGTGAGAGACTGGACGCACTGAGCGAACAAACGTTCAACAACCTAAGAGGTGAAGTGATTGTCTCTCTCACCCGTGGTCCTCCTCTGAATGAGATGCACGTGAGGGCCATCATCGCAAGCCAGATCCGCTCGCTATAACGACACGATTGTGATACATATGTCATGCCATGTCGACTTGCCATGAGAGACAATCTCCGTAGAGCCAAAGTTTTATAGATGAGACGCCAAAGTATCTCCCCACTCATTTGAGAATGGGGTACCGCATTKGGAAGTGTAGTCACACTCCTCTTGGCATAACGATGTATGATTAAGCCGTGCGTGATGAATCCTTTGATCGGTACAGTGTAGAAGAAGAATGAGAAGCTGACTACTCAACCTAGCGCCTTTCATTTCTCGATCGACACCAAGATGAGGGAAATACCCACCAAAAATACCGTCCAAGAATCGGAGATTTCTTTACACGCGAAGTAGCAGGGAAGGTACTCCCGTCTCAAGTCGTGGAAGATTCATCTGCGCTTCGGCTTCGAATTGAGGGATCCAGAGTCAGACCTTTGCGAAAGATTCCCTGTTGTTGGATGGAGAACAAGGCAAAGATCAGACAGAGTGAAAATAATGTATTTTCATGACGTCTTTCTGTGGGGCAGGCAACGGCGTCAATCCCAACGACGTGGGAATGGAAGCCGAGGTGGAGGAAAGTAAGGTAGAGTTGATGTGCATCTTGTCTATTTCCGATTTCCTCTCCTGTATACCATCTCCTACTTCCTCTTCTGCATACCTCATGCATGAGTGAATGAATGCTCGAGGGGGGGAAGGGGTAAGTTAGAGAAGGGGCAGATGAGGAGAGTTTACGCTTGCGGCGGCAGATGTCTTCGGGAATCGGGATGTGCCTAGGTAGGTCCGACCCCGGCAACGGCTTCCTTGGATCAAACATGAAATCCGGGACGCGTTGTTGGGAAGGTTTGGCGATGGGTTGGTTGTTGACAATATTGTCCTATGAGTGATGTGACGCTTAACTCTTTGCAGTATACTATTCAATCAATCTATAGTACCTTCTATATTATATGTAGATGTCCAGGGGTGCATATCTAGCCTTGGATATATATTATAGTCCTGCGATGGCGTCGTGTCAAATTAACTGTTGATGAATATTCATCACGTGAAATTGCGCCCGACTCCATTTTACCTCATTCTTGGAGACGCCGTCCCGTCCCGCGCCGTGCCGTCTTTCGTCTCCCTGCGCGTGCGTTGGATGTTGCAGCAGAAAGAAGGAAGCAAACAAACCACGTACCTAACTTACCACCAACGGATCTCCCTCGAACATCTCCCCGCCGATTGATCTCCCTCGCCTCCCACCCGTCGATGGTCTGATCCGATTCGAGTCATGGCGCTGCAGACACCCGGACGAAGAAACTTGGGATCCAGTCTGGCCCGTCCATCATTTGGCACGGCCAGCTCCCCCTCCCTGCGTCACTCCACCACGCAGGATGTCAACCGCAAGGCCAGCTTGCAGGCATTGACCAGTCCACAACCACCAGCACCCCACCAACAGCAGCAGCGCACCCCGACAAGCATGATGGGAAGCGCCTCGAATGATTTGGAGGTGGGCGATGCCGTGACCGTGCCTGGCGACATGTACGGATTGGTGCGCTTTGTGGGCAGCGTCAAGGGCAAGGCGGGCAAGTTTGTCGGCGTGGAGCTCGATCGCCAATTCGCTGCTCGTGGCAAGAACGACGGCGATGTCGATGGAGTCCACTACTTTCGCACCCAAATCCCCGGCGCCGGTATTTTCCTGCCCATTCACCGGGCGGAGAAGCGCAGTTCTCGAGGCATACACGACGAAGATGGTGCTCCTCTCACCCCCAATACTCCTGGCTCCATCACCAGCGGATATGGAGGAGGCACCTCCAACTTCAACCAGAAATTCTCGCAGACCGTCGGACATGGCGCATACCGACCCACCAGCCCCTACCTCAAAGCCAAGCGACCCTCCCTTCCCCGTCCCGAGTCTCCGCTGCGCCGTCCGCCCCCCAATCCGACTCCCACTCCCGGCCGACAGTTCTCCGCCAGTGTACGCGGCGCTACCCGTCCCGCCCTCCCCTCGACCACGCCCAGCAAGAACAACGTCAACATGCGCGCTTCCGTCGCCGGCTCGAGACCGTCCACCGCTCACAGCCAAACACCACGACCTTACTCCCGCACCGGCTCGCGCATGGGAAGTCGCGAGGAATCGGGGACCGCCAAGACGACCACCTCGAGTCGCAACCAATCCAATGGTTCCGTCAAATCCTTCTCCCAACCCTTGCGACCCCAATCCCGTCTGGAGGGTGCCAACGGGCAAGAAGATGAGATTCAAAGGTTGCGGATGGAGCTGGCCGAACGGGACAAGAGACTGGCCGAACAAGCTGCGAATCTCGCGGACATGGACGCTAGTGTGAAGGAGTTGTCCGGTCTGCTCCCTCCAGAAGGAATACCCCAGGACGGCAGGAGGCCTTCATATGGAGGGGATGAGGTGGTGGGGGATGCCACTACCGCACAGCTCAGGCAACTGCTACGGGAGAAGAATGAGAAAATCACCCTCCTCACCACGGAATTCGACGCGCATCGCGCGGATTTCAGAAGTACCCTCGACAGTCTGGAGATGGCTTCTACCGAGACCGAGAGGGTCTATGAGGAGCAGAAGAGGGACCTCTTGGCACAGATCCAAGCCATGGAAGAGCAGGCAAGGGAGATGGGAGATTTGAACGGGAGCAGGAAGGAGTTTGAAGAGGTTGCCAATCAGCTCAAGGGGTTGGAGGAGTTTGTGCAGGAATTGGAGGAAGGGTTGGAAGATGCAAGAAGAGGGGAAGCAGAGGCGAGAGGGGAGGTGGAGTTCCTGCGAGGGGAAGTGGAAAGAGGGAGGAGTGAGTTGAAGAGGGAGCGGGAAAAGGCCGCTGCAAATGCACATGGCAGCGGAGGCAAAGAAATGGAAAAGATGGAAGATGAGATCAAAGGATTGAAAGCCATTATTCACTCCTTCTCCACCACCAGCAGTCCTCCAACAACGCCGACCATCTCGGTGGGAGGCGCGAGACTTTCCAAACAGCTGGCAGAGAGCGAGGCGGCGAGAGCGAAACTGGAAATCGAAATGGAACAGCTACGAAGAGATCTGGCCGCCCCGAAGAATGGAACCCACTCCCGCAATGAGAGCGCCGCTACGACTGTCCCGTCAAGACCCCGAGCGGATACTGTGAGGAAGTCGGTTCCACCGCCACCGATGCCATCAATGCCCATGCCTGCGCCTTCCACCACGAAATTCTGCGACATGTGCGAATCCTCCGAACATGATACGCTGGACTGCAATACCTTTCAAGAAGCGGAAGAGAGTCTTGCAGACGAGCACTCGGTGAATGGGGAGGTAGGAGCCGGTGCTGAAAACGCTGGCCTCGCGATAGACTCCAACTTTCCGGGTGATAGGCCCGCTCCATTGAGTCCCAGTCCTATCAAGAGTCGGCAGGGCAGCGCGGTGGATATCAATGGTGAGAAGAGGAAGAGTGAGGGCAAAGAGGAAGCGGGAGCCAAGAAGGAGGAGGAACTATGGTGTGCGCTTTGTGAAAAGGAGGGACATTTCGCCTATGAGTGTCCGGATGAGCAGTATTGAGTGCCATCTCGATTGGTATCCGCTGGTGTGTAAAGGTGCTGCGCGCTCCGTGAAATGGGAGCAAGGCACCAAGATGGGAAATGCTGAATTTAGCGTTGGCGATCATGGGTCCGTGGGATGGCCTACCTCCATCCATATGGGAGGTCATTTTACCGGAATGGTAACTGTATGTGTATATATTATATTTTTGCTTCTGGATCTATTCTTTTGTGGAAGATGATGTGAATGTAACTGTAATTTCAACGGTGATCTTTTGGCGTGTCGTGCATAGGGATGAGATTGAGATATCTACAAATATGTGACATGATGACAATCAACGCAGCGGAGTGGAAATGTGTAGGTGGAGYGCCGTGTGCTTACATTGTAGACAAGAAACAGTACAGCGACTAGCTCTGCTGGATCAAATATAGGTCACATTCTAATCAAGATTAGGGTGAGGGAGGTAGGAGGTGGAAACTACTTTGGGAGGAGAGAAGGATGCAATGTACGTATAGGAGTAGATTGGCTGTACCTGATTGAAAGATTGAATGGCGACGGGTGGTGGTGGGTGGTGTATAGTATGCGAGGATAAGAGATGATCGACTGGGAGACGAACGTGTTGTGCTTTTCCTAGCGAGAAAGAGAGAGAGTAAGAGAACAAGAGAGAGACCAAGAGAACAAGAGAGAGAGAGAGAGAGAGAGGTAGAAGTTATCAAGTAATTTGCCGTCGAAGACGATAAAGTGAGGGAGGAGAGTATTCATAGCTGTCGGACTCGCAGTAGATGGGTTCCTTCGTTGTGTATCAGGCTGGCGATGAGTACTACATATAAGTCTTCGTATCTAGAAATCCTTGGTTAAATGGCGATGCATACTAATGAACCTTAAGAAGAGGCATACCTTGGGCTCTTCGTTGTGAGAGTAGCTACATGGTGCATAGTCAGTATGGATTAAAGGGAGGGCCGTCTATCGTCTCCTACTAGACATTACGTCAACACCAATGTGATTGACTCCAACACGAGAGAGGGCAGAGACATTCTAGTGCTTTCCAAACGACCGATGATGACAATCGCGAAACAATCGTCGAATATGAGGCCAGCGATGGGCACTAATGTCCAGCACCTTCGTCCATCGGAGACACAGCCCTCGCTATGGAACCAGACGTATACCCTAAACTTCCGCCCTACGCATCATAGAAACCCATCGCGAATCTTCACCTCGAACTAAACCAATCAATAGTGACGGTAGATATGTAGAGTTTCACCAACCAGTAGCCCTTGCTAGTCTGGTTGTACTCCGATGCACGCAAGGTGCTGTGGGTACATGGGGACAAATGGTGATGAAGTTTCGATCGCCGAAAAAGGGTGSGTGTCTCAGAATCCTCGTTACGAGAAGGGCTGGTAGAACAAAGTGGCTTCTCTAGAGCATATACTATAGCATGGACCACGCGACCAGCAAGGATTCTGTGATTTGCATCTCGTGTACTGCTGCCGGGGACCGTAATAGGGTCGGAGAACCAAGGCATCGGGATCCTAGAGGTTGTCTGGGCCGGTCTGTTTGGAAGGTGTTTCTTCCCGCCGAGAGCACCGAGGAGGGTTCCAAGACTTGCAGACCATGGTTGTCTGTGAATCATCAAGGACAGCGACATGTTGTTCACAGGCAGTGTGATAAGAGAGAGAGATGGCCACTCCATCGCGACCGATCATTCCCAGCGTGCTAAAGGGATGCTCGCTCCCGCAAGAGGCTGATCTGCTGTCGAGATCCTCGCATCCTTTTAGTAGAGGTCCTTCGGTCCATGTGAGATACAGGCTCTCCGCGCATCGAAGATTCCCCAGACTCATCGAGTCCTCTCGAGTATCCTTACGCAACAATCATTTCCGATGCAAGGCTGTACACCTCCTGTTCCACTAGTGCGAGAGTCCAGTCCGGCAGGACGGTGGGTCGTAATGCGCCGACAAGATCCTGAAACTCGTCGTTGTAGTAGAGCAAATGATGACGATCGATGTGTGCTCCGTCGATCATATCAATCCTAGCTCCCATCGCCACCCTCGGGCCTCCCTCAAGACGTAACCCTAAAAATGCAGAGCGGGAAGAGGTCCGTCGGTATAAGCTATCCGTTGCTAGAGCTACGACATGCTCCTGTGCTGTCGTACCAAAGTCTCAACGACATGTCTCCTTGCATGTAGATGTATGACCAGACCTCGCATTGTCTCCAGGCTCCCTCATTCAAGATGCTGACCGTGATGATCTTGGCAGCAGGTCGAAGCCTTGCTTATGCACCAATTACATGCCATGTTCGGGGACGAGTTGGGGGATGAGTTTGCAGGCCATGGCTGTCTGTCAGCACATGGCAGGCGGCGTAAAGCATCGCCACGGCCAAGGATTGTGTATTTTTTTCTGCGCGAACGACAACAGGGATGGTTAGTGGTACAGGAGCGTTGCGAATCGCGATGGTGACAGGTGAGAAAGGATGTTGTGCTACTGCCCAGTCGGGGAGGAGATGATCTCGACCCCAATCTTTCCCCCGTCGACGATGAGATGGAAATTCGCGCATACATGTACACTGGCAAAAGGTTGAGCAACTTACCTACGGATCCACGGCATCATCCTCGTCGCAACAATTTCATATGGAGGAAGTCGCGGTATTGGCAGGTGCATCCATGTTAGGATAATGATGGTAGCCGCACGCGACATATAGCATCATCTCCGGCTCCTCTCTGGCAGCATCTTCGGTTGCACAGCATAGTGTCAAAATCGCATCAGTCGCATCCCTCCCGTCGCCAGATGGGATAATCCCGCGAATCATGTATGTACGGTATCATCCATCTGTGTACCGTCCCATGCAGGAGCGGGCGGTCAAAGTCCAACAAAGAAAGTCGCGGTCGACATGTCCGTGCTACTGGTACAGGTAAGGTGGGTGAGGCCACCTCAGCGACATCGGCATCATGTGTCAACGCCCGCTCACCCACCCTCACCTGGATGATTTGTTATGGGAATTACAGTACGCTCGGTTGTCCGGGGAGTTGGAGGGGGGAGTTGAACTGTTGATGAATGTTGTGGGATGGCACATGGTCGTCCCAAGTCGGTGAGGACAACACACCGCCGGTGCCATTCCAAACAAATTGACTGTTGAGATGCGTTGTCGTCTTCATCTCCATCCAAAGTAGCTCTAGTTCGGGTCGATCGGGCGAGCTCTCGTCGAATCGTCCATCCCTGACGATGCGCATATTCCAGCAGATGGACCGTCCAGGTGGAGAGACAGAGCTTCGTATGCATGCATGGCAGGATTTGGGTGTACTGAATGGTCTGGCATGATTCTTCCGGACAATTTTGCACCCTCGAGGCATGTGCCATTGACTTTGCTCCAGCCCAGCAGCGTCGCGTCTGCATCCCTCCCTTTTGCGAGGTCCGATAGGCTGGACGGGGCCGAAGTCTAAACGGTTGTCATTACATGAGAAGAGGGTTGCGCCGGCGCGACATCCCCTATCAAACCAGACAGCTGTACACCGCAAAGTCCTTCCATCCCTTCCGGAGTCAGCCCTCGAGAGAATAAACAACGTTTTCCCAGAGGTAAAGAAAAATCAAAGCGCATCCCTCGCTCCCGCTCTGCACTCTTATCCGATTCAGACAAAGAGACTTTTGTACATTCCTTCACATCCCACTCCCCCTCCTCCACGTTTCTCCCATACAAAGCGTGGGATCACGCCCCAACCTTGCCGTCCATCAAGGTGTTGATTGGCTCTCCGACAACGGACACTTCTCATTTGGGTCCATTGCGCCCCAAAGTCGCCCTCCCCCGCGCCTTTTCTGGTCCCTTTTGTCTTGTCGTCTGTACCAAGAACATCCACCACCCCCACGACCCACGAACATCCCCAGGATCGTTCTTCACGCCCGCAACGGGACGACACGATGGCGCCTCCCGCTGCGACGATTGATGTGGGATCCTTCGAGTTCTACGGCGCCGATTCGGATGCCGTCCCCTTCACCATTCCCGACCGATTGACGGTGCAGAGTGTTGCAAAACGTCGTGCGGCGTCGGGAAGGTTGGTCGCTGGTGTTGCTGCGCCAGCCGACCTGGATGCCTTCAAGGGGAGAACCAGCCATTTGCACAAAGGTTTTGCCAAGCGATGGGATCGTGAGTGTTGCAGGTTGTGCGAGTCTTGCGATCTCCGCTTACCCTCGCCATTCTAGATCGACTTTCCCATGAGACGCTTTCTCGAGGCGGCAGCTCGTTGAAGTTGGCCGCTGCCTTCCTCAACACCCCGGGTCTGATCTCGCTCGGCGGAGGCTTGCCCTCTCCGGAATACTTTCCCTTTCCGGAAATCAATGTGCGAGTTCCCAGAGTCGCTTCTCCGGGAAGAGGGAGGACGGGACATGGCATTGATGATGTTCTCCACGCCGAAATGCACGATATGCGTGATGGACGATCCACCTTTGATATTGCCACTGCATTGAACTACGGCCAAGGCCATGGAGCGCCTCAACTGTTGAGGTTCTTGGTGGAGCATACGGAGATCGTTMACAACCCTCCCTACCAGGATTGGAGTTGCGCCATGACCGTGGGATCGACCGCCGCCTGGGACATGACCTTGAGAATGTTGACCAAACCTGGAGACTGGGTCATTAGCGAGCAATACACCTTCCCAGCAGCAGTCGAGACCGCCGCACCCATGGGTGTGAAATTTGCCGCCGTCGAAATGGACGCCCATGGCATGCTCGCCTCTTCCTTGGATGATGTCCTCACTAATTGGGATGAAAGAGTTCGCGGCGGTCCCAAACCATTCTTGGTATACACAGTCCCTACAGGACAGAACCCTACCGGGTCAACACAAGGCATCGAACGACGACGTGAGGTCTACCGTGTTTGCCAGAAGCACGACCTTTACATCTTCGAGGATGAGCCCTACTATTTCCTCCAAATGCAGCCTTACACAGGACCCTCGGCTCCTGATGTTCCTCCTCCAGCGTCCTACAGCGAGTTCTTGAATTCCATCGTCCCTTCTTTCCTCTCCATCGATACAGACGGCCGCGTGATGCGCGCCGACTCCTTTTCAAAAGTCCTCGCGCCCGGAAGTCGGCTAGGCTGGATCACAGCTTCAGAACAGATCTGCAATCGCTTCCGCACTCATGCCGACGTCAGCACACAAGGACCCAGCGGTTTCAGCCAAATCATCCTCTTCAAGCTCCTAGACGAGACTTGGGGTCACACCGGCTACCTCGACTGGCTCATCCACATGCGAATGGAATACACCCGTCGTCGCAACGTCATGATGGAGGCTTGCGAGCGCTACCTACCGAAAGATCTTGTCAGCTGGGTGCCACCGTCGGCGGGCATGTTCCACTGGTTGAAGATCGATTACAAACAGCATCCCGACTACAGATGGAAGAGCATCGATGACATTGAAGAGGAGATCTTCATGCGAATCATCGACCATGGAACTTTATTAATGAAGGGCAGCTGGTTCTGCGCTGATAGAGACGTCGCTCGGGAAACCATGTTCTTCCGCGCTACATATGCCGCTGCCGAGTTTGGTCAGATTGAAGAAGCAATCCGAAGATTTGGGAATGCGATTCGGGACGCTTTCGGAAGGCCCGCTTACTCTAATGGATTGTTGACAAATGGTGTGCATTGATTTGGGTTTGGGATGGGATGGAGCTGCGAAGCGTTGCATTTTGATGCGGATTTTGTGGATATTTGGCGGCCATTTTGAAGCGTTCTTGTGATGTCGGGCAGCAGAAGTGAATATTCGGCTTGTTTCAGCGCCGAGCGATATACCAATTGATAACTTTTCATCTTCAGTGCCATTCCCAGGTCGTCGTCGTCGTCCAGCAGGAACATGGCACACTCTATGAACTTCCTGCTTGAGGTTTAGAGTTCTCGATGATGGTTTTCCCACGCATTGCACGAGTCAGGCGGCGGTGAGAGGAGAACACCTCACTTCCACCACTCCACACCCGCCCATCTCGCACACTTATCTCAAGCCAAGCATCGCCCAAGCATCTCAAGACAAACATCTCCAAAATGGCGCTCTCTAGCGCCCTCTTATTCCTAAGCTACTTCTTACCAGCAGACGCCTCCATCGCATCGCGACATGCAGCAAAGCACAAGCAGGCCATCACAAAGCGACAGGAACGCCAGCAGCCATCGCGAGATAGCACAGACAATTACCTCAACAACAAGACACAGCCCTATTGGGTGAATGGTTCAGCTTTGCCAGAGGTTGCCTTTAACATTGGAGAGAGTTATTCGGGATTACTTCCTGTTGATGAGACCAAGGAGTTCTTCTTTTGGTTTGTTCCATCGACTAATCCAGCTGCGTCGAATGAAATCACACTCTGGTTGAATGGAGGGCCTGGATGCTCTTCTCTCGATGGATTCTTCCACGAAAACGGCCCGGTTATCTGGCAAGCGGGGACGTATCGTCCTGTGCCCAACACCTGGTCTTGGTCGAACCTCACCAACATGGTCTTTGTCGAGCAACCTGTTGGCACGGGCTTCTCTCAAGGTACTCCGAATGCCACCAACGAGAAGGACGTCGCCGACCAATTCCTACCCTTCTGGAAGAATTTCATGGACCTTTTCGATCTGCACAATCGAAAGGTTTACATCACCGGCGAGTCTTACGCCGGCCAGTACTGTCCATATATCGCTGCAGCAATGATTGAAAAGAACGACACTACCTACTTCGATGTCGACGGACTAATGGTCTACGATCCGAGCATCCAACCTCATGTCTCTATTGAATCATCAGCGTTGGCATTCGTAGAGTCTCACAAGATTGACTTTCCCTTCAACGACACTTTCAATGCCTTCATCCAAAACCGCAGCGAAGCATGTGGTTACAACGCCTACCTCGAAAACGGACTTCAATTCCCACCAAAGGGCCCCTTCAACAATCCTCCAGGTGTCAACTATACCGACAATTACGCTACTGAAGATTGTCAGGTGTTCGATCCCATCCTCGACGCCATCAATCTGATTAACCCCTGCTTTGACATTTATCAAGTTGGACAAATGTGTCCCCTACTGTGGGACTCTTTGGGCTTCCCTTCAACGTTCTACCTGTGAGTCTGCTCGATCGTACGGGCGAAATCATGACTGATAATCTCTCGCTCAGACCCATCGGCTTTGACCAGCCATACTTCAACCGCACAGATGTGAAGAAAGCAATCCATGCGCCAGAAAATACCGACTGGAAGATTTGCGCCGACAACCCCGTTTTCATTGGGGACGATGGTGACACATCTCCAGAATCCGGATTGACCGGCGGTCCCCTCCAAAAGGTGATTGAGAAGACAAACAACGTCATTGTCGGCCACGGTGATCTCGACATGGTTCTCATCGCCAACGGAACATTACTGACGCTCAACAACCTCACTTTCAACGGCATGCAAGGTTTCAGCCAGCCACCCACCGAGCCCTTTTATGTTCCTTACCACGATGACCCAGTGGAGGGAAGCATCGCAGGCGCTGGAGTTTACGGTGGATACGTCACAGAGCGAGGGTTGACGTTTGTGGTCATCATGTTCTCGGGACATGAAGTGCCAGAGTACCAGCCCAGTGCGGGATATCGGCATTTGGAGTTTTTGCTGAGAAGGATTGGGAGTTTGAAGGAGGTTAGTCCCTTCACTACGCAGCCACATGTGGTGCAGCCGAATGTGACTTTGGGACGTGGGACTTGGTGGAAGTAAGAGGTGGAATTAATCAACTTTCGTAATGGTGTTCATGACGACAGAATGAAACGAGGAGAGTGAGAAACTGCTTTTACCTGAAAGCCGAGAACATAGTCTTCCTCCGACATAATGCAAAGTCCAATTTCCAAACACCGAATGCTCCTAGCCAGAAAGTGCTTCGTCCTCTGCCCTCCTCTCAATTACTTCAACTCGATGCTGAATGTCGTAGGTTAGAGGCCCTTTCACTTTCCTCCATCAGCCGAGTGGGCCGCCAAATGACTCTGCTTCTCAAGGATACTGTCGGAGCTACTTGAAAGCCGTCGCTACTTGTTCTCGATTTTGAGCGCAGCTGCAAGCAAGGAGCGAAACTCGGCAGCCCGCTTTTTCGCACAGGATGATCCACCACATGGGCGAGCATGCGGGTTGCGCGTCCACTGAATGACGTCTAGGACACTTGTGAGAAGCTTTTGTTCCTTATACGAATTGTGTAACTCCCGGAGAAGGTTCTTCGAGGCACTCAAAACTCGAGGCAGTGGAGTAGGATGCGGGTGCATGCTAGTCGTCGGGCAGACATCCTGGTGGTGGATGGTGATCTTTCGGAGGCCTCTAGCTGGAAGAAGAGAGTTGAAAGCGGATAGAGCGCTGTGTTGAAAGTAGCCCGACCATGCGATCTTGATATAACGGAGCAATCGGGTGCGCTCTCCGAGCATGGCCACAATCTTCTTAATATCTGCGGTTGTACGAAATTCGAAGCAATTTTTTCCGTAGAGTATCGGGATGGCCTCGGCGTAGATCTTATGGTTAACAAAGATGATTGCGGACTTGATTGGAACTGCTGGGACCCATTCTTTAGTCTCCTTGTTGTAGATGCGTCTACGGTTACCTTTCCGCGGCGGCCGTCCGCCCCGCCTAGCGAGTATTCCGCTTATCGTAAGCGCGATCTGGACGGGCTCATCTTCCTCGAGCAGGTATCTATAGATCTGGCATCGCGTCTCCACCGGCAAAGTCTCAAAGGTGGCCTTCTGGGTACTCGACATTTCCTTCAATGCGAATGGGAGCTAAAGAAGGTCGAGATTCTGCCTCTGTGCTTCAGAGTGTCTCTCGTATGTTTGCGATTTCGTGTAGGATGAGAAGAGCTTCGCGCGTTTGTCCCGCGCTTGCGATGACCTGGGGTTCGGTGGATCTTGCGTCAAGAGAGTGGAGCTCCGAGGCCTTCGAGGAGGAGCAATGCCGAGTCCGGACAGTGCTGTTGTCTGCACGCTGCGGAGGCAAGAGTTGTTCAAGAGTATGAGCACAGTCAAGGTTGAAAGCGGATCAAGTGGATCTGTTGGAGTGTTGGTGGTGTATAGAAGAGAATGGAAGGTGATGCAAACTTCGGAAGGGTATAAATTACGCACTCAATTATGAAAGCTGGCCTCACTTATCACGTCTTTTGATGAGTCACTGTCTTACAGGTATTCAACACCGCTTTTACTAGCGTCAACTCACTTATTGAAAAGACAGCTGTCTTATCCATGATAATAGCAAGCTAACGCCACTAGCGTGGGCTGGCGTGAAGGTGAGTGAAGTACCCCTCTATGCCACTTTCACCTCAGATGTGACAATGTCAACTTCTTGATGTTCACATGGAGCCGGCAATCACCATGCGGTCTTTCCCGTGTGGCTGAATACCTGGTAGATGGACAAAGTGAGCCTGGACTGTCTGAAAGCCGATAACAAATCCAGATACACACACGACACCGTCTATTTGCTGGATGTGATGCTCGGGTTGTCGCGGGCGGTAGATTCGGCACAGAATGAAGTCGGATGCCACGACCCAGTAAAAATCCAGTGCAAAGGTAGGAGCAGTTGTAGCAGCACCTTGGGATTTACCCTGCGCTTGCCAAATCTCAGCAATGGCGATTTCCTTCATTTTTCTCCTGAACGGTCATTTGCTCAAGACATCCGCATCACCCTACCACCACATCACTCAAAGCAATCAATAATACCCAAGCATCATGTCTTCTGCGATCACCAACGAACGCTTCGAAGATCTGCCTCTCGACGAACAAGTTCGACAAAGGATTGCCATTGCGATTTGGGACATGCAAGAGAGGATCCCCATCGGAAGCCTCTTCATCGCGCTATACATTCGTGGAAACCCGCCAAAGAAGGATGACTTTCACTGGGTCTTTTACCTCCACCAGGAAGAGCATGCTGGTACAAAATACCACGACACCAGCTCACCAAAAAGATGGATGGCCCGCCATCGTAGACGCGGCTACATACTCAATGATTTCCTGCTTTGTGTTCTGATCGCAATTGGAAAAGTGCTGCCTGGCAAGTTCGAGGATCTCGAACGGATAATGGATTCGCACAACCAAGCATGGAACAGCATCCCGGGGCTTTCATGCCGGGTGTGGATTTGGATGGTTATGCAGGATCTCATCAAGGAAGAAGTCGTCTGGAGTAGTGGTACGATTTATGAATTAGAGGCGGAATGCTTGGCGTTTGGGAACCAGTACAGCGAGGGTGCTTCGCGGAACGAGCAGCCACGGCCTGTGGTTGTGTCTGCTAGTTATATGTGAGGAATCCTCCTTGGGGCTGTAAGCTAGCTCCAGCATGCGTGCACACGGTTCATTAGTACTCACTGAATCGCTTGTATGCTCCTCAATGAACTCACATGAATATCATGAGACAAAGAGTGACTGTCGCCATATGCCAGACCCTCTCGGCTCACAGTCCTGTTGCGGTGTCAGCTGGCTATCAGCTGCGTTCGAGAGCATGTTCATGCGACTACAAAAGACCACACTTCTCGAACAAGAGTCTTCCGATACATCATCACCATAACATCGACTCCAACCTTCATCCACCTCCTCCTTCATCCGACTCCTCCGTCATCCACTTCTTCCTTCGATCACTTTTGCACCAGCGTCAGACACAATGTCCTCCACCCCCAAGAAAAACGACATGAAGAGCCCAGCCAAGAGCCGCCAGGAACTCGCCAAAGAAAAACAACAAGAGCTGAAGACTCGACGTGACGCAGTCAGTGAGCTGCAGAAGAATGCATATGGCAGTCTCCCAGTCGGCGGTCTCTTCATCGCGCTGTTCGTGAGCGCCGATCCCCATCAGAGCGACGCTTTCCATTGGGGCATCTACCACCACGCCACCAGCTTCAAAGGCACAAAGTACCATATCACAGGAAGTGCCGGACGGTGGATTGCAGCGCACAGCGATGCCCGAAACACCTTCAAGTCACAATCTCTCTCCGTCCTCGTCCAGATTGGACAGATCCCACAGTCTGCGACCGACCAGCTTGATCAGATCATGAAGTCGCACGACCACGAGCTCAACAATCTGCCAGGACTCACTTGTCGCGTTTGGGTCTTCACGGTTGTGGAGAAATTGGTCGCGGCGGGCTTGCTCACTATGACGGGAACGACCAGTACGTTGGAGGATGAGTGCAAGGCGTATGGAAATCAGCTCAGCAGCGGCGACGCCCAAAAGGATCAGCCAAGACCCGTTGTCAGATCTGCGATTTGCTCTTGAAGGTATCTCTTGGGTAGTATGGAATTGCTGAGGAAATGGTTGCTGAGCTGGGATATTGACAGACGGGCTGTTCTTGGAGAGTCACATCTGGAGGGTTGGAATTTGGCGGAATTTGGCGGCAGCGGGCTACTCATTCTGGGTTAAGGATTCTCACTCAAGCATACTAGTCTCGGCCACAATACCAAGCGCTGAGCAAGGCTGAGGCGGGTTCGAGGTCTCAAATGCAGACACGAAACGGAGAGCGAGATTTGCTTTTTGGCGGGATGATTTTAGGAAAGTACTTGCGGAAACGGCGTACGGAATGAAACGTAACAGTATTACTCACCAAGCGTATGTACCCCCTGTCAGCCTGTGCAATGCCCTGTCGCAAGCCAGTTCCTTACTGTACTGATCGCCACCCATCCACGCCGCTGTTTGGCTCCACCAGCTGTCTTTGCTCGATCTCATTGCTGTGGTGAACTCCCAATACTCTGGATACCAGCCACCAGTTTCCCAATCTAGTATGCCAGACAAATGACCGTCGTCCGTGACGAGGATATTGTGTGCTTTGAGATCGCCGTGAGTGAAGGTGACTCGATGGGAGAGCTCACGAAGCTTGGTTGCTTCCGCAAGCACCTTATCAAACTCCACTTCCGAGTCTTCCGATCCGAATCCCTCGGCAGAGACTGGACTGAATAGATACTGATAGAGTTCACGTTGGTCTGAAAATGGGCCCATGGAATTGAATGGAACCCGTGTGCTGTGGATCTGAGTTCCGAGAGCTGAGCAGATACCTTCGCCGTATGGAGAAGTCCACTTTCGCATGGCAGCGATACACTGCTTCAACTCCGTGAGCCAGGGGCCTTCCACCTCGACATCCAGGTCATCGGCAGAGTCGAATAGGTCAATACCAGGCAGTCTTGTCATCAATATCGAAACGATAGGCTTGCATGCGTAACCTATGTGTTCTCCGCTTTTCGAGAAGATGGGCGGCCTGTTGGTGCTGCTGTAATGCTCTCCACAGGATAGGACCTTGGGCACTGGCATTCCTGCAGCGCGCGCCATCATCATCGCCGCCACCTCCTCAACAGACGTACGCTCAGTCTGCTTCATAACCAGGCCGAATGGTAGATGCGCGTTATTGCACTCATATGGCAGTTGGAACCAAGCGCAGTACCATCCGGACAGCTTGATCAGCGCGTTGTGAACATAGCCCGTAAGTTTTCGCTGGAAATGACCGGGGATGCGTGGAGTAGGAGGTGTTGTAGTACGAATTGGCTCTCGCATTGGACAAGGCCAGGTGTAGTCTGGGCGCAAGCAGCGCGGCGTCCACATTTCGCTCATTTCTGCTAATCGATATGTCTTGTGCTGTTGAAGCTGGAAGTTTCGAGATTGCTCAGTCAGCGCAGGRGAATTCTAAGCCCACCACGCTTTCGAGACGTGATCTATCGGGAGCCGTCCGGCTGCGACTGGATAGACTTGATCGCATGGCACGTGCCGATGTTTGTTGTTATGGAAGTAAAAGTGAAGTCGGCGGTGGAGACTGCTGTGACAAGCCCAGATTGTGCGCTAGCGGATCGGTCCGCTCAACCGATCAACGCTTACCGAAAGACCCTTACCTCTTCTATCAAAAGTACGTACCTACTTTTACGGTATGGAGCTTCTCCTCTTCCCCTCTTTTCTTCCCAGAAATCCAATCCTACGGTAATCGCCGAGACATGGAGTCTGCTGAAGGCGATGTAGTCAATGGCGCGAAATCAAAGTCCAGCACGACCCAAGGACAGAAACGACAGCGGCAGAGAGCCAAGCAGGCTTGTGAACCCGTGAGCTTCCGGTACTTCTTGTCGTCTCAACTTCAACCTCGCTGACTCGTATTCCCACGTTCAAGTGCCGGCTGAGAAAGCGTAGATGCGATGGCAATCAACCGTGTAATATGTGTTCGCAGTTTGATTACAAGTGCTACTTCGAAAGACATCCCCGGAAGCGTAGCAAGCTGGTCGAACAGCATGCCCTGGCCGATGAACAACAGCTCGAGGTTGAGAATTCCGCTTTCATCAAGTCGGAAATCTCCCGGAACAGCCAGCCTAGCATCGAGGACATGACCAAGATGCAATCCATGGAGGCCAACTCCGGTATAGCATTCACGCGCTTGCTGGGTCAGCGTCTGGACCCATCCTCTGGACCGAAGCTCTTCACTTTCGGCTGGAATCTAGGTAGCAATTCGTACATTCCGCCTTTGATGCCGCCGATTACAGACATTCTCGACCAGGACCTCATGACCTCTCTCGCAAACCTCTACTTTGCGAACGTTCACCCAATCTACGGCTTCCTCGGCAAGCCGTGGGTCATGGACAATCTTGCCCTCCGATTCACCAACCCTCAAGCGTGTGAGGTGCCCGAACATATCTTGTGCGGCGTGGCGGCTCTCGGCATTTTATTCTCGACACAAGATCTCAGTGCGATTCTCCCACAGCTGATCGATGTTCAAAAACAGTATTTGGAGAGCACAAGTACGATGCTACCGCCCTGTCTGAGCGATGTACAGTCGTGGGTCTTGCGCTGTCTAATACTTCGGGTGACCGATCATCCCCATGCTACGTGGTTGGCAACCTGTACCACAATGCACCTCGTCGAGTCTGTTGGACTGCAGCTGGAAGCTAGCAGTTCCGTTCTACATCCTGCCACGATTGATGTCTCCAATGATCCAGAGCTACGGCGGCGGACGTTTTGGGTTGCCCGAATGCTCAATTCGTGGGTCAGTTTCGAATACGGTCAGTCAAGGGAGATGGCGTGAAGCGAAGAGATTGCTCCTCCGAAGCTAGTATCTCATCAGCTCTCCTGGCATGATGCTAACAACCACCCATAGGTCGAACGCGGGTGGCATTACGCGGCATCACCGTCAGCCTACCAGTTCCAGAAGGCCCGGAAGACCACACGGCGGATTACATCGACTTGTACAGTATCTCATGTGCTCTGGATCCCGAACAATCCGATTCCAAACCAGGCCAGTGGGAGGAGGATTATCTAGAAAGGCTCGACGCATACCAACCCAAACACGATGGAATCGCCTTGTCCAAAGCCAACCTTGGTCTCTGCGGCTATCGTCGATTGCGAATGGCGAATCCTAATCTGTCCTCGCCGGTCATCGACAGGATCATCAAGATAGGTCTTGACGGTCTCGCTGCAGCAAGACGAATGGCCGAGCAAGGTATGCCGTGGTGGCATGTCGCAAACGTACCATTCCAGGTTGTTTGTGTGTTCCTCGCGATGGATGAGAGAAAATCACTATCGCACTTATCTACGGCGATGCGTACGCTGGAATTTGTCGTCGAGCGTTTCCGAACAACCGCCATGAAGGACGCCTTGAAGACTGCACGATTTCTCATTCGTCTGTCGAAGAAGCGAAAGGATGAGGACTCAAACGTGCTGGCAACGACATTACAGAAAGCCCCTGCGGAGTTTCAATCGCGGCTACCGTCGGTGGAGAGGAATTCTCCGCATCCAGCACCAGTCTTGAATGGTAGTGTCCTTATCCCTGCTGAGGAGAACCCCATGACTGCATCGAGCAGTGAGGACTGGAATCTTGAAGCACTCAATGACTCCCAATTCGACTGGTATGTATCAAATTAGGGTGTTGCACATGGGAACGGCAACTAACGCAGATGGATAGGACCTACTTCCTACAAAACGACGTACCTCTCTATCACACTTTTGCTCCGGATGGCACGATGTGAATATAAGCTCTGTCTGCAGCTCGAGCGAAATTCTGTGGAACAGTCTTGCTCGCGGATGATATTCAGTATCCTCGCAAGACCACATACCCCCGCTTATACCGCCGCATTCGAATGCATTGTGTTGGAGATTCCTGATTCGGAGGTTTACCAGCAGATCGCCAAACACGTGCGTTCCTGCATTAGCGCGACGACCACCCAACGATTGGCTCCAGGAATTTCTGTAATGGTGATGTAACTGACTTGGCCAGGCGATGCGTATCCATGACGATTTATTACCAACAAGAGGATATGGTGGTCCTTTGTTCTGAACGATTTACATCCTCATTCATCACACATCTTGTTGCACTCACAATCTGCCATTGTCTCCAATAACTTCGCCGCATTCCACATCACCATCCCACAAATTTGGACAACATGGCGACCAAGCAATCAACCTCGATGAAGCCGATGATGGAGAACAATAGTGGTAGGTAGTCTGGGGAATYCAATATCTCCAGCTCGATACTAATAAATCGTAGTCGCTGGTGGCCGACTAGGATTTTTCCACAAGGGAACGGGATTCTATCGCGACGGCTTCTGCAGAACCGGCTCCGAAGATTCAGGCAACCACTCCGTCGCAGCAACAGTTTCCAAAGGCTTTCTCGATTTCTCAAACTCCAAAGGCAACAATCTTGGATCTCTTTCCGACGGACAAAAGTGGTGCCTATGCGCAAGCAGATGGCAGGAAGCGATGAAGGCAGCTCAAGCAGGCAAGCTAGCCCACGAGGATGTCCCAAAGGTTCACTTGCACGCTACACATGAGAAGGCATTGGACGTTGTGAGCTACAAAGAGTTGAAGCAGTACGCCGCGCAAGGAGAGGCGACATCTCAGCAGGGAAGGCAGGAGGCGCATCACAACCCGGAGTCGCAGGGAGGACTCGTGAAGGAGAGTAAGGAGATTGGGAGTGCGCAGCCGAGTATTGCGCCTGGTCAGGGGAGCCATTGGAATGGTGGAAGCATGACCGAGTCGAGTGGATCGAGAGGTTGAAAGAGCTGCATTGAACCTATTGCATTGACTGTCTAGCGTACCTGCTACCAAAAGCTTGTAATGAGACCCAACATATTCGAATGGCGAGATTTAGGTATTGGTATTGGCGGAGATACCAGGTCAACTCTCAAACGCAAGGTGAGACGTCAGTCATGCTCATTTGGAATTGTAAAGAAGATGTAAGTCCTAACCTCAAGCATTCACAGTGCATTCTTAGCATGCGCAACTGTTTTCTCCACGGGATATGTGCAGCGCAGACCAAATATGGAGAATCTCACACTACCCCAACCCTAAGGTAACCCTTGGTGAACACAGCCAGTTCGCCCCAACTTCACACCCATCTTCCCAACCAACGTAACATCGTCAACAATGATTTATAAGGAGAACATATTTGCATCATCACACATACACGTGAGCTAAGCTTGCTCATACGAGAAGCTTATCAAGAAAACACCTTCCTGCTCCGGCAAAAATCGGCAGTGAGAGCATACAGGAACGATCTACACTATCTGCAAGAAGCACTCACCATGGAGTACCACTTCCCACCTATCTTGAGAGATGTCTCTTCCATAGTCACAACATCAACACATCAACACATCAACATCAACCGCCAGAAGCATACTCAACGCCATGCTTGCATCACTACTGGCTTTGGCCAGTATTATCATCCCATTCTCCGCAGCAAAATACTCAAGCGATCTGCAAGTCTTCCCGCCGGTTCTTGCAATTTCACGTGCCGGAGAAGCGGAGCTCACGGACTCCTTCGTCCATGCATACGTCAAGCAGCCTGAGAAGCCAACGTGCCAGGGGAATCTGATGAACCACACCTTTGGGGCTTCATACTATAAGCCTTTTGTGGGGGAATACAAACCGCCAGAATGCTCCTTTAACCGTGTCACCTGGAATATGACCGTCAGCGTGGCGGGAAGACAGTTCGACAGACTTGGATGGGTGTTTCTGGGAGATGTCGAAGTCTGGAGACCTTCCACTGCCGAGCCGACGAAGGATGGCATCTTCTATACATATCTCAAGGTCTGTCATCTTCCTGTCGCTTCCTCAAGTAGCCTTTGCTAACTATTCTGCCAGGACATGACGCCCTACCTCTCACTCCTCAAAACGGAGCAGAAGTTGACGTTCGAGTTGGACAACATTGTGTATGGGAACTACACCGGATCGTTCAACGTAACATTGTCCTCACAATTCTTCATGACGGACATTGTACCTTCTATTCCTGCGGACAGGATTCTGGGAGTCACCGACAAGACATCCAGTGGTGGACCAGTACCGTTCACTGTGCCCAAGAAGGCCGCTGCTGTTGCCTTGAAGATTCCGCAGAATGTCAAGCGGGCGGTCTTTACTTTGTCTGCGACTGGGCAGGCTGATGAAGAGGTGACTTCAACGACACTCCCGAGTATACTCGCAATGACAAACTAACACGACCTCGCAGTTCTGGTGGAGCAACGTTCCCAGCACCAGGACAGCGACCTTTGGATCCGCAGGAACACTCTACGGCTTCTCACCTTTCCGCGAAGTCCAGCTTCTAATCGATGGGAAGCATGCGGGATATTCATGGCCGTTCCCCGTCATCTTTGCGGGAGGAGTCATACCAGGATTATGGAGGCCCGTCGTCGGCATCGATGCCCTGGACTTGAAAGAGGATGAGATCGACGTCACACCATTCCTACCTCTTTTGTGTGACGGCCAGCCTCACACGTTCAGTATCAAGGTTGTGGGGCTGGAAGATGATGGCCATGGTAAAGCTGTAATCAGTAGGGAAGTAGGAGACTATTGGCTCATCTCTGGGAAGCTGTTCCTCTGGCTTGACGAGGAGGGACATGTCACGACTGGTTCGGGGACACCCTATGTCCTTGCTCCAAGCAACTGGCCTTCCGTTCATTCGGAAGTAAGCACCAACTCCGATGGAACCGTCAACGAGACTTTGGGCTACTTCGCCTTCGTCAGCCGGGAGTTTTTTGCGTCGTCAATGCTCAACCTAGCTAATGGGAAGACGTTCCACGCCGACTGGAAACAATTTCTCAATTTTGAAGCTACAGGCAACCTCACGAATGGAGGCAACAACCAGGTCAACAAGCAGCTCACTACTGGCTTTAAACAATCTTCTTCGGGCTACGCTCAAGACTTCAGCTATCCCTTCTACGCCCTGTCCACAGTCGACCTCTCCAACAACGCGGCCGAGATCCATGCGGTTATCAATCGCAGCAAGATGGAACGTGTTCTTGGTTCCGCAGTCCTGCCGAGTGGGATTGAAGGATTCAAAGCAGTTGGTAAGGTTGAGGAAAGGGCGGGCTCGAACTTGGTCACGTCCCAGAATTCTACAGCGACATATATCGCGCCGGCGGGAGGCTCGAACATGACTTTTGGGACCACATCGCAAGAAATGAAGCTCGAGAGTCTTATCGCGAGTGAATCTTCGACGGCTGGTGTAGCGGTGTTCCCGGACGCGACGATTGGAGGAATTCTGTTTGAAAGGCGGGTGGATGCTGTCAATGGGACTATCGTGGATGATGAGGCTCTTGCTGGAGCTTCTGTGTATTCTGGTGCAGTCGCGCTTGATCCAAAGAAAATTCCGGAAGATCTGGTGCTCGGTGGCATTCCCGGACGAGGTGGGAGATGGAAGGGAATGTTGACGAATCCGAATGGTTACGAGTCCTTGATCATTTGAAGGGTGTACCTTGTGCTTTTTGCAGGGTTATCTAGAGACTCTCATTAATGCTCAATTGTTCAGGAAGATGGATCCTTCACACTGAGAGGCTTCATCGTCTATTCATCCACTCCATCCCTGCTCAGAATACCAGTCCAGCCAGCCATAACGTCGTCGTTCACTTTGCAGTGACCATCCTCCACACGGTAATAATCTCCCCCATAAAGGCATCCTCATCTCCCATTCGCCGCACCGGGACCAGCACCCAAATCCACTCCTCGCACCCTCTTGACCAGAGAAGCCGTCGACGAGTCCTCGCTGAACCGCTTCACAGGCCGATCCTTGAATTCCTCCAACAAGGCCACCAGCGTCAACCAGCCTAGAAGAAGAAGATTATTACGTTAAGAAAGCACTTACATCTGGTCAAGGATCGTGGTAAGAGTGCGCCAACCTGGAGTATGCATCAACGCCGCGCCCATGGCCACGTCCTTGGCCACCGCCGTCTGACAGAGGAGTTTCATTTCGTCCTACAAACATCATCATCATCGTATTAGCAAGGGAGACTTTTGGAATGTGTTGGGATGGGATGGCAACATACGTCTGATAAGATTCCCAGTGAGTGCACGTAGCAGAGTAGATGAAAATCCGAGACTGCCACCACACCTTGCGGGGTATCCAGGGCGATGCGATTCGCGCCGGCTTTGAGCAGCTTCTGTAAATCCCGCGTCTCCTGAAGCTCGCCCAATGCGTCGCGGTTCTCAATGGCGAAGTCGAGCTTGGCGAATTTRGGTGAGCTCTCGTTTGGAAAGCCATGGGTGAGAGTCACCAAAAGGTACTCCACAGGGAACGAGGGCTTGGCGTTCTCCTGAACATTCCGACCATACTCGTTGACCTTTCGGTAGAAGACTTCTGGGATGTATCGCTTCCTCCCCAGCGCATCCACCTCCTCCTCATCCTGCACCAACATCACACTGRGCTCTGCAGAGGGCTCAACAATGTCCGCCACACACATCTCCACTGCTGCGTTGGAGGCTTGGTAGGCCGAGATTGCGATGGCGCGGGTATCGTCGCCGGATATGACGCATGTGACAAAGTTGCTGCCGAATTGTCCCGTTTCACTCCATTTTGATGGGCGCGGATATCTGGCTTGGTAGCGTGCGGCAAACACAATCTCTAATGAAGACAGGAAGTAGGAGTCGATGTGGCGTTTGCAGACGGCGTCGCCTTGTTCGGGGTCTTCCGGTCGGACGAGGTCGGTGAAGATGACGCCCACACGTTGTAGACCGCACGACTCGGCGATCTTGTCGATTTCCTCCTCCTTCTCCCAATCGCCCAAGGTCACACCATCCACCTCATCGTCCTGTGGCGGCTCATAGATGGACTCGACCACCGCCTTTGTTCCCAAGGGAACCAGATCATACGCCTCGTAGTGTCCGTAGAGATAGCCTATCCGCTGCGCGCCACCCGCTCTGTAGAAGTTGAGGAATTTGTTGACAATCTCCGACTGCGCGAATTCGACGTGATCGACCATTCGATATTCCTGCGGTTGCAGACTGATGGCCGATGGCTGGCATTTGGTGCAAATTCCGGCGGGAAAGGGCTCGTGTCCGGAGGGGCAATTGGGGTTGACACGGAAGTATGGTTCGGTGAGGGGTGGCATGTACGAGCTGCCGGATTGGTACTTGTTTTTGCCCTGGTTGACCTTTCGGRGGTATGCGTGGTATGAGAGGTGCTTGATCTTGTTGTCATCAAGGTAGGTCTTGTCGTAGGGCTCGAGGGGACTGCAGTGGTCGCACATGCCCTTTGCTCCGTGCGAGCACATCATTTCATTGCGCTTCCTCTTGATTTTACCATCCTGCTGATCCAACCGCTCATCCAGGGCGGATTGTTTGACCGACTCCCAGGGATTCTTGATCAGCTTGGGTGCGGTGGCGCTGATGGGGATCTTGACGCTCGTGGCCAGCTCTTCCGCCTTGACGGCATTTCCGCTGAGTTTGTTGGCGGCGACAGAATGTCCGTTTGTGGCGGTGGCGGCTTGTTGGGAGTAATCGAGGTAGATTTGTGTGCCGTGTCTGAATTGATTCAAGTGTCAGTGGATGTCAGGCCAATTCATCATCACATGTCCATCAACGTACGTGAGACCGAGACGTGCAAAGGTGACGGCCTTTAATGAATCAATCGGCCGCGCTTCGCCTCCCGTCGGCTTGGGACTGATGGTCACGGAGCTGGGAATCGTGTCCGCCGGCAGCTTTTCGAGCACCGCGGGCAGGATGGTGGGGATTTCCGTGTTGGGCTCGACTTGAAGGCGGAATTGCCCATTTTTCGACTGGAATCGGAGGATCATCATCGCATGAGCGTCGTGGAGGTGGATGAGGGGGAAGGGGGGGTTGTTGGGGTGGAAGTGTAGAGAGAAGGTGGATTGATTGTCGATGTCGTACTGTAATGAGGTAGCTCGCCTGGAGCTTTGTCAAATTGTGGCTACGTAACTTTGGCGTTTCGCTTGACGCGTGAAGATGGATGAGATAAGATTGCTCGGATCTGAGCCGAGAAGATCAAAGGGAAGGGATCGCCCCGGCATCATCCTTTGCGCGTGAAGTTGACACCTGGATGAATGGATTAAGTTAACTTATTCACAGAAACCTCCGCACCTTTCCACAATATCACGCCCTTTCGTGTGATCGACCCCACGCACCAAAACTCCTCGCAGTCACAAGACGACACCATCATCTGGGTTATACCATCCAGCATCACCGTCTCCCCGCGCATTGCGCCCCGTCCGCCGCCATGGACAACACCACGTTCAACAGCACCTTCAACGCGACCTTTGGCAACAGCTCCACAAATGGCACATCAGACGGCTTCACTGCAACCCCACCGAAACCATTCTGGACCAACTTGCTCCTTCCCGTACTATACATTGGCATCCTCGTTGGATCCCTCCTCACATTCTCCTCCACATACCGCAAACGCCAATTATCCAAGCAGGCGCAACTGGAGAACTGGTTCCCCCCGCATCGTCAAAGAAACATCTACCTCAGTCTGCTGCATTTGGATCCYAAGGAGTCGAGCGAAGAGGGCGAGAAATCGTTGAAGCAGGTCCCAGACTCCATCTTGAAGGCCGCGTTGTTGAGGAGAGCAGTCGAGGATATTGAGCGCATTGTCAAGCTACGCGCCAGCAAGCCTGCATTACAATCCTTGCTACAGAGAGGGAGTGTCGGGGATGAACTCTGGCAGCGATTTTTGAGGGAGGAAARGGAGATGGAAGAGGAGGTTAAGGACGTTGTTTCAGAGGTGAGATTGACCATACATCACATGTGAGGATTGGAATGCATGCTAAACTGGCTAATCCACAGGCGAACGCATTTGTCCCCGGCTGGGGTCAAGTCATCTTCCAATCCGCCAACGAAATCAACCAGAATCGTCTCCTGAAAGAGCGCAGCGCGGAGATTCAAGCCAAACTTGAGGGAGAGAAGAGCTGGTGGGAGCAGAAGCGTGCGGGAGCCAAGACGGAACTTCTCAGTGAGCTTGGGTTGGAGGACGACAGCGCATCCGCGCCCCGCCCGCAAACGCCCAAGAAGACCAACAGTGATGACGAGGCCGTGCTAGTCGAGGCGGACGTGGAGGGTCCTTCTGGCTCCAATTCACAGCCTGGGAGTGCCAAGAAGAGAAAGGGCAAGAAGTAGATGATGGATGACTGCGGGGAATATTACATTAGGTACTGGTGTATGAGGAGCAAGCGGCATTGGGACGGCGTCACTGGCGCCGACGGTATGACATGCATGCGTTGCGGGAGAAAGTCATGGTCATTGTCATTGATGAGGAGCGAATATTGAGGCCTGTTCATCAGTTGACAGGTTGCTAGCAATTAGCAGCATGGGAGTATTGAGAGTGTCGATGGGAAGGGAAGTTTTCTGAACAGGCGTCTTACCATTCCTGATTCTTGGTGATCAAAAGCAAAGGCTCCTCTCGCTGCAATCCACAATCTTGCGAGGATTGCCATGCACCAAGGCTGTGACGCTCAATATCAACAATACATCTCCATTGTAAAGAGAGAGAGCATGCTGCACTCAAGTACAATGTTTGTCTGTCTGTCCCTGATCGTACGACGACATTCGCTGTATCCCTGATAGCAAGACGACAATCACTGCATCATTCTGCCATGTGGGAGAATCTACCGAACTTACCTACCTTACCTGACAATCTCATCCAAAACTTCCTCAAGAACGACTGCCTGCTCGTATGCATAATATAGGCAATCATCCGAAGTAGCTTTGAGATGAGATGAGGTCACATGGATTTCTTTCCAATACGGTCCTGGGTACCTTAGTTAGTTGCGATCCGAGAATCCCTCTCTCCATCTAGACGAAGGACGTGATCAGCAGGAACGGAAGGCATGATGTCCTTCATCTCTCGTGCTAGACAAGGAGCACCCTTCCACGAGCAACGCGCATGACACGTCTTGCACTACTCCATCCTTTGGAGAGTGACGACACCGAGAACTGTACTCGTGATGTGTTTTCTCCCAGGCCAGTGGATGGATACGGATATTCTACGCTTGTCAATGCCGATGGATATTCGGAGATTCCAGCCAGTCCAGACTAGAATAGAAGGAGCACAAGTCTCAACTAGAAGGAAGGATGGCGTGGTCTTCTTTCCAGTCTCGTGATCATTCGCACTCCCATCTCGTGATGTGATGCCTCAATTCCTGTGTACAAAGAAATGGCGGGCATTTTCCTTGGGCAGGAGAAAGACGTTTGTTGTTGTTGTTGTTGAGGGGAAGCGGGCGGCTTTCATCGGCCCAGTCCAGCCAGCCTTTTCACAATTCCAGTCTCGTGACATTGTTCGTTTGCAAAGTCTTCTCTATTCCAATCTTTCGGTGCTCGTGTCCATGGCCTGAATAATTCCAATTCCTCATCAGTGCGTGCGTGCGTGCGTGCGTGCGTGCGTGCGTGCGTGCGTCCTTCCCCGCCAGTCGAGCATCCTGCAAAACGTAAGAGAAAAGGTAGAGTCAGCAGAATTGCGTGGCACATGACCACCAAAGGTCGGCAGGGCCTTCTTCCCCAGATTTTCCCGTGGTTTCCATTACCCCATCCCGCCAACGTTTTAGCTAATCCTCCTCCATTCCCAACTCCTCGTGCTCCATCAAGTGCCATCACGCCCTTGCAAAGAGATTTTCTCTTGACTAACGCCTTTGCTGGGTTGGCTGTGACGGGACGTTGCCAAGGATGTGGTGGAGAGTCATTCATCATTTCATTCTCGTTCGTTCGGTCGGTCGGTGCTTTTGCTTGCGCGCCTGCTTGCCTCCTCCGCATGCACGCGAGAATGGTGTCTGGTGACGGGTGATCAGAGAAATTTTCCTGAATGGCGTGCATGATGAGCGGACGGACAGGACGGAAAGGAAAGGAAGGGAAGGGAAAGGTGGCATCCCAATGCCAATGCCAATTCCCATCCGTTGGTACTTATATGAACCAGCCGTGGGTCACATGCGTAAGACAAAGACAAAGAAGCCGCCTTGCTTTTCTTTTATTTTCCTTGCCTTGCCTTATCTACATCCACTCACGACGCTCTCTCTCTCACTTACCTCTCACCTCATCGCTTGACATCAATCAAGCCTCGCCTATCTATCTATCTGTCTATCTATCTTGCACCAACACACCCAGCATGATCCACGTGTTACCCTTTGAGATTCTCTCCGACATCCTCCTTCTCGCCGCCAAGGCGAATGAGGAGGAAAACGAACGCTTTACATATGGTCTCTCCCAGACCTCTCTCCCTCTCGAGCKCGCAAAACTCTCCCGCTATRTCCGTGGACCCGTGACGGCCGAACATCTGCGATGGGATGCCACCCAGTCCATCCGTCAAGTTTGCTCGCGCTGGCACGACTGGGCTCTTTCCTACAACCTCGAGCATGTGTTTGAACGAAAGGGCTGCGGATCCGAAAGATGGGCTGAACTATCGCGCAACCGCCGCAAGTACAGTATCTACGAACTGATCGATCGACCGTCCGGCCATTCCGTCTTTCAAGATCCCGTCGGTTCCCTCCGCAAGACCGACAATACCTTCCACAACCTTCCCCATCTCACCAAACATGTCCGACGACTGTGGTTCAACGGCTTCCACACCGCCGAGACCGACAAGCACATCCTCTCCATTGTCTCCGAGTGCGACCATCTCCAGTTCCTTAGTGTGCCCTGGACCATCCTTCGTCGGAGTACAGTGGATGACTGGATCGATTTGTTGAACCTCAACACCGGTCATGGAAGCGCCCTGCAATCTCTGGAGATGTTGGCCGTCTGTCTGCCCAAGAACCAGGCCCAAGCGCTCGAGCATGGTACCACTTCCAACCCATTGTTGGATCCTCGAGTCGATTTCTCCGGCCTGAAGCGTCTGAAGATCTTCGGCAACACCCTACACAACCCAATCACCGACACCGACCTCTCCCTCATCGCCCGCACCGCCACCAACCTCGAAGCGCTGGATGTCTCCAACATCAGCACCATCTCGGTCGCCGGCGTTCTAGCCCTTGTCAAGGCCTCGGCTCGTACCCTGCAAGTCCTGGAGCACTCTCCCCGCTCCGACGATGGCTTCTACCACCCCAACCCCGGCCAGATCCCCGATGACGAACACGTCTGCACTCTTCTGACATCTCTTCCCCGAATGCGCGACTTGAGCGTCAGCATCCCTACCATGTGCCCCTCCCTCTTCAGCGACGAGAATGTGCAATGGGAAGGAGAATGCCAAGTCCGCGCGCTGGACATTTGTGGCTGTTCCCCTTCCACCCCCGGTCCCAAGCGTGCCATTGCGTTGAAGAAAGTGTTGAATGCAGCAAAGGGACTGATGGCCGCCCGCGAACGCATGCGCAAGAATCTCTCCCTCGAACTCTTCTTCGCCGGCTGTATCTTCGACGTCGGCAAGGGATTGGTGCATGGTGACTTTGTCGTCGCAGAGGTTCGCAGTCATGGAATCTGGCCACGGCACCGCACCGTCAGCATGAAGGGACCCTATGGAACGACGGGCGTGTATGGAAAGGAGGAAGGAGCTGTGTGGGATGCGGTGGGAGAGGAGGAGTTTCTCGAGGGAGTGGAGAAGGGGTGGATTCAGCTGTGATGATGTGATGGAAGCAACGGTTTAATTATCTCTCTACTTTCAGCGAGCATTGTGAGCGGATTCGGTTGGTTCCATCGTCATTTTGGCTGGCGACTGCGGTTTGTCGGATTGGGAAAGCAAACAACAGACGATTGCGATTATGATGATGATGATTATGATAAGAATGATGATGATAATTTATGAAAGGGGAGGAAAGAAAAGCATCACGGCCGGCTGTAGGGAAGTTGGGCGAAAAGTTCAATGGGATGGCATGGGATAGGATTGGATGTTATATTTGAATGTATACTTATTATAACCGATTGAGAAATTACTTTGCTTCATCATATTATACAGCGCCTATTCAAGTGTATGAATCAAATAAGGAGGTCTTTCTCCGCTGTATGGACCGAAATTATCGAGCCCGAGATACACGGTCTGCTAACCCTGCTATGATCAACTTAGTCGGCTGTGAGGTCGTCACTACTTGAAAGCGATGTCGTAAGGGGATGGAAAAGCAATCGACATACCATAATTCCCTCCCGCTGCGATTTCCGGACTAAGGTAGCTCAAGACTAACTGACAATTAGGTGGCATATGCATTCCAAGCCAAAATAATATCTAGAAAATTATAATTTATGCAAAGAAGTAAGTGAAATTTCCAACTCCGTAGTAAAATCTCCTTTAGCTATTATACCTTATACGCAGCCTCTAGACCCTCCTACCCGCAATCCCTTTAAAGAATCCTACGCGTCTACTATAAAGGCCCCTCTGCGTAGATCTAGGCTGTGGTATAGGGAATCGCGATATAGGAGATGTTTGGCGGCAAAAAATGTCTCTCCGCCTAGCTAGCTGGTATCGATACTTATAACCTTTATATGAATCGCTACACAGACATGGAAGAATCCAACTAGACAAACCCCTTGGATAGGCTAGAGTGTTGATCATCCCAAGCCTCGCTAGTAGCTAGCAGCAACGGGCCGACAAAAAATCTAGAAGTTTCACCTGGCTCAAAGCATGTGACAGTACGTCCGTGCACGCCAGCCTCCCTCCCTTCCTCCCTCTCAACCCGCAGGCATGACAATCTTCAACMACAAAACATGTCATCACACCAGACTTGATCCAAGCCCAAACAACAACTGTCGACAACAAATCCTCCTCTCACCCAGAAACGGGACTGGAAATACTTGGAAGTGGTCTGTTGGACCTTTCAACCCCTAACTTCCACCATCCTCAACATCCGCGCGCACTCGAAGCAGTCTGTTCACAATCTCCAACCAATCTCCGCCGCTGCACAGCGCGCGCTAGAAGGTTCCTCTCATACCAAGTACAACGGATTGTACAAAGAACAGCCAGCCAGCAAAATGAGTCCTTCCCACCTCACCACCCAAGCGGCACCCATCCCTCGCTACCCACCCACCTATCAACACCCAAATTCCAACAAAGACCATTACCAATACTGGCGCTACAGCACAATGGAACTCGCAAAATTCGCAACCAGTCTCGGACTCCACCTTCCCCACCCAGACGTCCGCGGGAGAGTCATCGACGCCCTACAAAAATCCGGCGGCGAAGCTCCATTTCCTTTCCTCAGTTTACCACCCGAGCTGAGGAATATCATCTACGAGGAACTTCTCATCAAACGACCAGACTCCCCGATTCGCCACCCACAGATCTTACGTACTTGCAAAGCGATCCGGGACGAGGCGACCGATATCCTGTATGCCGAGAACTACATCACCGTCCACGTCCACTCAGACCGAATCGAAGTGTCAGGTATACGCTGTGCAGGCGGTTATAATCCCGCCGGAGACAGCCGCGCACTGAAAGATAGTCGTCCAGAGAAAGTCGAAGAGATTATCTGGCCGAATTTCCTTCGTCAAGCCTGGCACATCGCTTTAGAAGCCCCGGAAAACATCTGGTACTACGACGCAGCCCAAACGATTCAAGTGTGCAGTTCGCGCCGTGAGATTGCCACTAATAATGTCTTGTACTCTATTTGCTCGTTCCTCAGCTCTGGACAACACTGTCTCCGGTACATCGACGCCTATGATTGTCTCTATTTAGGCGCCTCGAAAGATGAAATCCGAGCAGCTCTCTACCCTGGGAAACTCATCATCAAGACAGAGTACAATTCTGAGCGATGGGATTATCATGAGGGTAAGCGGGTAGAAGCCTCTCTCCACGACGAGACAATCTCTGCGCGAGCTGCTACACTCCGCAAATACGTGCGTCCATCGAATTCCTTGCTACAAGAAGTCGCATGGTGCTTTTGTAAAATCACCACGGAACCTAGAAGTACGACTTGGAAACAGCTGGCACGTTCCTTTTTATTAGGTGGGAAATGTGTCTTTTGGGCAAAATTGAATGCTATGGGATATTGTAAGCCTGAGGTGATTGATGAGCAGCTTAAGCGCATGGTTTGGTTGCTTAGAGATTTGATGGGGACGGATTGGATTCGTAATGGTCGAGTCGGGATCAAGGAGGAAGTTGGACAGTTGCTGCTTCTTGATATTGAGCTTCGCGCTGCCAGTGTTGCTCGAGAGGAAGGTCAGGCGGTTGCTGCTTTGTGAGATGGCGTCAAGACGGATGGATGGTGAGATGGTTTTGCGTTCTTGTTGATCTGGCCCGTGCTGGCTACTACTTTGTTCTTGGGAGTTTGGGGGGCTTTGAGGCATTAATGTGGGTTAGGGCCGAGAGGGCAGGTTTCTGTTGCCGTGGCATCGGCCGTTATAGTGACTTTTGAGGCTCGAAGTAGGTCGAGGCAGTGGCGGAAACATATTAAATCGGAATGAACTCCAAGATCAACATCCTCGTAAACCTCCCGTCTCGTCCCTTGAAGCTCTGTAGATACCTATTACCCGTGTCCAGAAAGGGTTCAAGTCGAAAACAATCTCTTCCTTTAGCAGAGAATCAAGCGATCAATATAAGAGTTCTCCCATATATCGAGAGTCTTCAACTTTAGCAAGACATGGTTTGATTGTGGTTTATTGTTGTGATGGCTTGATCAAACAAGCAATAAAAGAATCGTGGCTCTTTAATGTGGTCCAATACTTCTATCAACCAAATCAAGAGGTCTATATTATCAAACTGTAGTTAGCCTATGCTAAGCATACCCAACCGTCAAACGGGGCTCGTTGGAACGGTTTTGTCCAGCTCACGACTAGATTTTCTAGCTCTGGGCTGGGGGGAGAGCAGGGGGGAGACTAGGCATAGTAGAAGGAACATGCATCCTCACTACATCTCACGCCGCGTACTTCGATCCATCGTCTGTTCCGTATGTATGTTGACTACCAGCACAATTCTGCCCTGTGTATAGAAAGTTCCACAACCTCGTAGTRGATCAGTCTACAAGTCCCCAAGATCTACGGATAACATATAATATTCGTAATACTTATTCGAAACGGAGGAGATTCTTGTCGTGGACCAGAAATCTCAATTCATTCCACCGGCATGTCGTCTCGCTGTAATGCTTGGATGACACCATAGCTCAATTTGATCGTCACACTTTTAAGTGACCTTCATACACGTTGTACATCAAAGACCACAAGTAAGCTAAGCCGCGTTGTAAGGATCATAATCATGCTCCCCATCCTCATCCTCATCACGCGAAATTCGATGAATGGAAAACATGCGTCCAGCCGATTATATCGACTTGATAGCGAATCGACCGTGTATCTTAGTAAAAATCTACTCCCAGAAATGGAGTGTATCTAGGTACTTCCAGACAAGTTCCTAGGAGAACAAAATAGGAGCATGCGTCTATTTCAAGACCCCTTCAATTTCGCAACGAAAGCAGCCGAGTATTCCATTTTTCCGCGTAAAATGCGTGCATGTGATGTCTTTGATGCTGCCGTACATGTAGACTCGGGCGGATATGACCTCTTCAAAGATGTTGGAAGGCTATACAATGAGATGGAAGGCCATGGGACGGGATAGTGGACGGGGCAGATGTATCCATCATATCAACGCATTATAGGGATCTCTCCCAGCTGAAGCGATAATCTAGAGGGATCGCAAGTAGGAACGGTTTGATCTCGAGTGTCAGGCACAATGGATGGAGAAATGTACATATTCACCTTGAATTACTAATTTCACCAGCAAGGCTTTTCAAAACGCTCAAGTTACTGCCTGCATCATCATCTCTTCCCCTTCTTGTCCCCCCCTTTCTTCGACTTCTTCCCACTATCCCCATTGAGCTCTCTCTGCGCTTCCTCAAGCGCCTCGCCAGCTTTCCTCTTCTTCTCCGCACCCTTGCCAGTCTTGACGGCAACAGTACCTCCACTCTTGAGTCCTCTCCCAACAGCCTTCTCCGCCTCCTCCCAGCCCATCTCCGCGCCGTTGCCAATTTGATACCTTTCCAACGGCAAGCTATCGATGAGCGCCCTCTTCGCTTCCCGCTCCTCTCGCTCCTCGGCTTCTTCCACACCAGCTTGTACCAATTCATTCTCCAGCGCTTGGGAGATTGCCTTGCCATCAATCGGCTTGGACGCATCCACTTCCTCCGCGGCGGGTATTGTGCTCGCAACACCTTCCTCTGCAATGTGGGAAAGATAGCTTGCGACTTTCCGCACGACCTTGACAAACATGGCCAACACCTGACCATCCCCCAGTCCGACATCTGACGCGACGTCCTCTAGTAGTCTTCTTTGACACCCGATAGCGATCAACACGGCTTTCTGCACAGCTTGAAGCTTCACACCTTCCAACTTCCCGCGGAAGTAGAGTTCTGCTATTCTCGGCATCAAATCGACAATGACGTGGTAGTCCAGCATGTTGTTCGCATATCCTTCTAGACGTTTCAGATCAAAAGGACTGAAATGTTGGTCCAGCACTTCCTTTGTCATTGGTTTCTCGCTTTCGGAAATGCCACTGAAACCCTTCCGTGCACTCTCATCGATTTGCAGAGCTTGCACGCATCCAAAAGATCGGAATTGATATCCAAGAAGGGCGAGATATCGGCGGTGGAAGTCCTGTGCATAAGCTCCTAGCCAGCTCGCATCTGAGGAGTCGTTGCGTAATGTTCGCAGCATAACGCAGGTGTGTTCTCCTGTCAACTCGTTTGCCGTTTGACGGAGATATACGGGCACATAACCAGCGCGTTGCCAGAACTTGTGAAGAGGTTGTGTCAGACCGTAGCTGACACCTAGGTAATCCAAAGGCGCAGGACGGGATTCTGCGAGGCGTGTGAAGAGCGCGGGCATGGCTGAGATATCTCGTACGCGGATGTCATCTGTCTTGAGCGTGGCTTTCTCAAGTTCAGCATCTGTTACTCGCACCATGGTCTGCGGTTCTTGCTGCTGAGCGGCGTCCTCATCGAGAGAGATGAATTTGCCCTCGTAGAACTCTGTGAGGAGCGACATTGCGCGGGAGCCATAGCCCATACCCGCGTAGTCGGGGTTTGTGGCTATTCGTACAACGCGTGCACCGCTGAGGCCTGCAAAGTCTGAATCCTGAAACTGCTGGGATACCAGCCAAGGGATCAGATCACCTCCTGCGCGCTGGCCACGGGAGAGTGAATTGAGGACGCTTTCTCGTGAAATCTGACCTTCCAGAGCAATCTGCAGCACAACAAGAATCTCGGGTAGTTCTCTTGCACCTTCATTCGCAGGAGCAGTCAGGACGAAGAGCTGGTGAGCGGGCGCATCGGACATGAGTTGGAGGTCGTTTGGCGTGTTCTTATAATGCGAGGCAACGTAGAGCGCCATCATCTTTTGTAGGRACTTTTCGCTGATTGGGTGGAAGGAGAAAAGGGTATCACGGTTGACTTGAAGGAGCTCACATTGTGAGGGTGGAGGAGCACCGAGAAGCTTCGTCTTTTGTGGGAGAGTAGCATCAAGACAGAGGAGGCCATTGAGCCACTTCTCAACGCCGTCACCTTGAGCGTATCGAATTGGTTCTGATAGGGTGATTTCGCGGAGGGATCTATGTGTGTCGGGTGTGTGGTCTTCCTTGGACTTTTCCCTCCCGACAACTTTGTCCTCCCCTTTGGGTTTGATGCCGGTGCGTGACTGCTCTCGTAGTTGTTGGATCAGCTTGAGGGARAGTGAACGACCAGTGCCTTCGTAGCCGTTGATGGTGGAGGCCATGAAGACAAGGTAGGGTCCCATCAGCTTTCGCACGAGAGGGAGTGGGATGGCGGCGGCTTCGTCGATGACGAGGAGTTCAGCCTGGCCCAGAGCGTATGCATCTTGTGGTTGGATGTACTGAATGGTCTGTCGATGTTGACGATGCACATTCACGCGCACAATGGCTTTGTTGAAGTCGGGGTTGGCGGATTGAGTGATAGTGTAG